TTGGGGCAAATCATCTGATTTGTCCTTACTACACGTATATTGAAATAATATTCATATTTTTATTTTATAGAAACGAGGAGAGAAAATCCCAAAAAATTTGGAATAATGATCTTTATTAATAATCAACTTCATCCAGCAGATGAGAGGTTTATAAAAATTATTCATAGTGCTCGACAAAAAAAAAAGAAACAATATTTATACATTGAATTTTCACAAACTTTACAGTGCGATAAAAACGTCAATATTGGAAATTTCCCCATTGTTTTACTATGCGTTACTAACTATTTTTTCTTTGCTTGACTAATCAAAACAGCACGAAATCTTCGGCTAGCAAGTCCAGCAGGATACCCATGATGCTTAGGTAAACGGACAAACGACGCGCATGCGCATGATAAATCTGCCAGTTGCACGATCAATTATCATGTTTTCCATGAATATTTGCACAGAAAATCGTACGTCGACATGTAATCTGGAGTCTTATAGTGTTGATAGTAGTTTATTTTTTGGTTTTCAGATTATAGGCACATAACTTTTTGAACGATCGTTTGTAACTCATCTATTTTATGTACCGCAACTACTAGATTTAAAAATAACTTATTCTTGGTGCACGAAATTGTATTTATACAGGGTGGGCCACCAGTAACGCCTCGGTCTCTAGAAGGCTAACCACTTATCTTCTTGGAATTTTTCCTCTCTAGGAAGTTGCATGTCAACATAGGCTACCATTTAACATTATTTCGAAACATACAGGGTGTCCCCAAAAACCATAAAACACTGAAGTTGAACTTTTTTCTATCGAACACCCTATATATTATCTCATTTTGAGATTCTCCCTGATGAGCTGATTTCAACGACCCATCATACTTGGGGTCTAGCAGTTATAATTACTGAAATATAGGGTGTGAAAAATCGAGATTTTCCAAGTTCAAGAATTTTTTGTGTCGGAACTATTCATAATAGGTCAAAACGGCTACCATGTCCCTATCTCAACTTTTGATTAACTATCTACTGATATTTAATTGGGACATATACCGGGTGATCAAGATTCTGAATTCTGCACCACCCTGTATTTGTTTCAATTAAATGTCAGTAGATAGTTGATCAAAAGTTGAGATAGGGACATGTGAGCCGTTTTGACCAATTATGAATGGTTTAGACACAAAAAATTCTTGAACTTGGAAAATCTCGATTTTTCACACCCTATATTTCAGTAATTATAACTGCTAGACCCCAAGTATGATGGGTCGTTGAAATCAGCTCATCAGGGAGAATCTCAAAATGAAATAATATATAGGGTGTTCGATAGAAAAAAGTTTAACTTCAGTGTTTTATGGTTTTTGGGGACACCCTGTATGTTTCGAAATAATTTTAAATGGTAGCCTATGTTGACATGCAACTTCCTAGAGAGGAAGAATTCCAAGAAGATAAGTGGTTAGCCTTCTAGAGACCGAGGCGTTACTGGTGGCCCACCCTGTATACCTTTTGCTATAAATTATTTGAGAGAATGGAAATTATATTTTCAATAAAAAAATTAAAAGATAAATTTGAATTCTCACCCATTGTATCGATAACTGATATCTGTCACTTCGACAGCTTTTGACCAACGTTAGAAAACAGAGAGAATTCCATGAAATGTCAGTCATCAATGTCATACTGATAATTGTTGGACTGATATTGATAAAACAATATCTGCTTCGAATTCTGTTTGTTTCATGATTGATATTTTTGGCCTTGAGTAGTAATTTCAGTTTTCCTAATCGATAATAGTCAAACATTTAGTTTCTGTCTTCCTCATATTGAAATCATTCCTTATGTAGTTTATGCTTTGATTGAAAATCGTTATAATAATTATTGTAATTTGATAGATCTATGATTGGATTAAATATCATATTTTCCAATATTCATGATTGAACTATGTTGTGAAAGTAGCTTGTTCAATTTGGACTGACATTGAACTTCCCTAATGTACCTAATATACCTTATAATATCCTAAACACCTATATAAATCCTAATTTTGCATGTTAATGAATTCGCCTATCGAAAGCACTGTATTTGACGTTTGAACATAATTCGCATCTGCTACATAATGACCATAATGTTATATTGTACTTTAGCTATTTCTAATGATTTTGTAACCCCACTAACTAGCATGTACATTTGTTTTTTTAACTAGGAGTGCAAGTACAAGCAAAGTGAAGCAAGTGACGATTGGCATTGCCCCAACGTTAAGGACAGCTTCTAGGTAACCTTTAACCTTATAACTCAATTCTTAGATAGTCGAGCGATTCGTACTATTGCCTTCATAGCTTTGGAAAATACTCACACCCTGTACAAATAACAAATTGTAATTTTGATGAAATGGTATACCGTCCTTTTGAGGAGCTTTTTTGATTTTTGAGGCGATAGTATGATGAATAGCTTTTGACGCTTAGTGCCCAGCGTGTGAAATACACCTTTTCACTTCTATATTCTACTATTCAACTAGAACAAAGATAAAACAAACATTTCAACTCACCTCACAAGCATTTTATCACACACAAGCTCGTAATCTCAAAATAAATACTACACCTTTTCCAGTAAAGTTGTATTTCAGAATAGTCACTTGTTTTTCGGACGGCGTCATTTGTATTTTAGAATAGTCACTAAAATTTCTGAAAACGTTCCAATTGTATTTCAGAATACTCATATGAATGTTCAGAATACTCATATGAATGCGTCAATTGTATTTCAGAATAGTCACTTGTTTTTCAGATGGTGTCAATTGTATTTCAGAATAGTCACTAGAATTTCAAAAAGCGTCAATTCAATTTCGGAATCGGCAATTGAATTTCAGAATGCTCCATTTGTAATGCAGAATTCTTATATTAATTCCAAAAAGCGTCAATTGTATTTCAGATTAGTCACTTATTTTTCAGACGGCGTTAATTGTATTTCAGAATAGTCACTAAAATTTTAGAAAGCGTCAATTGTATTTCAGATTCGGAATAGTCACTTGTATTCCAGAAAGCGTCAATTGTATTTCAGAATAGTCAATTGAATTTCAGAAAACGTCAATTGAATTTCAGAGTACTAATTTGTATTTCAGAATTGTCAATTGTTTTTCAGAATAGTTGATTGAATTTCAAAAAGCTTCAATTGTATTTCAGAATATTCATGTGAATTTTGGAAAGCGTCAATTATATTTCAGATTCAGAATAGTCTATTGAATTTCAGAAAGCGTCAATTGAATTTTTGACATTGTCATCTGAATTTCATTTGATATTTCCTGAAATACAATTGAATTGAATTTCAGGAAGGAAGGAATTGTATTTTAGTATTTTAAGATAGTCACTTGTATTTCGGATAGCGTCAATTATATTCCAGAATAGTCATTTGGATTTCAGAAAGCGTCAATTGTATAATAGTCATATGAATTGTATTTAAAAATAATCACTTGTATTTATGGAAGCATTAATTGTATTTCAGTATAGTCAATTGTATTTGAATAAATCATTAGAAGTGCATTGGTAATCACCCTATATTGTCCGCATTCGGGTTTACATTCCTTAAAACCTCCGAATATCAATTCTTGAAATAATACATTCAATAATGTTCATTCATTCTGAAAAATCTCGGAAACGGAGCAATTTCAGACGAAGGTGAGTTTCTTTGAATACGCTTATTTTGACTTTAGGAATATGTCCTGTTTTTGTACAGACTTTTTGGGGACACTCTGTATATCTCGAAAATGGTGAGTGCTATCTAGACTAAACAAGAGAGCCATCAGGAAAAATGATGATATCTCCATATTTCTTGTTCAAAAATTGAATAAACGAAGAATTTGGGGGAAAAGTGCCACTAGTCCCACCTAATTCTCACGCCCCTGATCGAAATATTAGAAAATTCCCAACATTTTAGGTATATGTAACATCATCTTTAGGCTCTCCTTCGGATGGCTATACCCATTTTTTTTATATAAACTTCCTGAAATTCAATTCAATTGTATTTCAGGAAGGAAGGAATTGTATTTTAGTATTTTAAAATAGTCACTTGTATTTCGGATAGCGTCAATTATATTCCAGAATAGTCATTTGAATTTCAGAAAGCGTCAATTGTATAATAGTCATATGAATTTCAGGAAGCCTCAATTGTATTTAAAAATAATCACTTGTATTTATGAAAGCATCAATTGTATTTCAGTATAGTCAATTGAATTTCAGAAAACGTTAGTTGTATTTCAGAATATCCACTTGTATGTCAGAAAGCGTCAATTGTATTTCAAAATTGTCAATTGAATTTCAGAAAGTGTCATTTGTATTTCAGAAAATATCAGTTGAAATTCAAATGACAATTTCTGGAATTTAATTGACGCTTTCTGAAATTCAATTGACTATTCTGAAATACAATTGACGCTTTCTAGAATAAAAGTGACTATTCTGAAACACAATTGACACCGTCTGAAAAACTAGTGACTATTCTGGAATACAATTGACGCTGAAATACAAACAACATTTTGTGAAATTCAATTGAATATTCTGAAATACAATTGACGCTGCCTGAAATTCATATGAATATTCTGACAAACAATTGACGCATTCAGAAATGCAAGGGACTATTGTGGAATATAATTGACGGTATTCATATGACTATTCATGAATACAATCGACGCTTTCTGAAATTCAAATGACTATTCTGAAATACAAGTGACTATTTTGAAATATAATTGACGCTTTCTGAAATTCATAATATGACTACTCTGAAATATAATTGACGTTTTCTGAATGCAAGTGAATATTCTGAAATATAATTGACGTGTTCTAAAATTCAACATGACTATTCTAAAATACAATTGACGTGTTCTGAAATTCAATATGACTATTCCAAAATACAATTGACGTGTTCTAAAATTCAATATGACTATTCTGGAATACAATTGACGCTTTCTGGAATACGACTGGAAAAGGTGTAGTCTGCACTATCTCTTCGTGCCTCCCGAAGAGCTCAAAGTGTTTTTTTCGCAGGACCAGAACACCATCTGGCTCAAACACTCCCGTCCACCCTGATCAGCCGACGGCCGTCTCCAAATTGCTGAGACGTCCCTCAGGGGCCTCAGAAACGCCGACAGGTCAGGCCCGCAAGAAACACTCGTCGCTGTCCGACCGGGAGCCCTTCAGGCTGTAATAACCCTACTTATTCCGAATACCTAAAACGACTGACACCAACCACTATGTTATATGTATAGCTTGTGCATATAAGAGAGATAGAGCGAGGAAATTTGTTCATATTTTTGTATAAATGTATTTATTGGGTCCTTTTAGGATTTTCAAGTCGAACCACGCATGCGTGTTGTTGAGTCAATGAAAAAAAGGAGAAACTTTCATTGTGACTGGAGCCCACTTCGTTTTTTCAACTTGTAAATTAGTTGCCATATAACAAAATCGAAATCGATATTTTTTTATTTATTGTGATTGGATGTGTTTTTTTTTCTTCCGATTTGATTGTTCATTTACAGAATGTATCTGTATTTCGTGGCAAGAGGGACCATTATTTTTATTTCATTATTTAGGTTTTACTAATTCGTCTAACGTGCTTTACAAGAAATATTATACCTACTGTTACGATGTTATTACCATTTTTTAATGCATCTATTTGCTAGGCTTTTTGGTACTTCTAGCATAATGAAATGAGTGTGATTACCATTGTTGGAGGTCTGCTTTTCGTAATCGCCAGTATGGAAAGTAGACTGAAAATAACTTATTTATGTATTGCTTTTGTATTATTTAACTATTATAATTATTGTTATTGAATAAAAACTAAATTTGATTAATAACAATTGTTTCATTATTTATAATTTCCTTTGATGTTGTCCCAAAAAATCAATTTTCCTAAATTCCAGCGGTGCTCAGTTTATTAACACGTTCGCGGACATGACGTCGTTAATCACGTCACTTATAATTAATTACACGAGAGCTTTTTTTGTCGAAGTAAACTTGACATGTATCTTACATGTATCAATAAGAATTTTGTTGCCTGGCGATTTGACGAAAAAAACTGGCCTCTGAGTCCATAGGACAACAAAAATTCGAATTATAAATGCCAAGTTTACTTTGACTGGAAAAATAAGCTAGAGTGTAATTCGGTAAGACAATTTAATTCATCAAACATTTTTTATGGCTGGTGGTCATGCTTTCAAAAGATAGGGTCCGTTATTGTCGCTGGAAAAGTTAGGGCAAACTTTTTCCTATGAGCGTGCGGAAAAGTATTTTTTCTACAAGCGTGCGTGATTCACCCTATACCCGCACGCAATTTAGTTTGGGAAGTGTCATTTTCCCGCAACAGTGCGGGAAAACAAAGATATGATAAAATCGCTAGTAATATAAGTGGTTGGTGATGGAATATCAAAGTTTAAGTTTGTTTGTTGCAGTATTAAGTATGTATGTTCAGAATCATCCATCAAATTGCACTATTTATTGTAAAAATCAAGAAATATTGAGAAATAAAAATTGATCATTATAAAAATCCCCCTATAGATTTGGATTGATCTGACGGGAAACGTCAATTTGTCATGCCAATCAAACCTCAAATAAGTTTGAAATTGTCGAAGTGACAGACACAGCGTTACTGTCATTTTCGATTCAGTGGAAATGCCACAATGTGATCAAAAACTTCTAGCTATAGGGATTTGATACAGATGCGTTATCACCAACGAAGTCTTAAGAAAGGTATGAGAGAAGCTATACATACGCGTTTTATTGAATGGTGCAACAATAAAGAAATGAGAAAACCGAATGAAGAATAGGTATTTTCGGCTCATTTCATAGAAGTGTCTGGAACCTATATAGAGACCAAACTCCTAATGGGCCTGCTGGCTTCCGCAATGAATCAACATAATGCGTGAAACTGTAAGTTCACAATAGCTATTACTAATGAATAATAGTTAGTTGTTCCTATTTGCTTGAATAATTAATTGAACGATTCAATCAACGCTTGTAGAAAAAATATTGTTCCTAACTCATGCGGAAAGTTTCTTTCCCGCATTCGACTGCTTGCCCGAACTCCGCTTCGCGTCGTTCGTGTCAACGGCAGTCACGTGCGGGAAAGAATCACTTTCCACACTTGTTAGGAAAATTACTATTTCCGCATGATTTTCTTTTTGAAAGTTGTACTTTTCCGTACGATTTCACTCTTCCGAATTATTTTGACTTTTCCGCACGATTTCGAAGGAAATACCACACTCACTCACTCTTTGACACCATTGGAACACCGTAGAAAGGTCGGCGACCTTTCACTTTTCTATCGATACTTCCACGGGAAATGTTCTTCGGAAATCTCTGCTATCATCCCTTCACTAGCAATACCAATCAGACGAACTAGACAAGCCCAGTCAGCACATCCTTTCCTTGTCAACCTCGCAAGATGTCGAACAGCACTTTATCAAGACTCCTTCATCCATAGAACGGCTAGGCTCTGGAATTCATTGCCTGTGGAAGTATTCCCAACAACATACCCTAACAACACCAGTACATCCTAGGGACTTCCCATAGACGTCCCTGATTTTATACTAGGACATCCCAGGGATGTCCTTTGTCGGGACAACGTACATACTAGGGATGTCCCAGGGACATCCGCTGGCCGCTAAAAAAGGCATCCAAGGGATGTCCTTCTGGTACGTCCCTGGGATGTACCAAGTACGATGAAGGGATATCCCTAGGACGTCCCAAGGATATCCCAGGGACATCCTTTCGACAAAAGAAAAAAGTTGCAGGTCGAGTAGGGATTGAACCCGGGACCTTTGGCTTATCATGCACGCACCTTGCTCCATTGGCTATCATGCCTCCTGAAGATTTATGTACTAAACAGATTTATAAACAGGACTTAACTACAGAAACCTGAATAAATACAACTTTATTAGGAATTGGGTATAATTATTATCATTCTTGGGTGTTTAAAAGTGAGGGGCATTATGCATGTACGATTTCTGTCTGCGAAAAATGGTAATTTCTTAAGAAGTTCTGAGACTTAATTCTTTATTTTCATCACAATCATTTTCCGGAAGAGAAACAAACATTTTCGAAAAAATTCAACTCAATAGTTTGATGAAATTCAATGACTCTGATGTGAATGGATATCAGATACTCCAGGGACACGAATAGGATAACCTAGGGATGTACCGGGCGGGATGTCCACTGGACAACCACTGCAGGACATCCCCTGGATGTCCCAATCATGTCCTTGTACCACGGGACAAAAAAGGGACGTACCTAGGAAATTCCTGTGTTGTTATTAGGGTCTGTCCTCGTTCGACGCATATAGCAGAGAGACAATTATATACACGGAGTGCGCACTACTGCGCACCTCTCATCAGTAAATATCTTATCAATTAATTTCAAAAGTACCAAAATTGAGCTGAATGTACTGTACTGAATTGGATGGGTATAGAAAATATAAAGACTGGATTTTCCCAGTGAGATCACAAATATGCATTTTCAATATTTCGTTGTAACATATCAATTCTGATACAAATAGCAAATAGATTTCAAGATATACATCAGGGACATGAATGGGACAACTCAGGGATGTCCCAATCATGTCCTTGTACCGACAGTACACGTTGGGACATAAAAGGGACGTACCTAGGATGTCCCTGTGTTGTTAGGGATATAATCTCCAGAAGTTCAAAAAAAAATCCAATGCCTACCTCCTATCCCTATCCTACATAGGAACGCACGATGTTCTTTGAACATTATAGGGATTCCCTTTTGTGCGCTTCAAGCGATAAAAAAAAAACATGTGGTGATAACTGTTGCACCAGAACGTACGGATTCCTTGATTTTTCTCTTCTGGTTGTTATCTTCTTTCCCAATGATTTCAATATTATTCCACTCTGCCATATGTTGTTCATCTTCAGATGTTCAGCTAGTTTCAAAACAGATTGTCACTGACAAGCTAGTGAATTTTTCTTTCAGGCTCTCTGATAGGAAAATTCTTTAAAGGCATATACATTTTGGGGCAAATCATCTGATTTGTCCTTACTACTACATGTTATTGAAATGATATTTATATTTTTATTTTATAGAAACGAGGAGAGAAAATCCCAAAAAGTCTGGAATACTGAAAGTACCACCTCCTCGATTATTATTTTTTTTTTATTTATTTATTTATTCATCCACGTTGCAAAATTAAATTCATTTGTGGAAAGTCAAGACAAGGCAAAGTATATAGGTAAAAATTTGAATTAGAATGATACAATACAAAAAAAAAACAGATTAAAATTAAACTGGGTGATAAGACTGATCCCCCGTGGCATAGGCATAATTTCTCTTTGTTTCACTATTTACATGTAATTTATTCATTTATTTTATTTTTCAGATTTGTTAATTCATGAATCTATATAGACTCAAATGATCCCACTCCGGCCCCCAGGTATTCCCCCACCGAGTAGAAGCAATGAGATAACAGAAATTTACGAATTTTTTTCTTGAAAAGATGAATAGGTGTATCTTTGATATTGGCAGGGAGAATATTATACAATTTTATATCTATAGAGTTACGTTCAGATGTGTTTAAGCGATGTCTAATCGGTCGAATCAACTTTCAGTTTCTTGTAGTGTAATTATGAAAATCCTCGTTTCTTTGATAATTATATTTATTTTTATGGATGTCTAACAAACAATTGAGGATGTAGATACACGGTAAAGGAAGTATTTCATAATTTACGAATATTGGACGACAGCTATCTCTATATTTCGCTTTCGCAATTATTCTCAAGGCTCTTTTTTGGAGTCTGAATATTCTCATGGAGTCAGGTGCGTTTCCCCAGATAGTTATACCATAGTTAATATGGGAATGAAATAGTCCAAAATATGCAGTTTTCAATACTGTTATGTTAGCAAATCTACTCAACTTTCTTGATAGGTAAATATTGGAGCTCAATTTTTTACTCAATTGCTCAATATGAGATGACCACTTCAATTTATCATCCATATGACAATACCAAGTAGTCTAACTTCAGAACCTTTGGCAATAGCGTTATCAGTAGAGAATACAATATTTTGGGTTTTACTGTTATTTAGTTTCAGACAGTTGGAAATGAACCATGTTTCAGCTTTTGATTGGAAAACTTTGGAAGTATTGTCAAATTCATCAATTCTTTCATCAGATACATAGATAGTACAGTCATCTGCATAACAAATACATTTAGTTGGACTCATGTAATGAAAAATATATCATTGACATAGATGATAAATAGGAGTGGCCCAAGGATGGAGCCCTGAGGGACCCCAAACTGGATGTTGCTAATTTCAGAACAATGGTTATCCATATATACCGATTGTTTCCTCCCATATAAGTATGATTCGATTAATTTCAGAGCTGTTCCTCGTAGACCATAAAATTGTAGCTTGGCTAAAAGTATTGGGTAAGATACACAGTCGAACGCCTTACTCAAGTCACACATATTAACTATGGTATGTTTTCCCTCTTCAAATCCATTGATAATGTCGGATACCAGCTTTTGAATTGCTTGAACAGTAGAACAGTTTTGTCTGAATCCGAATTGACTCTCATGTAGCGTATTCTGTCGAGTGAAAAAAGATGTTAAGCGGTCTTTGATGATTATTTCAAATATTTTACCAAGTATCGGTATAATTGATATAGGTCGGTAGTTGTCAATGATGTTTTTGTCACCTTTTTTATGAATGGCTATCACTTTGGTTAGCTTAAACTCATCAGGAAATATTCCATTACAGAAACAGTGGTTGAAGAGAACAGTTAGAGGTTCAACAAGGAAAAAACTGGTACCTTTAATAACTTTGCTAGTCAATTCGTAAATGTCTGGACAAGACGAATTTTTCAATTTTAGAATGGCTCCATGAACTTCAGTTTCAGTTACTGGATAGAGAAATAACGAGTCTTTAGGAGATTTCAGTGGGTCCATGAAATTTAGCGCATCTTGATCACAATCAGGTAGTGAACTAATTATATCACTAGCGATATTTGTAAAAAAATCATTGAACTTATCAGGAGTTATAAGCGTTTCCTTCGCCTTTTCTTTTTTTGTTTGGTTACATTCTGTGTTTATTAAGTTCCAGCAAGTTTTGGCTAAGTTATGAGACTACAGACAGTATTTAACAAATAGAAAATGTTTTTATTGAAAATAATAACAAGTCATCATCGATAAATATATTCTTTATTTTATATATATATACATATTTTCACTTACATTTATTGCTTCAAAAAATATCACCTGATAATATTGCTAGTATTTGCTACAAAAATATAAAAGGAACAGACTAGTCTAAATGAGTTGAAATAAATAATTTAAATGAATTGATATGAGATATGAGAATGAGCAATGAAATCAACAGACTCTCAAAAGAACAATATAAAGTACAACTTTACGTCTGGTCTAGCTTAAGTCATATTTAATCTTCAAAAGATAAAATTATTACATGATCCTATTTGAAAACAGAAAATGAGTTCAGTTCAGGTAAACAGGGTGTTCCGAAATTACATGGGAATAATCAAACCACAGATTCTAGGTTTATATAAAAAAAAATGGTTCAAGATTCAGAATTCTAGTCACGGTACCTGGTATCTGTTCCGATTGAATATGAGTAAATGATAAATTAAAAGTTGAGATAGGGACATGTGAGCCGTTTTTGCCGATAATGAATAATTTCGACAAAAAAAATCTTAAAGTTGAAAAATCTCGACTTTGAAAACCTTATATCTCTGTAATCATTTTCGATAGACCCCAAGTATGATACATTGATGAAATCAGCTCTACAGGAAAAATCTACAAATGCGATGAAATACAGGGTGTTCCATTTGAAATATCATGTTGCTACTATTTTCTAGTAGAAGCGGCAACACTGCATTGTCGATAATATTTGTAATGAAGAGAGCGTATTTTAAAATACAAGCATGCACATTTTCATGAATTTCTCTCGACTGATTCTCGATATCAAGATTGTGTAAGCTCGTTGTGACATACCCTGTATAGCCACACCTATTTTCCACACTCCAGATCAAAATTTCGGAAAAAACTTGACATTTTCGAATCGGGCATTGAAAGTTATGTACATAATAATATACAAAATTTGGTAATTTCATTACAGACGATTCCGAAAATATTCACATAAAACCATTATATCGGGCTCTTCTGCAGATTGACTTTTTCAACTATTATTATTCCTGGAATGTTTGCTCGAAATCATTCTTTGAAATTTCGAAACATCCTGTATAAACCGGAAGTTGAAAATGGTTTATGTCATCGGTGCAATTGCAATCTACAAGTCCACGTCAGACTTCAATGGGAGCATCGAATTTGGGACACACTGTATAGAGATTAAAAAAGTGTCAGTTCTAATCATTGAAGGTAGGTATAATAAAAGAACTGGGAAGGGAATTGGATTATATTTAAATAAATAAGTAATCTTATGCTAAACTAATCTAATGAATTAAATATCCTAACAATACACCTTTTCCATTTGTACTTCAGAAAGCGTCGATTCAGTTGCTGACAGTATCGATTGTATTCCAGAATAGTCACTTATATCTCAGAGAGCATCAATTGTATATCAGGATATCCAACTGAATTCCAATTTCATTCAAGTATATTCAATTACATTTCAACATGAATAATTGTATAGGCTTTTGCATTTCAGGAAATGTCAACCATCTTTCAGGAGAGTCAATTGCACTTCAAAAAGCGTAATAGTCCATAGTCTATAAAATTTCAGAAATTCGTCATTTGTGTCAACATTGACCCAGATAACACAGGATATCCTATGGATATCCATTTCATGTCCAATTCTGGTTGGGATATCTCTGGATTTGAAATGGACATCCATAAGATATCCATATAAGGATTCGAAACGGATATCCTTCAGCAGATTTCCTATGGATATCCATAAGATATCCACAACAATTATGAATGTGTTTGAAATGCAAATTTGATTCTGATAGCATCAATTCCTGAGTTTTTTCCATACTTGTACACGAATTGAAGCATTTAAGGAATACCCGTATTTTTCGTTTTGTTTCGGGATTTGAAATGGACATCCATAAGATATCCATGGAAGGATTCGAAATGGATATCCTTCAGTAGATATCTTATGGATATCCATAAGATATTCACAACAATTATGAATGAGTTTAAATTGCAAACTTGAAAAGTGAGAAAACACAACAGATTATCCATAATGGATTTCCGATGGATATCCACTGGATGTCCATGTGTTATCTGGGGAATCAATCAATTGATACTTTCCGAAATACAACTTATTCTTTCTGAAACGCAATTGATACTTTCTGCATATATGAATTGTTCCGTCTATGCTTTCTGAGATGCAACTGAAAAAGGTGTGTCTTCAAAAAAATTTGGACTGCTGTTTCACTGAGAAATGAGTATTTTTTTTTTGTTTGCTTTCTGATTGACTTCCAACTCCTAACGGTTTGCTTCTAACCATCAGGAGTAGAAAAATTAGGAAAATCAAAAACAACCAAAAACATTAGAACTAGATCCTTTTGTGTTTGTACAAAATAATATTTGACCCAACTTGACAGGGCCAAACGATTTTTTTTAGAAAATCATAACTCTGACCTTTTTATAGAATACGTGAACATTTCGAAACTTGGGGTTTCTGGGTTTTCCACCTTGGTGACATACTTACTTTGTTCTTCACATTCAATTCCACATTCGCGGATATTCGAGAACGAGTAGGTACTAACGATATATGAATATTTTGAAACTGTCTATTATTGGAAAATGATGCTACCTGATGATATTTATAACATCGGATATGTGCTTTCCCTATACTTTATTTCTAATGCTGCTAGTCACCTTGCATTTGTTATATTGGATATGTAATATGTAACTGTATTCCATATGCAATATTGCAATAACCTTTCTGTATTGATTGATTTGAGAACATCACATTCCTAATATAAATAAATACGTTTCTGTAGATGCTGTAACTTTGCAGTAAGATAACGACAATTAGATGTAATCTATTACATATCACATTCAACTATTGCTGCAAAACGGGATAAAAAAATACTCACTGAATCTGAAAGCATTCCAATAAGTCTATAGTGTTAATGTCACTGTTCTTGGCAAGTATACCTTTGAATACCATTCGATACGAATCACAGCTTACAATGCGATCTCTTTCTCATTCAATGACTTTACCAGGACACTTGACGCTGATCGTTAGTCAACCAAGAACAATGACGTGAACAAGTAACAAGCTAGCCATTTTTCAGATTTTTCCAGATTTTCTCTACTCCTTTCCATAAAATGAAAATATTAGTATGATTTCAATATACCGGTCGTCATTCAGTTGTTTTTCAAGTTGAAATTTAGAATTTCAGATCGATGATATAATACCTCAGAACCAATATTTTCCATGAAAATCGCCTCCTCTCCCTGTCTTTGATGTTGGGCAAAATGGGATCGTCGGTGGGGATGGTGAAGAATTTGGACTAGGAGGCAATACCCCAAAAACTCTGGAAAAATGCATGTACCACCGCCTCGATCAACCCACAGATAATATTATCATAGCCTCCTCTGCCTATCATTGATGTTGGGAAAGAACGCCTCAATCGGCACAATGAGATCGTCGGTGGAGATGGTGAAGTAGTTGGAGGAGGAGAACCGAAAACCCCAAAAAATCTTCAAAAATGCATTAATCACTTGCTCGATTATTCTACAGATAATATATTATTATCGCCTCCTCTCCCTATGCTTGATATTGGGAAAGAACGCCCGCTAGGCAGATTGAGATTTTTGTTGGAAGTGGTGAAGTAGTAGAGGACGAAGGAAAACCCTAAAACATCTGGAAAAATGCATGCAATCCTCCTCGATTAATCTACAAAAAATATTATCATCGCTCACTCTCCCTATCCTTGATGTTGGGAAAGAACGCCTCGATGGGCAAAATGGGATCGTCGGTCGAGATGGTGAAGTTGTTGGAGGAGGAGGAGGAAAAACCTCAAAAAAATCTGAAGAAATGCATGTACCACCTCCTCGATTAACCTTGAAATAATATTGTCATCGCTCCCTCTTCCTATCCTTGATGCAGGAAAAGAACGCCTCGATAGGCAGTATGGAATCGTCGGTGGAGATGGTGAAGTAGTTGGAGGAATATAGGAAAGCAAAAAAAATCTGGAAAATGCATGGACCTACTCCTCGATTCACCTACAAATAATATCATCATCGCCTCCTCTCCCTATCCTTGATGTTGGGAAAGAACGCCTCGATGGGCAAAATGGGATCGTCGGTGGAGATGGTGAAATAGTTGGGCACTCTGCGGCTGTTGGGCGACACCGAGTTGAACAGGCCCGGCGTCTCGTACTGGGTCTTGAAGGAGGAGGTGAGGTCAGAAACGCGCTGCGAGTAGTCGTCTTGGAGGAGGTCTTCGGTCGTAGACTGTACCGGTTCGGTCGTAGACTGTATCGGTTCGGTCGTGGTCCTAGACAACAAAGGAAAAATTCTTCGATTTATTTTTCTATGTATTGAAAAGGAATATTTTCAGATATATTTATGAACAGTTGTAGCCATCTAGTGGCAAAGCTCTAAGGTAGGATACAGAAATCGCGACACACACTGTATGGCGCTGCCATCTCTATAGTCACACGTACAGACCCCTACGTCTATACGCTACAGAGTGGTAGTACTACAACCCAGACAGCACCAGATATTCCATGAATCTCCCTATCATATTCCTTTCGGAATATTGGAATATTCTAGAAATAATCTGGAATATTCCGGAATATCTGTGGAATATTCTCTAAATATGCGAATGGGAATTCCTCAGATAATCATAGAATATACCCAAAAGAATATTCTATGTTGAATGTTCCTGGAATATTCCAATAAACATATTCTAAAATAAAAAAAGTGACCCAAGTAGGGATCGAACTCGGGACCTCAAGACTATCAGAGCAACGCCTTGACCACTAGGCCAGTAATCGAATTGAATAATGTTATACATATCAAGTTCTTGTGAGAGCATTGTTCGAAATCGGATCATAAACACTTTTTGTTTCAAAATCCCCTTACATCAAATTGATGTTCGATACTAACATCTCTGAAATAATAAATGGTATTTATCTGTTGAGAAACATAAGAATATTCATGGAATATTTCATGAATATACACCACAGAATATTCAGTTGAGAATATTTCATGAATATACCGCACAGAATATTCAGTTGGGTATATTTCATGAATATACCGCACAGAATATTCAGTTGGGTATATTTCATGAATATACAACAGAGAATATTCAGTTGGGAATATTCCTGGAAGATTCATACCTGAATATTCCCTGAACATGTCCGACTATTCACTTTGGAATATTCCTTTTAGATGTTCCTGAGGCATGTATATATTCTAGGAATAATCGATGAATATTCGGAATATACTCCTCCTTTTTAGCATATTTAGAGAATATTCTATGAATATCCAGTGCTGTCTGGGAAGTAAACCACTCTGCTGACAGATGGCACTACCTGACATACTTGAGTTATGAGCTCTAGCAGTTGAATAGGTGGTGGAAAAATTCCACTCAAGTATGTCAGGTAGTGCCATCTGTCAGCAGAGTGGTTTATTTGTAGTACCACTCTGTAGCGTTTAGACGTAGGGGTCTGTACGTGTGACTATAGATGGCAGCCCCATACAGTGGGTGTCGCGATTTCTGTATCCTACCTTTGAGCTTTGCCACTAGATGACATGACTATAACTTCATGTTATACCCTGAGTCTTCCAAATGGGTGATATACCCGAAGCGTAGAGTTGTCCCAGTTGTCAGCAGACCGAGAGCGGCTGATGAGACCTGGTGGGTCGAAACAGTACTGTCTCGCTCCTGCTGACAATTGGGGCAACTCTGTTCATTCTGCATCTATTGAACACACACGATAAGAATTTGAAAACAAAATCTTCTCAAGTGGAGAATTTGCATTGTCCTTCATATAAAGATAAGCATATAATGTTATATAATATTCTGAATATTCAACAGAAAACAACTACTTTCCTGGCTAACCCAGGTAGCACAGGTTAGTGGAATGACGTCATAATGACGTCTTCTTCTGGTCATTATTGGTCAATGACGTCCTCGACTTCAGAGGGACCTTAAAATGACGTCATATTTCATGACGTCTTATTGACGTTCAATATTGGACGTCTTAATGACGTCCATACAAAGTCGTATATCCGACCAAATAAAAAGAAATCAGTCGCTTTCTTACTTTTTCATCGTTTGTTAATTGTACGTACTAAATGTGTGTTTGTATATACAGTGTTTTCGTGAGTACTGATGAACAAATTTATTTTCAGCCAAATTATGCATTTTTGAGGAATCTTCTGAAAACGGTCGATTTTCATTTTCAATTTGCCATATATTCATGAGAAAAATTGAATATACATACATGGTGATCCACGTTTGAGTTATGACCATAACGACCATTTTTTAAATAGAGCACCTTATATTATTATATTACTCAATCTTTGGAATAACCATTGGAAGCGGAATTCTAAAATGTTTAACACAATCATGTGGATTGTATGCGTCCAATAAATTAGATGCTCTTGCGTGAAGTAGTGGATTCATTATTATCCAATATCTATCTATCTCATATATTTCTGAGAAAACAGGAGAGGCTTTTATTTCTAATTCGACATTTATACGGAGGAATCATCAAATAGACAGGATGATACACGTTTGTATTATATGACGTACACGACACATTTTTCAAACGGATATATATTATTGAATTTTCGTAATTAAATGTATATCACACAAAGGGTTTGCATACAGGGCGTTCGTTAAATTCAGTTCTCTCGTAAAATTAGATCACCATTGAAATATAAAGATGACGTAATTTCTCCTACACGAATCATTCTGTATATATTGATTTAATATCAGATAAAGCTTGAATGAAAATAAAATTCTACGGCTTCGAGCATTATTCTCTGAAAAAAAAAAAAATATTTTTTTAATTTTCAACAAATTTATTAGCAAATTCGCAAAAGAACTTAATCCAACAAACGCACTGTAAACAGACTCATATATTTTTGAATCCAGCTATTCATAGAGACTCCAAAAATCGAATAATTTATAGGGTGTTCCTTTGAAAAAATGGTCGCGGACGTTGTAACTCTTACTTGAATCACCCTGTATATTCAATTTTTTCTCAAAATGAAAATCGACCTATTTTGGGAGATTCCTCAGCAAGGAATTGTATGGTTATAAGTACATTGATTGGCTACTTTATTTACTTCACGCGAGATGACTCAATTTAACGGACACACTGTATACAAACCCTATGTGTAATATATTTTTAAATTCAGATTTCCATGGATATTTCAAAAATTGAATGTATCTTATACTTAGGTTATTATTGTTTCCAATTGAAAAAATTGCCGAGGACGTCTTAACTGTATATATATAATTCTTACTTTCAAATGTGGCGAATCGGAAATAAAATCGACCTGTTGCAGAGGATTTCTCAGAAATGGATAGTTTAGCTAAAAATAAGTTTATTCAGCTTACATCTCGCCGACGCTCGCTACATAATTTTAGGTACAAATACGAGTAGCTAACGATATTTTGTCATATAGAGATTCATAGGATTCAACAGGACTGCCCGGTAGGACCACCAACCAAGTTTTACCACAACGTATAGTTACAAAATGAATGTCATCAAAGGTTTGTATCTATTATCATGTACCAATAATACCGTATATATATAAACCTCCTAATTTTTTTTATTTCGTCCTTTATTGGTCATTCTGCGACGTCATTATGACGTCAAAGTATGACGTCATATGGCTGTGACATTTTGAGACGTCATTATAGGGTCTCTCAGACACGTCATTTTTGGACGTCCACTTCGTCATTTTATGACTAAAAAATGACGTCAATTGGACGTCACTCTGCTACCTGGGAAATGCCACGTCGAACATTGAATAAACCGAGAAAGAATTGATATTATCTTCACATTTATCATACAGGACTATCACAGCAAACATATTTTATCAGCAATATTGTTTTGCCTACTTCAAAGTACCGTGTTTTCCTACCGTTGGTGGAAATGTTCTTGTCAAAATCGACTTTTTACTTGGCCGAGTTCTCTCAGTGTAACAAAGAAAGTGTTGTGTGGACATTGCAGCCAAGTCTCGTCAGCACGGCACGGCAGTTTTAGAAGGCTATATGGCAATACTACACATGAAATGAAATGTTACTAAAAGTATCCTAACTCTCTGTTCCAAGATAGAGAAATTAAACTCGAAATTCTTACCTATCGACGTGATTCTCCTCATCCACTTCCGGCACTTCCTCCTTCTCAGTCGTCGTCGCGGCAACATCGCCAACCGACGTCACGTTCTTCTCAGGCCTACCGAAGTACTTCGACCTCAACGAGGTCCCAGTAGGCCGCTTCCTGCTGTACAACGAACCGTTGATCTCGCCCCCGGAAACGGTGACTGAGCTACCGGAAGCGGTGACTGGGTTACCGGAAGCGGTGACTCTATTCCCGGCAGTGGTGGCTCTATTTCCGCCGAACGGTCTCATCCGCGTGTTGACAGCTTTGACATGCTTCTCGCCGATGACGTTCGGCTCGGTGGTGGCGCCGTGTCGCGGTTCTTTCGGCACGAACTTGCGGCGTAGGATCGGTTCGGTGGCCGGTTCGTCTTCGGTTTGTATCGTGGGGGCGGTAGGGTGAGTGGGGTGGGTTGGTCTCGATCTGAGTCGGTTAGGGAACCTGCGAAGCGATCGGGTGCTTATTATTGTCTCAGAGTAATAAGATAAATAGAGAGTGGAGTGATTAATTTTGATTTTATTTCTTCGGCGCAAAAGCATCACATCTGAAGGACCTCTGTGGAACCGCTTTCAAATCGATGATTCGAGAAGATTTTTCTGATTGAACTCGTATCTTATTCAACATGGCATGAATATTTCATGGCAAACAACAAACAATCGAACAAATTTTATAACGTTTCATAATGATTTATCCATAACAACATAATTGTCAGAAAGTCACTACGAATAATCATACAGGATGTTCCTTATGCACTTTCTCTCTTCCTCTCAGAAAGGTATAGATGGGACCAAAATATCACCAGTAGTACTTTATATAACTTTTTTTCCTAAACCCATAACAACCCCCTCAGCAGCTTCCCAGCGAGCATAAAAACATCTCAGAGATGTTAAAAGTACGAGATTTCGAGACATTGAACCTCCACTGCGATGTTCTGTTCACACATGAATAGAACTATTATAGAACAGCCAATGTCCGCCGCAGGCGGCAATTATCGAGATGTCCTTGAAATGTCACAAAACTACCTTCTCCCTAGTTCTTTTTAAAGCCTTTTCATGGACACAACAAAACATTTTCAACGCGTCTTGCGCACAATAAATCGCTGTAAAAAAACATTTTCGAGGTACTTTTCTGAAGCCACATCATAATTTACAGTGTTTCCCGAAATTAGCCTGCAAAACTTCACCAGCGGCTTCTTCGACCGTGAGAAGTGAGTGAGAGTGAGAGTCGAAATATATCTATCAAGGGAGCTATGGACTCCTGAAGATGCTATGTCTTGAATTATTTATGGCCATCGTTGCCTCGTGGTTAGAGCTCCAATGTTTTTTCCACGTTAGATTACCGGTACTGGGTTCGATTCCCACCACAACCGCAGAAATTTTTCTGAGACTTCTGAGAGTTGCTCGTAAGGGGGCAACCGAATGATGGATAAAAACAATTTTAGAAAAATTTTTTAGAATATTTCCGAATAGTCCAAGTTTCGATTGAATATTTCCTAACCTCAATCTTTCCGACGTAGTCCTGACAAAGTCCGTCGTGGTAGATGGCGTCGTAGTCGTCGACGTGTACTGGCTCAACCTTTGCCGGTATTCCTTGACGCTGAACCGCGGTCTGTTGGCGTTGTACTTGATGGGGAGGCGGTGCCTTGTCTTGCCCCCCGGCCTAGAAAGAGAGAGGTAAAATATTTTATGCACTAGCGGGCCGTAAAGTGCATGTAACCGCCCGGTTTTGCGGTCGTTAAGTTGAACTTTACCGCCCGCGGGCTCATTATGGCCCACGGGCCGTAAAGTGCACTTTACCGCCCGCTGATGTTCTTAGTTTCCTTATAGCCACATATCAATTCATGACAAACCTATGATCATATTCCTAGATTCTAATATATCCAGCGGTATATCATAAACTTCTTCTTTATCCGATTCCATAGTCTCGCTATTATCATTATCACCAATTTTTACTTTTCAGTCAAAGAATGACAATTCAGCTTGTTTATTGGATGTATTACTATCACTGCTATAGACAACAACCATCAGCTCTTTTGACAACATCAAATTAGGTATATATACTGGGTATGCATATTGTAGAATACTGAAAAATGAATCTCTTTTAGAGATCAATTATTACGATAATTGCAATATTTGTACGATAATTTTTATAAGTAAATCATCCATGAACATAACGCTTCTCTTCCTTACTGAATTTATACGTAACCATTTAAATTCGGGGAAATATCAGTTTATCTAAATCCAGTCAGAAAAGAGAGAAAGAGAACCACTAGTCCATAAAATTTATATGTATCACGTGCGTGAAATGCGTTTAAGGCCTTCAGCGTGTAATGGCCCTCGGCTAGCGCCATCGGGCCATTATTCACGCCACAGGCCATAAACGCCTACTTTACGCCTTTGATACATAAATAACTAATATGTTTTTTCTACAACTGTCAAAAGAACTGTACCTACTTCTCAAATATAGCTAGTTGTGTTGAAAAGGAATATTCTCAGATATAAGTAATCATGAATATAAAAAAATGGATATATACAGAGTGTTTCAAAAAAACCTGACCCCCTTGATAGGGCAAAATAAAAGTTGGGTTTGTTCAGTAAAAAAATGACGTGACGGCATCCGTTTTCAAGATACAAGATGTTGGAAAATGATTTTTTTACACATTTTTCACGATTACGTCGAAACTACTGGCAACATCGTGATGAAATTTTGTATGGATGTTTTTTGGAACCTGACACATCGCATGAATTTGTTTTTATATCTGACTCTCATAGAGGGCGCTAGTTTCACGGTTCGTACCTATTAGTTTTATACATAACTTTTTTGAGGTTAGATTCTCCAACCCAAATTTGATGTGAACTCAAACATTATTCAATTTCACACCAAAAAGGTACTCTTGGTAAAACTCGATACTGTGTTCCGTTTTCGGAATATTTCGATTTGAAAATAATAGAGTAATAGCTGATGCTCGTATAAAATGAATTTTATTGAGATCAATTACTCGTTTATTCAGATTCAAAAACGATAACATCATTCTTGTGCTGTGGTTATTGATTGAACAGAGAATCACAAGTAGAAAATTGGGAAATATTTGACTTGAAACATAAAATATTGAATCAGTTAGACTTTAGAGTAAGCGTTCAAAATGTCCTCCGTTTCATAGATATTTGTTTATGGAAGCATTATTTTCTAAACGGTTGAGGATCAGCTGTAAGCAGGTCATCTTAGAGATGTTCAATTCTGACTTGCAACTCCAGACGTGAATTTACCTCTGTAGCATACACATAGCTTGATACAACGAAACTGTGTAATCCATGTTTTTAGTAAAATTTGTTTCAATGTTAATCTTGTGGATCATTGTTAAATCAATAGGTTTAGCATTAGAAATGTATTGTTTTTTTCGGTTTGCAATAAATAGGTGATGATTTTTTATAATACTCACTCTAATACATAGCTTTATACCAGCAACAGTTATCACTTCATCATTTTAAAATCGGAATATATCGACAACGGAACACAGTATCGAGTTTCACCAAGAGTACCTTTTTGGTGTGAAATTGAATGATGTTCAATTTCACATCAAATTCGGATTGAAAAATATAACCTCAAAAAAGTTATGTTCAAAACTACTAGGTACGAACCGTGTAACTAGCGCCATCTATGAAAGTCAGATAGAGAAATGAATTCATGCCATGTGTCAGATTTCAAGAAACATCCATACAAAATTTCATTACAATGTTGCCAGTAGTTTCGGAATAATCGTGAGAAATGTCGTGTGATAAAATAATTTTTTCAACACCTTGTATCTTGAAAACGGATGCCGTTACGACATTTTTTTACTGAACAAACCCAACTTATTTTGCAGTGTTCTACGCACCTTATCAAGGGGGTCAAGTATTTTTGAAACACCCTGTATATAGAGAAATCGCATTCTCTATGTGATGGAAATATCAATTCTTTCTCGGTTTATTCAACAGAAAACAACTACTTGAATTATATCTATTGAACACACACGATAAGAATTTGAAAACAAAATCTTCCGAAGTATGTATGTATGTAACACGTGCGTACGTAAAGTGTTTTTCCTACTCGTAGAAAAAGAACCGCTTTACACACTTGTTACATTAATACCTATTTCGGGAACAAAGTTCAACATTCCATCTCTGTTGATAGGTTACAAAATGTCCCTTTTTCAGGTGGAAAAAAATGGAGTACTTTGTTTTCTGAATATACAGGGTGTCCCAAATTTGCTGGGACACGAAGCTACCACGTGTAATAGAGGTCGAAATAAGTTGATTGTACCCAATATACAGGGTGGCATTGAAATAAGTGCAAATATTTCAAACACTGAGAAAGCTCGACGTGTACTATCGAATAGCACTAATAAAAAAATGTAGGGATCAAAATTAAATTTGAGGTTAGACCCCTTTTTCGGTAGGCACAATCACGCGGAGTTCAATCATTTAAATTGTTTCAAAGTGGCGTACTTGATTTGTTTCTCGTATTTTGTTCAATTCTTGGGATGAAATTACTCGTTAATCAGAAGAATTAGAAAAAATCTGATATCATGGGAATATTCCTTAGTTAGAATATAATAATGTGCTGAATATGTGCACTTATTTCAGAAACACCTCGTATATACCAAAATGTACCGTTTGTCGATGACAAGAGTTCTAAGTTCACATGAAAAACAAGTGCATTTAAATTTTTGTATTGATGAAGGTGGCCGTCGGATCATATTGAAATTTTTTATAAAAAAAAAAACGTTCTTCCTTGATTACCACTGTCAACAAAATTTCGTATTACAATTTTATTGAACTTGTACTGGGAATATCTGTTTATTAAATATGTATAAAATTTTCGTTCGGAAATATTGGGAGTACGAATTTTTTACAAGAGTAACAAAATGGCGATAATTGATCTATCGTCTTGTTTGAAAAACATTGAGAACTGTATTAACACCCTCAAGAATGTTCTGAAAAATCAATCCCTCTACATTTTCTTATAGGTTTCTTTGATAACCGAAGGAGAGTAATCCTATAAAATGCACTTTTGTCATATTTCATTGAATTTGTTTCACTCATTCCTGAACTGCAAATAAAAATGTGTTTTCTTATGTAAACTATTATCTCTTCTCACGGACAAACGGTATAATTCGGTATATAAATAAATTGGTGTTCCAGCAGTTTTGGGACACTCTGAAAATCGGGTGACTCAGATTAATGGTACACCCCCCTTTTCCCCATTGTATTTTTAGCTATATTCCTGAAATTCTGAATGTCGAATATGCTCACTGAAGAGCACTTTCTCAAATTTTAGGAATTTAGTTTTCATCTTCCGATTTTCCTGGAAATGACATCAACTCTCGATTCTCAAATGGGAAACCCTGTATTTCATTTCATAATCGCTTTGGGATTATTATATCGAATTCAACAATACCAGGTTTGATAGAGTTATTACGAACGATTACGAAGATATTCGACGCTTTCGAAGTTTGCATTAGTTTGCCTTAGTTTGCATATTCGATATTACGAATTTCAGAAATATAGCTAAAAGAATAAAGGATTAAAGGAGGGTATACCATATGATTCTGTTACACATGGTATAGGTACACTGTTGATAACTTTTGTTGTCCCAGTTCCGCAAAATAAGCCAATAAAACCGTCTCTGAGAAAAAACTGCAAGTCCTTTTTATCCTCCATTTCACTTCACGGTAACGTAAATAAATAGACATAACCACTAAGTTCGACAGATATTTGATTACTTCATAGAACGTTTCCATAGCAACAAAGATGCCTGCAACGTAGGTGTAATTGTCTCAGTCTATCAGAAAACTTGAAATTTCACATTGATAATTTTCTGATTTCATTATAAAAAAATAGTGTATTATGCACGGGAAAAATATTTGATTTGAGCTCTCGGTATTTTGTCTCCCTCCGTTAACAACACAACCTCGAGCTGAAGTCTACTACTTTTATTTCCTTATAATAATAAATAACTATTATTGTCCAAGATACATGATATCTCATCGACAAACACTTTGTTCAAAATCAAAACGTAACTTAAACGAGTAGTGAAACATGAGAATTAGTGGAGTACTGATAATCACAGTTCAATATCGTCATAGCCTACTCTATTATAAAACAATCGAATATAATATACCTAGAGGTCATCGGCTCCTCCACGGCAGCAGCAGCGGTGGTGGGGGCGGCTGTGGTGGTGGTGGTCGTGGTGGCCAAGGTTGTTTGGACGTCGGTCTCATCGTCTGATCGGCTAGCCGGCGGAGACGATGCCGGGAAATCTATTTCGTTTTCCGGGGGGTTGATGTTGACCTTAAATGACAAACAAATCACGTGTTAGCTCTAGCCAACTTTGGTTGGAAGATTTCGAAAACAGTTTTAGGCGGAAAACTTTATTTTCAACAAAACAATTGTTTGAGTTACAAGCGGCGATGTCAACGCCAGAATTGAAACTGAACTGTATTCTGAACACAGGCATACAATACAATAATCAGTAGGATGATTATTTAGCAATCTTGCATTTTTTTATAAGTCCAATGTTAGATGTCGATATCTTCATCAAATCTAATCATGAGAAAATGTGACTCAATTTGCGGTTTCTCGAAACTAAATAAAGCTGGACGAAGGACAGACATTCTCCTTCATGTCTGTATCTTCGGAAACAGGACAGGTACCCTTACGAGGAAAGAGTATCAATACTCTCAAAGACCATGATATACAAAATGTCCTGACATGACATAGAAAGATTTTAACTGCAGATAATAGAAAAAAAAATAGTAAAAACGGTGGTGGTGGTGGCTAAGGTCGTTTGGGCGTTGGTCTCATCGTCTGATCGGCTAGCCGGCGGAGACGATGCCGGGAAATCTATTTCGTTTTCCGGGGGGTTGATATTGACCTCCAATGACAAATTACGTGTTAGCTCTAGCCAACTTTGGTTGGAAGCTTTCGAAAACAGTTTTAGGAAAACTACATTTTCAATAGGTTACAAGCGACGATGTCAAGGCCAGAGAATTCCCAACAACATATAATCTCCAGAAGTTCAAAAAAAATTCCAATACCTACCTCCTGTCCCTATCCTCCCTAGGAACGCACGATGTTCTTTGAACATTATAGGGATTTCTTTTCGTGCGCTCCAAGCGATAAAAAAAAACGGTACTCACAATCGTGGCCTCAGTGGTCGTAGACCCACCATCCTCAGTTTTCTCGATCATCTGCACCCTCTCGGTCACCTCTTCGATAACCACTCCATTGCCATCATTTTCATCAGCCACACTGGTCGTTTCGGCTACCACGTCATCTCGCAACTTGTAACGGACACTAACAGGCTGTCTCTCTCTCTCGTACGATGCAGTCGCACTTTCCTCATCGAATTCTTGCCGATACCTGTAACCATATATCTACTGTTCATATATGAAGCATAGCTGTCCTCAAAGCGGGACCAACTTCTGTCTCTATAGTTAACGAAATCGACCAATAGGCGTCGATGCCGCCGTAGGGAAAAAATAATACGAAATTTGTCAAACCAATATGGCTGTTTCCATCCTTCACTTTCCGTCCTTATAGATTCAAAAAGTACCTCTCATTTTGGTCCCAATTTTACGAAAGCGCTGAACGGACATGATACTTTTTTTAAAATTTGAATAATTTTGATCGATTCGGACTAGTCACAAATACTCCTAAATCAATTTCCAAAACAATATATCATGAGGGGTGTTTTTTATCAACGTTACATATTTTATATAAAAGCATTTTTCACCGTGTATAATAATTCTCATATGAATTTTCGATCGCATGAAAAATGCAATTTTTTCAAATTGTTTTTAATATAAGTTTAGAAACAATTCCTCTCACACATTAATGCCACCAAAATGGTTAATCATTTTAGTGAATAATTTTTCATCGAAGGACATGAAATAAAGGCGTGAGAGGATGTTAAACATCTCGGACTGTAAATGTCTATGATTTATGTTCGACGGAATTTTGCGAACAAGGTATGGTTCAGGAAAGGAACGTTTGGTGAGTAAAATGAAAAACCATCCATGCCCGTCGTCAGGAAGGTACTGGTACTTTGATACTTTTAATATCTGTAAATGATATTTTGTAGTTTTTGTTAATAAAAGAGTAGCGCCTGTCATTATCAACTATTCATTATAATGCAAGTACCTGTTCTGGAAAACCTCCTGGGAAACTCTCATCGGCTCACGGGAGTTTTCTTCGGACATCGACGAGTAAAAATCCTCGTCGGAGGTTTTGTGATTGGCGGGCATTTCGGTGGTGGTGGTAGGGGGTCGAGTGCGCCTACGCAAATGAACATTCCTCATTTCGATGCTTTCCTTGTTGCCTGCAAACACAATCACAGGTTGTCTTATGAAAAATTGAAGAAAAGCGCCGAAAGCGCGGTAGCTGTAACTCAGTTACTCTCGACATCTCATAATATACGATTAATAAAATCTATGAATCATTGCAAAAACACAATGCTTGAATTATAAGGTAATGAATAAAAACAATTGAATTCAATCTAATCAACAAATATCATCAGCATTATTATACTAGAGCCTGTCTCTCTGTATTCATAATTCGAATTATCCGCGTTGAAATTCGGTGTGTTGGCCCGAAATCAATTTCTAAGCAACTTTTTCAAATACATTTTCTCGGAACCTTCAACGCGAAGCAAAATATCAAGAATTTGTCTTTTTCGCGGGATCTCAGTAGGCTGGGTTTGAGGCTGTCACTCGTGCTGAGTATTGCGAAAAGAGCTGCCCATAAAGTCTAACTTCTGAACAACAAATCAAGAGTTTGCTCTAAAAAATGACAGGCTAAAATACAGAGGTGTGTCTTCATCTTAAGTGTATCGCACTGTATAGAAGTGTTGCTGATTCACCGTAAATTCCAGCGAGAGATACTTTGCCGCGTTGAAAACGGACACAAATTACAAAAGTGGCATCATGGAACAAGAAATTCTGGGTCGACAGCCACTGATTAATATTCAAGGCTGGTTGCTATGGTTACATATTGGTCAAAAACTGACGACTCTACAATAAGCGTCTAGCTAGAAGCGAATCTTTCGAACCTCTAGGTTATTAGGAGTTTATTCGTGTTTATAAGACTTTAAGGTAATATAAGGAAGAAAAATATCTCTTCTGCATGAGAAAGAAAAGTACTTTCAACCTAACTTGTCCTAAATGAACCTTCTTCCTGAAAAGTATATTTTTGAAAAATTAATTGAGTGAAAAAAATTTAAAAAATTTGACGCCTCGCAGAGATTGAACCCCAGTCACCACCGTGGAAGTCAGATACACACAGAACACTAAGCTGTCGCTTTACTCGTAGTATTCGTAGTTTCTCAATATAAAGAAGTGTGTTGTGGGTGACGTCCTTGACCTCGACGTTTGAAAGATTCGCTGGTAGCTAGATGCTTGTAAGACGACTCTTTAAGGTTCTTGTTCATAGAAAAAAAGGCGATATCGTTATATTCTCAATAGCCATTGGATCAAATAACATATAAACACAGAAATGATGTGAGTACGTTCATTTTGGATTGACTTCATTGGAATGGGCGGGTGGACTGATAATGAATTATTGCCATTTAATTACTCCACTTTTTGCAACACTTCTCACGCTTTTTTATGTAAATAAAACGTATCTATGCGTTGTTCAAAATCCTTGAATTTCAGAGCTCATTTCAAACGACGTAACGTCATGGCCGCCATTTGGCGATACGTCGATTGAATGGTGACGTCAGTTTTTATGCTGTTTCGTTATGGGTCAGATAATCTTCCATTTCCACTCATGAAGCAAGGTTGTCAAGTCACCAATTATAATCAATCGCATGTGAATGTTGGAGACTTGGCAACATTGTGCTGAATGCAGAGAACTGACAAGACTCCGCCCATAAGTCGTGCGCGGGGTTGTCACATTCACCGAATAATTATTATTTACACAAATTTATTACAAGCAATAAGCCACAAATCATTAGGAAAATTTTGGGACAATTAAATTTTTATTGCTATAACTCACATTGAAGGATTCCAGTGGCGGAATCGGATAAATTAAATGCAAATCCTGTCCTTTCATTTGTTTTTCATAGGACAGGGTGAGATCCCAATGCAACGTTTTTGATCCATGGTTTTTGCATTTCGCGACGCACCTATTATAGACCAGTGCTGAAGCCTTTGAAAATGGTAAAATGTGAAGAAAAATCATAGTAGGATTAAACTCATTGAGCAAGAAAGAAAATATAACAAAGATGAAAGAAAAAATGAATTACGGTAAAAAACGGTTTATCTTGATTTCCAGCAAAACTACGAGCCCTATGGAAAGAAGTTGAATTGCGAAGTTGTAGGTAATACAACTTTCGTGAGCACACTTTTTTCACATAACCTCAAAATTTATGTGAAAAATTCAAATAATCAAGGTTATGGTTTTTTATTTTTCTTATGCAAAAAAAAAATGTCTCACGAAATTTGGTCAAAACTCACATTTTCATGTCCTAAAGACACAGAAATTTATTGATTTGAAATATTTATTTTTTCACCTTATATACATCCGAGTTAATGTTAAGTTCATATTAAGTTAATGTTAAGTTAACGTTAAACTAATGATGTCATTTAAATATTGAAGTAAAATTAAATAATGATGATAATGATATCACCTTCATGTGATCGAATATGATTATAAACATGATCCCTGATCCTGATCCCTGGTCTTATAAACACTCATGACATATAATATAAATATTTGTGGTCGTAGGGAAAAAAGTTTCTAAAACTCGTTGGAGTGCATTTCCTGCGCTCGTTTCGTTTCCGCACTCGCCGCTCTGCGGCTCGTGCTAAACGTCCACTCGCGCGAAATATGTCACTTTCCACACTAGTTATGTAATATACTAAATTCCTTTCATTTTTGTTATATTCTCGTCCTTTTTCAACGGATTTTATCCTATTTTTTTAATTTCAAAAATTATCGACCCTGGTCTACTAGTACTCCTATTGGTAAAAACAGTTCGTACCTCTCTGTCTATATCTATACCGACTCCTCGTGTTCTTCTTCTCGTCGCTATCGTCTACCTCTGTCGTCGGAGTCGTAGTTCGGTACCTCAAGGGCCTCTCTTCGTTCTCCACGCTGGTACTGCCGTCGTACCGACCCCGACTCGGTACTCTCGGCCGTTTCCTCCTGCGCGGCCTTTCCGTCTCCGCTGACTGGGAGGCGTCCATAGGTTCCTGCAACTGTCGAATAGTAATTATAGGTCAGGGCTGAAGCCTTTATTCACGATAGTAAAAAGTGAAAGAAATACGACACTCCCCGGCTAAAGAATTCGGCCAGCAAAAAATTTAGCCAAATTCATCGCCCTGTAACTTTTCAATTCTTGACCGATTCAGGAGAAATTCCGACTAAATCGTAGATATACAGGGTATCCGGATATAAAACCGACAACACCTATTGGGTTATTGTATAATCCAGTCATTTGATGACGGAAAGCACTGGATTCAGGAAAAAATTGCTAAATAATTTTTCTCGACGGATCTATATGGTTTTTGTGATGCTGAATCTGAAAATCTAGTTATCGACTAGATTCGAATATGGCTTTACCACGAAAATCGCATTAAACCATTATGATTCGGGACTCATTTTGATTTTTTGCTAATAACTCCGGAACGACGGGATTAAGAGAAGAAATACATCATACGAAAATGATGAAAATTTACTGTGAAACAAGATCAAAATTGGTTCTATATTGTGTTTGATCTAGCTGCTGGGGCGCCCTGAGAATTGACAATAGTTTTAAAATTGTCCAAAATATCAAATCAAGTGTGAACAGGCGACAGAAGATGCAGACTATCTCATAGTTCCTATTGCCAACAGTGTCTCATATAAATTTGACAAGGTAGTGATTGTAGGCGAAGACGTTGACTTGTTGGTGATCATGATTGGGCTCCCTACAGATTTAAATGTCTATTTCCTGAAACCTGGGAGGAAGAATGTGCAATCGAAGTTATATCACCCACCCAACGCTGTTACACCGATCGTAGCAGAACATATTCTGTTTCTCCATGCTACGAATGGTTGTGATACGAAATCTGCGCTTTATAGCAAGGGAAAAAAAAAATTCGTCAAGACTCTCATGTCCCCTAACTCCGCGACTAGAGCAGAATACGTTGATGCCAGCAATAACTGAATAACTGCAGCCAAACAATAGATGCTTCGAAAGAAACATACAATGCCAAGATGAGATCGAAACTCATAGATTGTCCCAATGGCTCCCGTTCGTTTTGGTCCCTTGCTGAAGCGGTCGGAAGAAATTTCACTAATAGTTCATTACCACCACTGTCCAAATCCGACGGCACATTAGCAACAACATCGCAGGAGAAAGCAAAATATTTTTGCAGAGATGTTCGCAGCAAACTTCAGATTCCCAAGAAAAAGTGCCGCCAGACATTCCACCCGTTGAGAGTCGAACGCCTGAAATCGTCTTTCGTCAACGCACTATCAGACGAATTTTGCTTGATCTCAAAACGAATAAGGCTAACGGTCCTGATGGAATTCCACCCATTATCCTCAGAAAATGTGCACCAGAATTAACACCGATTCTCTGCAAGTTGTTTACGGTCTCGTACAGGTCGGGTATTTTTCCATCATGCTGGAAGACAGCTAGAGTCCAACCAATCCCCAAAAATGGGAACAAGAACCTGCCCAACAACTACAGGCCCATTGCCCTGTTATCAGTAATCTCCAAAGTGATGGAGAAAGCCATCAATATTGAGCCTACCAAATATCTGGAGAGCTCAGGAATCATCAATGATAGACAATACGGCTTTCGCCACCGAAGATCTACTGGAGATCTACTTGAATACGTCTCCCATTTATGTCAAGCTTCATTATAAAAACACGGGGAATCTCTAGTTGTCGCGTTGGACACATCGAAAGCATTCGACCGTGTTTGGCACGAAGGACTCCTCCACAAACTACCATCATACGGCTTACCACCTCAGCTCTATGCCATCTCTTATCGAGTTTTCTTTCAGGCAGATCGCTTCACGTGGTGGTGGACGGTGTATTGTCTGATACCATTGGCATCAATTCCGGCGTTCCACAAGGATCAATTTTGGCTCCAACATTATTCCTACTTCATATCAATTATCTGTTGGGAGTAACAACTTGCCCCATCCACAGCTTTGCAGATGATAGTACCCTCCATACTACGTTCTCTTCCAGAATTTCCATTTCTTCCCAGGTAACTAAGAACTCACGGCGCAGGCAGGTCAATGCTGTCAATGAAAACCTTGCTGAAATCAGAGCCTAAAGAACCAACAACCTAGTTGAATTCAACGCCACCAAAACTCAAGCCTGTATTTTCTCTAGAAAGGCGGAATCCAGTATGCCTGATATTGTGATGTCTGGCACCACCATCCCCACCAAGCGCACCATATCTATTCTTGGTATTTCCATCAGCAACACTCTCTCATGGGATAATCATGTCAGATCCATCGCGAAAGCTGCTTCACAAAAACTCGGATTCTTGTTCCGTGCGAAAAGCTACTTTACACCTCAACAGCTTCTCATGATCTACACAGCGCAGATACGGCCTGTTCTAGTATATAGTTCCCACATATGGGGTTCAGCACCAAAACATACGCTGATGCTCTTAGATTCCATCCAGAGAAGAGCCATTCGCCTGGCGGGTGACGTCACACTCACTCACTCTTTGACATCATTGGAACACCGTAGAAAGGTCGGCGACCTTCCACTTTTCTATCGATACTTCCACGGGAAATGTGCTTCGGAAATCTCTGCTATCATCCCTTCACTAGCAATACTAGTCAGACGAAGTAGACAAGCCCAGTCAGCACATCCATTAGTTGTCAACCTCGAAAGATGTCGAGCAGCACTTTATCAAAACTCCTTCATCCATAGAACGGCTAGGCTCTGGAATTCATTGCCTGAGGAAGTATTCCCAACAACATACATTCTCCAGAAGTTAAAAAAAAAATCCAATACCTACCTCCTGTCCCTATCCTCCCTAGGAACGCACGATGTTCTTTGAACATTATAGGAATTTCCTTTCGTGCGTTCCAAGCGATAGAAAAAACAATCCTGCTCTTGGAACCACTCTGAAGGCCTTCAAAAACACTGTCTGCGATCCCGAGACCATTCAACAATCAGGAGAGCAGTACCTCGTCGCTCTTTACGGTGATACAAGGTCTGAAGCATCACTCAATGCTGAGCGATACAAGCAATATGTCAAGTCTGCATTAGAGACGCTGCACACCAGCACTGCCGCAGGGTATATCACCAAGAGGCATAACTAGGCAACACCAAAAACCCTTTGCTCTGGAGATGGTACTTGGCAAACAACGGATTGATGCCAAAAACAACCATACAACCGTGTGCACCAGACAAGCTGTTGCATCTTGTTGCCTGCAAATGCACACAAGATTGTGAACGAAACTGCGGCTGCAGAAAGGCCGGGTTGTTCTGTTCCAAAATGTGCAAATGCTGTGAAGGCTATTGCAGCAACAATCAGATGTATTCCGACTATGACGACAATCTGGATGATATAAGAACGAAGAGGCTGTGCAGGACTTTGCTGGTGAAGAAAGCAATTAATCGTTCACATATGTGGATATTTCCTTGAAAAACTCAAGAGCTTGACTATTTTTACTTGAACACAATTTCTCAGACGATGTAACTGTGATCTTTTTTAGATGTCCTGCCTAGTTCTGGTATCGGGAATGACGAGCAGGAGGCTACTGAGGAATTGCCAGGAACCTCGTATGAAACTGAAGGTATTAATATTTCTGTTCATTTAACCAAAATATCATCAGCCACAACAGACATCAAATATAGATGTTTATCAATAGGTATCTCTTTTGTGTTTCAGAAGAAGAGTCTCACGAAAGAAATGAACCTTCCACATTCGACCGTTACTGCCTCAACTGCACTGAATGAATATTTGGATGATTGTCTATTTATTTTATTTTTAACCGTACAACCATGAGTGTCTTTTTTATGCAGACCAATATTATGGATTCAATTCTGACTCCAGACCCAATCAACGAAGGGCGCAGATTCCGTGGACTGTAGGCTTTGAAAGTCTGAAATACGAATATTTTGAATAACTTAACTATGGTCAATCTTCAGCGTGCTCTAGCGGCTGAACCAGATGAGTTAGCAAACTGATTTTTATCTCTTTTCTTTCTTTGTAAATTTCATCTGCTTCCATTTTCATCTGAGCTAATTTTCCTCTATATCGAGTCGTTTCGCAGTTATGAGCGAAAAACTAAAACAACTGAATTTTCAGATTTAGCATCCTAAAAGATATATGGATCCGTTGAGAAAAATTCTTTAGCAATTTTTTTCTGTTCAAACTACCAAATGATTGTACTATATAGGGACTATCAATATGATTGCAATATGCCATATACAAATGTACAAAATCGCTTCACTACTCACATACAGAGTGATTTATGTATTTTGACATGAAATTCAATTTGCCATATTGAATACAGGGATTACCCGATTGGGATCGAAGGTACATGAATTGGACTCAAAGGTTTCAACAAGTAGCCCTTTGAACAAAACCAATAACAGGACCGGAATATTATATCAGCAAAAATGGAAATATAATAAATATTTACGAAACCGAAACTTAATTGTTGTTATTTTCTTCAATAACTTCGTAGATATATTTTATAATTCACTCTCGTGACCTCCTTGAGCAACATGGACTTCTAGCAGAGATATACAATATGAAGAGATATACAATATAATGGGACTATGACTATGACTATATGACTTCGAAGCACGAATTACTTTGGTATTAACGGTCTTATGGTACGCGGTGACCGTGACGCGAACTTGCCCACCTTCTGGAAGTCGTAGCTCTCGGTGGTCTCCGCCTCCTCGGTAGTCGTCGGGGGTGGCGAAAGGGTGGTGGTGGTGGTGGTAGTCGGTTTCCTCGGTTGGGGGCGCCTCCTTCTGGGTTTCGGCCTCTGGGTGGTGATCTCGTTCGAAATGTCGCCCAACTCGCCAATGGGCAGCGAGGTGTCGGTTTGAGATTCCTGAGTGAACGCCGGTTGACCTGATGAAAAGTGGAATTTCACGATTAGGGTTCAAACAAATTCAGAAAGTGAACTGTTGTTGATGAACGTTAGTGACAATATGCATATCTTGAAGAAGTGACAGGGGTTCATCGGAACGAAAAGCAAAACAACTCTGAGTGTGCAGCAAAACATCGTTGTTACAGTGGCGGCTCGTGACTTCCATGACAGAGGAGGCTGAATGATATGAGATTGTTTGTGAAAAACAACTCTCTACGACTCACCCAAATCAATAGCTTTAATGACATTCTGTTTACCAGTTAACCTGAACTTAATACTTGAAGAAATCTGTTACTGTGATTTGCAGTGTCTATCCACTCCGCGAGGCAAATTTTTCAAATCATTATATCCTAATCGCCCCCAACATGATGACTTATCGGTTGAAAATAATACGCAGTACGAACAAAATAGCTTATTCCTTACCTCATATCCCGTCAACCAGATATATTTTTTATAATTATCAGAATTGAACGAACGATTTTGTTTGTTACCTGTTACAATCAGATTTTTTAATTCCGGTGTCGGACGTTTATTTTTCACAATCAATCTATCTTCATAAGACAAAGCACTGAATGTGTTCACCAAAAAGTATTCCACTAAATCGCAATCGTTTAAAACACTCATTTTCCAGAAATTTATAGAGCTCCTAACCATTAACCTAACATAAACATAAACAATGCACTCGCGATTGTCCGCAATTCGCGACGAGACACGACGACGATGACAAACACGTGTTATTCGGGCATTTGCATTGCGCGCTTGGGTTGCGAATTGTGAAGGAGCCTAGCCTCCTATATATGTTGCCAAGTTGAATATTTCACGCGTGATTTGCAGACTTCAACGTGTGATGCGTGGGCGAGCACTGTTGCCAATTTAAAAATATTTACCTAAAGACAGGAAATAAAATCAAAATCCATGTATTTTGGTATCCTTTCAATGAGAAAGTATAGATGATATCAGTTCAAGGAGAGTCTCTGAGGAGGCTCAGCCTCCGTTGCCTCCTCTGAGGAGCCGCCACTGCGTTGTTACTGGTCGGCGGACACGTATGGACTTGAGTTTGAACTTGTGATGCGATATTCAGACTTCCGTTTTCCCTTGGGGAAAAAAATTACCCTAGAATGTTGCCGATGGTTTCTGGAAAAGAATAACCCGATCATCGTGCTCAGCGATACCGAATTAGGCGGAAACGACAACAAACTCGATATACTACCTTCAATTTTTACCCAAATTCAAATTTGTTGCCATTTTTCGATCCAGCGGCATCGATTTTGTAGAAATTGATATAAAAATATCTGGTGTATTCACGATTATCATTTTTCAAAGATTCGGTTAAAAAACTGATTTTTGTCTCAGAATATAAGAAGATATTTCTTGGATGACCTGAACTTCGATCTCAGCGACCAAAAATTAACCGAAATGGACCCCTCGATTGTCAAAATCCGTTTATTCCAGCAAATTTTTCCAATGAAAAATCACTACGGGCAAAATTGTTCGAAAGGGTCTTAGCGACAACTGTGCCAAGTGGCTTGCTTCTAACATCAAATGCGGTTTTTTTCCTGAAACATAATGTGTACCGCTAGCAGTAATTCGGCACCTCTCATTCTCCACAACGGACTCAATATCCCCAATCAACCAATCAGAGAGCGTAGATACAGGTCCTTTGCCAAATCCATGTACGTTGTGCTTATATGCCCACCGGAGCATATGGCATATTATTATTATTATTATTAACATTATTATTATCATCTGATCCAAGTTATCACGAGGTTATCGCGATGAAAAATGCAGGACTTCCCATTCGACCACAAAAACTCTGGCCAGTTCCAGTCAGTTAGTCATCAAACTGCCACACAAACTTCTAGACATGATTCGTGTTTGCTTGTTTGCTTTCATTTTGTTAATGCAGCTGTCGACCATCATCACCGAAGGATGTGATTCCTTCAATAACACTACGATATATGCGCAAGACATTCATGGGGAAAACTTATCTTTCGTGGTGAACGGCTGTATTGAACCCAATAAGGAGCTCAAAGGTGATGAGATCAGGGACGTGCTCATTGATAGTGATATAACGCGGCTGGGCAAGGATTCGATAAGGAATCTGCCGAAACTGGAATGGATGGGGATATTGGAGAATAATCTGGAGATTCTCGAGTCGCATGCCTTCAGGAATATGCCGAGTCTCAAATCGTTGAATATTTTTGGAACGAACCTCAGGGAAATACCGAAAGGTATGTACTACCCTTGTCTTGTTGTGAATCTTGAACTTGATTCTGAATCTAAAAAGGTGTTCAAGTCGAATGGAAAACGATACAATTTTTGAAAAATTGATAATCACAAGTTCGTTCAGCTGTTGAACGAAGTAGATTGGGATTTCATAAAAATAATAACTGCACGGAAAAAAAAGTTTCGTTGCAGCAACAAAATAATTTTGGTCATTTTTGTTAAATTAATAACAATTTTCAAAGAGACAAAATAATTTTATTGCATTTATAGTTGGCATAAAACAAATTTTGTTGATCCAACTATCATCTCATTGTTCAATCAATCATATTATGCATCTTGTCTATTTGACAAAATTAAATTGATTTTAACAAAGATTTGACTAAATACAACATTTTGTTGATTCAACAATCATTTCTTTGTGCAACCAATCAAAGGTTCTTTTCTATTCGACAAAATTGAATTTATTGAGACATTATATTTTGTTTATTCAACACATCATTATCAAGAAATATGTTGTTATTTCAAACAGATTATTTTGCTGAACAGAGAACCCACAGATACATTATATCAAACAATAGTTATTTTCCTAACAAGTGCTAAAAGTGTTACTTTTCCGCACCCATATAGTTATCCAATCAGCACCAGACATCTTAAAGACGTACATTTTACGACTTACTTACGTCTTTACGTCCAGGGACGTATAAAGTACGTCTTTAAGATGTAAATCCATGTACATCTTAAAGACGTACACGAATTTACGTCTTTAAGACGTACATTTCAGGTCGTATCCACGTCGTTCCTCCCATGTCGTATAAAAGACGTCTTAAAGACGTACATTCCAGTACGTCAATTCGACTTATAGAACAATAATGTAAGTTATCTTCTGAAGAAAAACAAAATGTCATCTCTTCACGTTTTTTATTTTCAATTGTTCAGTTTTTTCTTATTTTCAACAAAAGTGATGTTTTTGAATTTTTCGTCCGACATTTTGGAGCCTTCGTGTTAGATTCTCGAATTTTTACAAAAAAATCATATTCTCCGACCCCAAAAGTCCCATAGTAATCAATTTTGAATAAAATCGGACTATAATCACAAAACTCGTCCGCCATTTTGAAGCCGACATCTTGGATTTTTCATTTTCGACAAAAGGAATTATAATCTTGATCTGATCCCGAAATCCTTCAGATGCCAATTTTGAATCAGATCAGACCATAATCAGAAAACCATATGCCACATTGGATTCACCATCTTGAATATTGAATTTTGATTCGAATCGGAACATAATCAATGAGAAAAATTGCCAAATTTCAAATCAATCGGACGATTTAAAGTGAGTCAAATTTAACTTGCACGTTTTGATTACAAACAGACACAAGGACATGTTAAACTAAGTAAAAGCTTGTTATGTGATATATAGAACAAACAGAGTATAACAGAAGAAGTGAGTATGGTATAAACATCGAAGTCAAGCAACAAAGAGCGCGGTTAGTACTTGAATGGGTGACCGCTTGTGTCTACCGTTTGATGAAGTCGTTTATTTCCCTTTTTTTGCTTGTCTGCACTTGTTGCTAACTTCAGTGCACAGGTGAAAATTAACTGAAACTATGTGATTTTTCCGTAATTTGAAAGATCAATTTGAGGTCATGGACCAAAAATACCTACCTACCTACCATATTAGTGGAAAATGTACGTTTTAAAGACGTCTTAAAGATGTCTCTTGGGCGTAATATGTACGTCTTTAAGACGTACTTATGTCCCGACATGTACGTCTTAAAGACGCCTTTAAGACGTACTTTGGCTGATTGGGTAGGCGAACGTCGCGGAGCGGAGTTCGAATAAGTTTTTGCGTGCGGAAAAGACACTTTACGCACGTGTTAGGAACAACGTTTTTCCAACGAAAAAAGGAAAATAAAGAATATTATGATGAAGTGACGGTATTTCTAGATTTTTCCTGACAGAAACTAAGTAAAAATCTGACATCATGTCAAAGTTGACAAGTGCACTTGATATATTCTACAGCAACTGAAATGGATAGAAATGTTCCATACCAGTGAGATTATTGGGTAGTTTTAATTATCCGCGCACGCCGTGCACTCCCTAGAATATTGGCGGTTTTGGAAGAAAAATCAAAATTAATGGCATTATTGTTGAAAGTAGATGTTCTTCACAAGGTATAAAATTCAATATTCCAACCAAACTCCACCCTTCACATTTAGAAACACTTGCTATTGAATCTGAATTGGTCATTAAGTCAGTTGATCCAAATATCAAAGATGCTCTGCGTGCTGAGGTGGCAGTTTGCCTGAACTCCCATTTTTATTCTTTCAACCACTCCTCAGATAACTCAACTATAAAAAATCATAAAACTATCAAAAAATTGAAAAACAAAATATCTGATAATAACCTGATTATTTCTGAAGCTGATAAAGGAAATTGTTTAGTCATTATGTACAAAACTGAGTATATTGGCAAAGTTGAACTTTGTCTTTCCAATGATGATTTTACTAGAATTAGATTTGATCCTACTGTTAAATTTCGAGCCACTTGTAGAAAAACTTTCGATGATTTGAATGACACCATCACTTTTTTGAAAGCAAATAAATTCTATCTTACTACTCAGACCAGTTCAAATCGTAAACGTACAATTTAGATCTGATTTCGTTTATTTCTTGGACGTTCTGAAACCTACACATATGGATGTTTTGGTGAAGTCGAATATCGTACTCTCAATGGACATCCATAAGGCGTGTAGCGATCACCCGCTATATATGTTGAAACTATATCAAGCACTCCCACTTGGGAAAAACATGTAAACGTTTGTTTAGAAGTTTAGAGTTCAGTTGTTTGACGGATAATAAAGAAATTGTCATAAAATATTTGGCATACAGTTTCATTTAATAAAATAGAAGTCGGAGATACATATAAACCTCCAAAGTCATATAAACCTCCAAAGTGGTGACCCCGACGTGATCTTCTGATATGCCAGATAACAATATTCCCGCCGAAACGGTTGCACGAGTGTCGATGCGTGCTCCACCTTTCTGGCCAGAAAAACCAGCGTTATGGTTTTCACAACTTGAAGGACAATTTCACCTCAGTGGCATCGTCAGAGACGAAACCAAGTTTGCCTACGTGATTTCACAGCTTGAAAGTCGTTATGCAGCTGAGGTAGAGGATATAATCACCAACCCACCAAATAACGATCGATATGAAACAGTGAAGCAAGAACTGATCAAACGGTTATCCATATCACAAGAACAGAAAACTCAACGGCTTCTAGAACACGAAGAAATAGGAGATCGAAGACCGTCTCAATTTCTTCGTCATCTCCGTAGTCTAGCCGGAAGCACAGTTCCTGATAACTTCCTTCGCACTTTATGGCTAAACAGGCTCCCCAATCAAGTAAGAGCAATCTTAGCTACTCAGGAATCATCAACCCTGGATGAAGTCGCTCAACTTGCTGATAAGATTACGGAAATATCTCCTCGTACCGTAGCTAGTGTCAGTGATTCCAAATCAGAAGAATTCAGTGAACTAGCAAAACAAGTTGCTGAACTTTCTAGACAAATTGCTGCTCTTTCTGTCGGAAAAGGAAAACCTAGATATCGTTCTCATAGCAGAAGCCGATCACGAAGCGGTTTTCGAGCTGGTGCCAGAGATTCAAGAGACAATGTTTGCTGGTATCATCATAATTTTGGACCTAAAGCTAAGAAGTGTGTACAACCTTGTAGTTTTGTTCTTTCATCAACATCCAATGCCAATTTGGAAAATTAACAGGGCAGCCGCATGCAGAGGCGACTAACGACTGCCCACAACCCAAACGCCTTCTTCTCACAGACAAAAACAGTAAAGTACAATATTTGGTGGACACTGGTTCAGACTTATGTGTTTTTCCTCGTTCTCAAACCAAACACCGTGTACAAACATCATACGATCTTTTTGCTGCAAACGGATCTGTCATTCATACATATGGAGCAGTGTCACTGTCACTTGACTTAGGACTGAGACGTGAATTTTTGTGGCAATTTATAGTTGCAGATGTTACAAAACCCATAATAGGAGTTGACTTCCTGAGTTACTTCAGCCTTCTTGTCGACATTCGAAACCAGTGCTTAGTTGATTCCATCACAGGTTTAACATCAAATGGGGCTCAGTGCTTTAATGATCAGACCAATGTGAAATCCATTTGTGGTGAGTCCATATATCACAATATCCTCAGTCAATTCCCAGAAATCACAAAGCCAGATGGTATTCCTAGAGATATGAAACATACTACGATGCATCACATTCGTACCACTCCAGGACCTCCAGTAGCATGCAGAGCTCGACGTTTGAGTGGAACTAAACTCTGTACTGCTAAGCGTGAATTCGAAGCCATGGTGAAATTGGGAATTGCCCGTCAATCTGATAGCTGTTGGTCATCGCCATTACACTTGGTAGCCAAGAAGAATGGAGAGTGGCGGCCTTGCGGCGATTATCGCCCACTCAATGCACGAACAATTCCTGATCGCTACCCCATTCGTCACATTCAAGATTTCTCACAATTCTTAAAAAATCAGATGATATTTTCGAAGATTGACCTGGTGAGAGCATTCAATCAGATAAGAGTTGCTCCAGAGGATATTCTCAAAACAGCTATCATCACACCGTTTGGTCTGTTTGAATTTCCTTTCATGAGTTTTGGATTGAGGAATGCAGCCCAAACCTTCCAACGTTTTATGGATGAAGTGACTCGTGAACTTGAATTTTGCTTCGTGTATATTGATGATATACTCATAGCCTCATCGTCGGAAGAAGAACACCTAGTACATCTGAATATCATTTTCGAAAGACTCAAAAGCTATGGCGTTGTCATAAATGTCAATAAATGTCAGTTTGGTGTTTCCGAAATAGACTTCCTTGGATTCACTGTTTCTGAGCATGGAATCAAGCCTCTCAACGAAAAAGTCAAGGCAATTATGGAGTTTCCACAACCAGAAACTATCAAACAGCTACGAAGATTCTTAGGAATGTTGAATTTCTACCGTCGTTTCACATCAGATGCTGCTACACTTCATGCTCCATTGAATAAACTTCTGGAAGGAAAAGTGAAAGGTAATCAAACAATTCACTGGACCGATGAGCTTTCGTTTGCTTTCTGTAAATGCAAAGAAAGTCTAGCGCAAGCTACTCTGTTGGCCCACCCGGACTCTTCGGCAGTGTTGGGACTAGTAACTGATGCATCTGAAGTCGCTATGGGAGCAGTTCTTCAACAGCTCACAGATACTGGTTGGCAGCCGCTAGCATTCTTCAGTAAGAAGTTTTCTCCAGCACAACGGAAATACAGTACTTTCGATAGAGAATTGCTTTCAATTTATTCAGCTGTCAAGTATTTTCAACATAATGTAGAATGTCGAGATTTTGTGATATTCACAGACCATAAACCGTTGATTTATGCATTCGAGCAAAAACCAGAAAAAGCATCCCCAAGGCAATTCCGTTATCTTGATTTCATCGGACAGTTCTGTACAGATATTCGACATATCTCAGGAGAAGACAATGTTGTGGCAGATACTTTATCCCGTGCAGAAGCTATTGAACAACCTTTGGATTTTGCGGCTCTTGCAAACTCCCAAAATAACGATGCAGAGTTATTATCACTGCTAGAGAAAGGTACATCTTTGAATCTGAAGAAAATACGAATTCCAGGTACAGAGGCAACTTTATTCTGTGATGTATCCAGCACATCTCCTAGACCTTTTGTGACAGAACCATTCCGCAAGAAGATATTCGACCTTCTCCATGGACTGTCTCATCCAGGTATCCGTGCCTCAACTAGACTAATCAAGGAACGTTATGTATGGCCATCGATTGCGAAAGACTGCAGACAATGGGCTAAACATTGTATTCCTTGCCAACGTTCAAAAGTATCCCGTCATGTCATTACACCGATAGGCAATTTCAAAACACCCAGTACAAAATTCGAACATATACACATTGATTTGGTTGGCCCAATGCCTTCTTCGAATGGTTACCGTTACTGTTTGACTATTATTGACAGATTCTCACGCCTACCTGAGGCATGCCCTGTCTATGATATCACAGCTGAAACAGTCGCCAAAGCCTTGTTTTCATCATGGATTTCCAAGTATGGTGTACCATTGCGCATTACATCGGATCAAGGTCGCCAGTTTGAGAGTGATCTTTTCAGAGCTTTAGCCAGAACATGTGGTATTCATATCATACGAACCACAGCTTACCATCCTCAAGCAAACGGGATGGTGGAACGTTGGCATAGACACCTGAAATCTGCAATCCGTTGCCACCAAACCGAGGACTGGGTTGAAGTGATTCCCTCAATAATAATGGGTATGCTAGGTGTTTTCAAAGAAGATCTAGGTGCTTCAATTGCAGAAATGGTGTATGGAGAACCCATTCGACTCCCTGGAGAATTTTTAACACCAAGCCCAGCAGAACAGAATCCAACGAACTATGTTGACAGACTACGAAAACATATGTCTTCTATTCGACCAACCTGTGGTTCACGTCATGGTAATCATCCTGCGTTCGTCTACAAGGATTTATCTACAACTACACATGTTTTTGTTCGTCTGGATACTTCTCGTGCATCGTTGCAGTCTCCTTACGATGGACCATTTCCTGTCATCGAAAGAAGGGAAAAACAAATGATTATTTGTATTCGTGGAAAGAATACAACAGTCTCAATGGACAGAGTGAAGCCAGCATATATTCTCTCTGAACCAAAGATTTCACAATCCGTTCCAGTCGTGCCACCCTGTATCACACCGGGACCAATAAGTGGACCATCATCTAGTCAAGATTCATCCAAACCCTCCAGTACAAGCCATACAACAAGATCTGGAAGAAATGTCAAATTAACAGTGCGTTTCTCTCCTGAATGATTTTTTTTTTTTTTTTTTTGAGGGGGGAAGTACTGTAGCGATCACCCGCTATATATGTTGAAACTATATCAAGCACTCCCACTTGGGAAAAACATGTAAACGTTTGTTTAGAAGTTTAGAGTTCAGTTGTTTGACGGATAATAAAGAAATTGTCATAAAATATTTGGCACACAGTTTCATTTAATAAAATAGAAGTCGGAGATACATATAAACCTCCAAAGTCATATAAACCTCCAAAAGGCGTACAGTACTGAACGTTACAAAATATATCCCTAATTGTACATCCATTGAACGTCCATGTTAGGTTCATGGACCTTTGGACATTATTTGGGCATGAACTGGACGTCCACTGGACGTCGTGTGCTATATGGGTAATCAACTTCTCAATTTATTGTTATTATTATTATTTGAGTTCATATAATTCCAGTCACGACCCTGCGGCCTCCAACGTCACGCAGAGTCATGCTGGATAAAATCCAGTGACTACTCCTCACAGCCTGTGAGGTGAGTAATCACTGGGACCAAGTACCGTGTGCACTGAGTAGACGCAATGATCCTAGTATGACGGCCTTCTGCATTCCACCAGCCAGGATGTGTGCCTTATCACGGCACGCTGGGATTTTCTCGATTTCCGAGAGCAGCGTGTGTCGTGTGCCTCCTAGGGAGCCGATTATCAGGATGACCAATTCCACAGAATGGTCTGGATAGAGCCGGCGGAGTTCGAAGAGAAGATCTCGATATTTAGTCCGTTTTTCCTCCTCCTTCAAAACGATGTTCGGTTCGGCTGGCACCGAAAACTCGATCACGAACATCGCTTTGGTTTGATGGTCGAGGAGGACTACATCAGGCTTGTTAGCTTGTATCTGCCTGAGGGCGGGGAATGAGAAGTTCCAATAAATTCGGCACCTCTCATTCTCCACAACGGACTCAATATCCCACGGAGCATAGGGCAGCACTAGGGCCTCGTCTATTCCGTACGAGTGCCTCAAGTGTTAATAGAGCACTCGCAATGCTGCATTGTGTCTCTAGATATAGACTGAGACTGCATACACCATGCAAGAAGACAGCAGGTGCATAATTGTCTCGGGCGCCCTGCGGCAGGCCCTGCAATTTGTGTCAGGGACCTCCATACCCATGACACGGCTACGGTAGACGAGAGTGTTGAAAACCCCATCCTGGCATGCCATGATGAACCCCTCTGTTTCCCTAAGCCCACCTGACTTCACAAAAGTGAAAGTCAGTTGTTATTATTATTATTATCATTATTATTATTATCATTATTATTATTATATACCTCTGAATTGGGCTCCGGCCTGCTGGATGTATTATGTATAAATAAGTAGATAGATAAATGTGCGACTGTGCTTCAATTTTCCGAAGTTCTGATATATTATGTAATAAGTACACTTGAATTTGTATAACCCTAAAATGGCAATTGAATCACAGCATAGAAAACACTGCTTGCTCTGTACTGCACGGCAATCTATTACTTTGTGCTCTTCATACAAAATTAGCTACTTTCAATCGCAATGATTTTTCTCTAACATGGAACAAGAAAACAAACAGAATATTCGATTTTGAAAGAAAGTGGAATATTCTGATACACCACTTATTTCGAAAATACGTTCTTGTTACAGACGTTTTCAACTCAGTTCCCACCATCACAACCCTGGTGCTATCCAACAACAAGATCGACTTCATCGCAAGTGGAGCCTTTTCCAATATGGATTCGATCGAAGTGATCAAATTGCGCTTCAATCAGCTCACATATTGGAACAGAGATTGGTTCGAGAACTGCCCCAATCTATATCACATCGATTTCTCCGACAACAAAATCTCCATTATCCCAAGAAGAGCCTTCGCATCGCTGCCGATGCTCAAGGCCATCGATCTCGGAGAAAACAAGATCACCACCATCCAAGCAGATGCCTTCAGGAACATGACAAACCTCATATATCTGAACCTGGAACTAAATAGGCTCACAGTGCTCGACGAACGAGCGTTCCCCAACAAGATCTACATCGAGAATCTGTCTATCAACAACAACCGTCTCAACTATTTGCCGGACAAACTGCTGAGCAAGTTATCCATCGGAACAATCAACCTAGACCAGAACCCGTGGAAGTGTCCATGTATGCTGCGGATAAACGATTGGCTGTTCTTTACCAGGGGCAGTGTGGAAGTATCAGAACATCCTTGTCGAACATCGAACGATCCGGTCTGCATAGTTCCTCAGGGCAACACGTGCAAAGAGACAGTAGAGGTAGAGTTGACGGGAAGGTACCTCGGAAATATGAGGAATTTGATTGAGTCGATTAATAACCGATTTCAAGATAAAGACTACTACTTCAGGTCAAGGAGAGTTACTGGGGAACTTTGTATCAGTTTTTTCTCTTGAACAAGAGTACACTATACACGAAGGTAGGTACACTTAGATTAGATAAGATTAGATTTAGAGTGGGGCCTTCGGGCTATCTGCCTCCACACCGCGACCTCTTCAGATCTTTTGTGTCTGCCCTCAAGATCGTTTAGAGTTCTTTGACTAGCCCCGGCTTCTCTATAAGCCTCTATAGACTAGCTTTCAGATCCTCTGTGTAAATTTGGGTCCATTGTTTTTCCCTCATCCAGCGTAAGGAACCTTAGTCTTGACAAACTCTCACAATGGCGAAGCATGTGTTCTGCTGTTTCCTCCTCTTTCTGACATAACCTGCACCGCAGTCCTTCAGTCAGACCAATCGTACTCATGTGTTTGTTGAGACTACAATGCCCTGTGCTCTCGCAATACCACAAACGGGTTCTGGAGCATTCATAGCTTTGTTTGCTACTGCTCGGGTAGGTACACTTAGATTCAATGAACATGTCGCACATGGGAGGTGATACACGCAGAAGAAATAATGGTACAAACTACATGAATTGCTGTAAATCACGAAAAACGTCAAGAATAGGGACAAACTTTTGTCGAAGTGAAATATACTAGTTAGAAACATTAAAACAACCTGACTATCTGCAGCTAGACAGAAGAGGTAGCTGAGCTGCTCAGCGTTAAGGAAGGAAACACTTGCGATTTTATTCGTTTATACGAACTATCGCATAGGTTTCGGGAGGATGTAATGCAATGTTCTGCGTGGCATATAGCCAGGAAAGTAGTTGTTTTTCTCTCGTTATCTACCATTTTGTCGTTCATTTTATGAACTAGTTGTGGTAATGACTTTGAGTTTCTCTCTTCGTGACCAATGCATTCCACTTTGAGTTTTAGGCTTTTTCCCTAGTTGAAAATACGCCAGTCGGGCAACCAGCCACTCCCATTTCATCTGAAATGGGATTTTGTTTTGGAGTGTTTCTTTCCTTGCCAGGTGGCGTTCGGCGTTCGCGTTTTCATTTCGCAGACGTCGAACGCCTCGTATGGTATAAATGCTGAGATGTGTTTACGTTGGGTCAGGTTCGCACCAGATAGCGGTCAAGAAGCTATCTGGGACAGCCCTGTACTGATGAGAGCCAAGAGCTCGAAACCGGTCTGCAGGTAGTCAGCGTTCCTGAACCACTTAAGCGCAGCTCAGCGTTAAGGAAGGTAACACTTGCGATTTTATTCGTTTATACGAACTATCGTATAGGTTTCGGGAGGATATAATGCAATGTTCTGCGTGGCATATAGCCAGGAAAGTAGTTGTTTTTCTCTCGTTATCTACCATTTTGTCGTTCATTTTATGAACTAGTTGTGGTAATGACTTTGAGTTTCTCTCTTCGTAATTTTTTTCCGTTTTATTCAAAAGAAAACAACTACTTTCCTGGCTAAATGCCACGACGAACATTGAATTATATCTATTGAACACACACGTTGAGCGTTCGAAACAAAATCTTCTGAAGTAGAGAATTTGCATTCTCCTTCATATAAAGATATGCACATAATATCATTCTGAATATTCAATAGGAAACAACAATTCAGAATTTCTTTCCACGTCCTAAATAATGAATATCAATTTATCATACATCCAAAAACGAATGCCCAGATGACAATGGTTATGTCAACAAATTATTATTCTCAGATGTCAGTTCGTTATAGTTTTAGTTATATTATAGGGAGATGAAGGATGGCTGTAAGAATAACTGGACTTCAGGTTATTGATGAGGATTTGGTATCCGAAATTAGTTTCATTCGAGTGAAGTCATATAACCTGTTTGTGAGAGATATAATTCCCATATCACTGATACGTATGATCATCAAGATCATAGTTTATACATATAGGTAAGTTATATTTTTCTATCATAATTCATCATGTTATTCCATCCGATTTGACAAAAAATGTCAATTCTCAATTTCAGAGAATTTTAATTTTTAATGCTCACTTTTTGGATATTCAACAGATATAATTCAATGTTCGACGTGGCAAATAATCAGGAAGTAGTTGTTTTCTGTTGAATATTCAGAATGATATTGTGTGCATATCTTTATATGAAGGAGAATGCAAATTCTCTACTTCAGAAGATTTTGTTTTCAAATTTTCATCGTGTGTGTTCAATAGATATAATTCAATGTTCGTCGTGGCATATAGCCAGGAAAGTAGTTGTTTTTTGTTGAATAAACTGAGAAAAAATTGATATTTTCATCACATGGAGAATTCGAATTCTTAATATATTTTCTTATATACACAGAAAAAAAATGTTTGAAACTACACACAATTGATATTTTCATCACATAGAGAATGCGCATTCTCAATGTATTTCTTTATATAATATATTATATAAAATTTTTTATGTTCATAATTATATCTGAGAATATTCATTTTCAATACTTTCACCCAATCGAGGGGTTCAAACTTGAACGATGGAGACTTGTTATTTTTATAGACCTAAATCGCAGATTCGTGATTAGGTTTTCTCAATTCAGAATTTCTTTCGACGTCCTGTATGATGAATATAAATTGATCATGCATCCAAAAAATATTTCATCGAGATTTTCAAAAAAAATGGCGACGCGGAAACGGCGAGTTAATCAGAAAAAAAAGTATTGTTTTTTCTTCCAAACCACAGTTTTTTACTAACCTACTGGAGGGAGCTATTGAACCTTCCAAAATTCGCAGTTAATAATAATAATTATGATAATAAATGGTCCTTATTTTTCTTGGCGGAGTTTAGCTGACGCTATTCTTATGATCTGAACTCATAATTTTTTCGAGGCAGAAAGTGAAAAAAAAAATTGAGCTGACCCCTTTAGTCATTCAAATGGGGTGAATTTTTGCAGATGAAGGTTTTGAAGCATGAGAATCAATACCATGAAGTTATTTTTTCTGCAAAAAAATTCCTAATATTATGATTCTATAAGAAATCGACACCTATCTTTATTTCAATAAAAACAAACAGCACTGTCCATAATGATACTCGTCTACGAAAAACTGATCATATTGATGTTAATTTATACCAGTCCAAATTTGGTGAGAATCGCACGAATAATATTATAGCTGAGATATAGAGGAGGGGGGGGGGGGGGAGCAAAATGAGAAACGCTTGTTTCTCGAAAATTTTGCAAGTGTCGTTAGTAACTATCGTGTGAATTCCACCTTCAGGTTTGTTTTTTGCCATTCTGGGTCAAATCATCTAATGTAAGCACTAGAGGTTATCATCATGAAGATCGCAGAACTTTTCAATTCGACCTTGTGATCTCGCCAAACAAAATTGACTACATTAAAACAACATCGCTGGCCAGTTCCAGTCCAGTCAGTTATCAAACTGCCACACAAACGTCCAGACATGATTCGTGTTTGCTTGTTCACCTTCACTTTGTTGAGGCAACTGTCGTCTATCCACACCGAAGGATGTGATTCCTTCAAAAACACGAACGTAAGTGTCAGTGACGGTATGAAAAATGAATATTATTACGTAGTGAACGGTTGTCTTGAACCCAAGATATTCGAAGGTAAGGAGATCAGGAAAGTGTACTTCATAAGTGAAATAACGCGGCTGGGCAAGGATTCAATAAGGGATCTGCCGAAACTGGAATTGATAGTGATAGTGGCGAATAGATTGGAGATTAAACTCGAGCCGCAAGCCTTCAGGAATGTGACGAGCCTCAGAACGGTAACAATGGAGATGAACAACCTCAAGGAGATACCAAAAGGTATATTATTCATTTTTTCTCCAAATGACATTAAAAGTGGCTTTTTATAGACACTCGACAGGCAGGAAAGGTGGACTTTCACTGCCTAGACAGAAAAAGTTTGTTGCTATGCAACGTTCCAAGTAATTTGAATCAAATTGGTAATCAAAATTGACAATGACTCTGGGTGAACAAAAAATGATGGGTTAGTTGGACTTTGCGTGAAATTGAAAAGAATTTGGAGAACAAATTATATGTCTCACATACCCTAATAACACACTTATGTGCCATGGATATCCTTAGGACGTCCTGTCGGGACATTCAGGACGTCCATAGGACGTTCGAATTTGGTACCGTGGACACAAATGTCCCACTTGAGGACCAACTAGGGACGTCCTTCAGGGATGTCCCTGGGACAACTATCGAATACCTAAAGCCTACAGTATTCCTCATCGAGCACTACAGTGGACTTCCTTAGGAAATCCATAGGACGACCTATCAGCAACGCTGAGGGATATCAATTGGATGTCCATAGGATGTCCCAGGGGCGTACGAATTATTATTGAATTTGAATTTTTCTGGGTCCCTCTAGGACCAGATCTTGCATAACTGATTAGGACATCCAGTTGAGTTGATGGTCCGTAGAAGGTCCCCAAAAAGTGTCCCCAGGATGTCCAATGGACTTACGTGAAGGACATTGACGAGGAGTACTTATAGCCTACGAGCAATCATTCGTCGGCGAGGTGTAAGTTAACGTCCTCGCAAGGACAACATATCGAAAGTACCGACTGGGACGTCCAAAGGACGTTATTTCTAGGACATTGGAAAAGTACAGTTCATGTACCAATTCGGACATCCGACGGATATGCCTAAGGGACGTTCGAAGGATGTCCCTAAGGGACATTTCGATTGTTATACGATCCTGGAAATATTAAGGGCGTCAGTGCAGAGATATTTGAAGGAATGTACCATCAGGCACATTTCATGGTTGTCTAGAAGGGACATTATATAAGATCTGAAGTCATGCCAGAATATGTACTACTCGGGACATCCGATGGATGTCCCTTAAGGAACGTTTAAAATCATATCTCATCAGGGGCATGCCAAGGACGTCCTTGCATGGACATTCTACAATATGTACCACGTGGGTCGTCTAAGGGATGCTATTTTTAGGACATTTGAAATGATGTACCAGCTGGGACATTCCGTGGACGTCCTTGCTCGGACATTACATGAGATGTACGGGATGGGACGTCCCAAGGACACTTATTTTTTGTTCGGGACATTTGGACGTGAATTGTACCAAATAGGGACGTCCCTAGGACGTTGTGTGCTATTAGAGAACTTCTTCCTGAAATTATATTTTGCATAAAAAGCGGCTTTATTAACAAAACTTGATGATTTAGGTATAGGGACATGGTATGTCAACTTGTAGCATTTTTCTTTGTCCTTCAATTTATTGAGTGAAAAATAATGGGTTTCATTTGAAAAACCACTTGTATGAACAACGGATATAATAATAATTTCAGCACGCCCTGTATGATATGGAGGTGATTTCTCGGTGTAAATTGAATAAATCAAGCCTGTTCAAACCACCACTAGAATATCAACCCTTCATAAATTGAGAGCCCTGATTTACTTCAGTTCAATTAGTGATATGCTTTGGATCATATCGGGATCATATTTAACACACATTATTTTTTATCTCGAAAACCGATAGAGATAGGTATAGGGATGATCAACAAAAGAGTATTGTTTTGAAAAGGCAATTCTAAAAATTCATTGATATACGGGGTGTTCCTTTTGAAAAAATGAAGTTGCTAGGACTCTTTGCTAGGAACGGCAACGTCGCAATTTCAAAAATATTTTAGATGGATAGGTGAAAAAGTGTGAGATGCGGAATTTTCAGGAGAATCCAGCGTTGCGTTCTCTAAAATAGAAATAGAAACAACTTTTCTCTGTAACCTTACCGCTTCATATCCTTCGACGCTTTGTGCCTCTGGATATAAAAGTGATTGGTATTTAATAGCTCACTTCTCACCCTACTTGTATAATACCGGGTGACACAGGAGACATGTGACAGCCTGTAATTTTTCTATTTGGAGAGATACAAATTTGAAATTCACAAGAGTTATATAATGGATGATGGCGCCTTCCTTAAACCCAATGACAATTTTTTTCAACCACCTGTTTGAGAGGAAGTAGACCCAACTTTTTTTTTTCAAATGGCACCCTATATATTTCCGATGTTTATCTTATGCGCCTTGAAATTCTCTATCCAACTATGTATCACAATTCGATATTCATTCATTAATTGGCTGTTTTTTTTTCCTCGATTGAGGTGCATCGATTTCAGAGATCATTTTAGCACCATACTTTAGAAAAAAAACTGAGATTCATGTACGAAAAAATATATTCATCGTATATTCAAATTTGTTTAAAGAGGTCAGTTGCTCTCAGGAATTTAAGGAGGTTTCTGATCATGGTGGCGTTTCTGAAATTCATTGCAAAATTATTTTCTATATGATAGAGTTGCCTAATATTCGCGTATCCCGTACACATGCATATGATATGTGATACTGTTGCTGATTCACCGCATCGATCGCATATTGGAGGATCTTGTCCATCAAGGAGAAAAGCATGTGTTAATGCAGTGTGTCCAAACCTCAGTCTGTGTATTTTAACTTTATCAAATCTAGGCAGGTTTTCAGGAGGTCTCCACGGCTGAATAGTCGGTTTCAGCCTTCTCAAGTTATTGTTCACTCGATTCCAATCTTCTTGCCAGATCCTCATTAGGTCAGATTTGTATCGCCCTTTGATATCATCTACTCTAACGATCCTAGCTTCGACTATTTCGATCTCGGCTGCGTTGCGGGCAGCTCTGTCAGCGATCTCGTTGCCTATTATTCCGACATGACTTGGTGCCCAGATGAATTTAACATTCTTGCCTGTATTATGCAGATGGTGGATTGAAAATAATATTATTTTCACGAGTGGGTCTTCAGAAAATGGGTTCGAAATTGACTCGAAAGTCACAGACAACTACAAATTCTTGATTGTTTCCAGCCATATCGCAAAATTGCAGAGCCTGCCAGATCGCATAAAGCTCAGCTGTATATATAGATACGTACGAGTAAAGAGACCAGGAATGTGCAATATTGTCCACAGACAAAGCGCAGCCGGCTCCAGTCGATGTTTTGGATCCATCTGTATAAATGATTGTACAATTTGTGAATTCGTGAAGAATCTCTGAGAACCGTTGGCGATAGACCACTGGAGCCGTATTGTTTTTCTGGAGGGCAGTCAGATCTAGTCGTATGCAAACTTTAGGAATCAGCCATGGAGGTACTTCATAGTTGGTCACCGCAAGAACGTCCAAATGATGCCATTCTAGTGCTGGTAGAGATTCGCGTGCTCTAACTCAAACTGGTCTCGTGATAGTAGGTCTATTGACATATTCGTGATGGTTTTCGAATACAATTGAAAAATTCCGGTGATTTGGTTGAGCTCTTACACTGGAAATAAATTGCATTTTATTGAAATACATAAAGTTGGCTCTGGCCCGAATACAATAACATTTCGATGCTTGATAGGCTTAGAAATTCAAAGATCATCACTTAGACCAGAAGATTGCCATTTATTTCATTGAGTTTAAAAAAATCTTCCGAATATAAATCACGATATTAGGACGATACATTAATTATTTTAGTTTCATGTATCCAAATAGATGATCCTATTATGTCTACATGGCAAGAATGTAAGACGAATAGTTCCTTTACAAGTAGCCAAATGAAAAAAACTGAGTTTCTATCTCAGTTTTCTCAATCAATAATCAATAATAGTTATTTTCGGATGATTTTTTTATCAAACTCCATGAAATTATTGGAAATCTATTGGGACCGATTAGGGTATGATAATATCGTCTAAGTAATGATCTTTGGATTTCTAAGCCTATCAAGCATCGAAATGTCATTGCATTCGGGCCACAGCCAACTTCATGTATTTTAATAAAATGCAATTCAACAGCCAATTGATGAACGAATATCAAATTGTGATACATAGTTGGATAGAGAATTTCGAGACAAATAAGATAGGCGACAGAAATATACAGGGTGCTATTCGAAAAAAAAAAGTTGGGTCTACTTCCGTTCACACAGGTGGTTGAAGAAAATTGTCATTGGGTTCAAGGGAAGCGCCATCATCGATGATATAACCCTTGTGAATTCAAAATTGGTATCTCTTCAAATAAAAAAACTACAGGCTGTTACATGTCTCCTGAGTCACCTATACTATTTATCTTTCATGCATGGAACAGAAAAACGAACAGAATATTCGATATTGAAAGAAAGTGAAATATTCTGATAGGCCACTTCTTTTTAAAATCCTTGTTACAGACGTTTTCAACTTAGTTCCCACCATCAGAAACCTTCACCTAGCCAAGAACAAGATCGATTTCATTGCGAGTGGAGCCTTTTCCAATATAAAGTCCCTCATATGGATCGACTTGGCCGACAATGCGCTTTTATATTGGAACAGGGACTGGTTCGAAAATTGCCCCCATCTACAAGCCATCAATTTCAACAGCAACAAAATCTCCATCATCCCGAGAAGAGCGTTCGCATCGCTACCGAAGCTCAGTGTCATCGATCTCGGAGACAACAAGATCACCACCATCCAACCAGAAGCCTTCCTCAACGTGGAAAGCCTCAGTTATCTCTACCTACAAGGCAACAGGCTCACGGTGCTCGATGAACGAGCCTTCCCTAACGAAATCTACATCGAGGTGCTGTATATTAACACCAACCGTCTCAACTACTTGCCAGACAAGCTGCTGAAAAAGTTGTCTGTCAGTGAAATCATAATGCATCAGAACCCTTGGAAGTGTCCATGTATGCAGCGGATACATGACTGGCTGTACTTCACCAACGGCAGCATTGGGATATCGGAGGTCAGCAACTGCAAAACACCCTATGACCCAGTTTGCGTTGTTCCTCAAGGTAACACGTGCCAAGAGACCGTCGAGAAAGAGTTGACGCAGAGGTATATCGAGCATTTGAAAACTTTGACTGAGAAAAGAACTTGTACCTATTCGTTCTCTTAAACAGAAGTACAATATATAGGCGAATTTACATCGGGAATATGAGAATTTCGAGTGAGCCGTTGGGAGAAGCTTGTGTCTTTTCCTTTTTCTCCTAAACAGAAGTACAATATACGCGAAGGTACATCGAGCGTATGAGAATTTTTAGTGAGCCGTTGGGGAAAGCTTGTGTCTTTTAGTTCTCCTAGACAGCAGTACTATATACACGAAGGAACATCGGGTATATGAGAATTTTGAATGAGCCGTGAGGGGAAGCTTGTGTATTTTCGTTCTCTTAGACAGAAGTACCTACAGTATACGCGAAGGTACATCGGGCATATGAGAATTTTTAGTGAGCCGTTGGGGGAAGCTTGTGTCTTTTAGTTTTCTTAGACAGAAGTACTATATAGACGAAGGAACTTGGCGCATATGAGAATTTTTAGTGAGCCGTTGGGGGAAGCTTGTGTCTTTTCGTTCTCTTAGACATAAGTACAATATACGCGGAGGTATATCGGGCATATGAGAATTTTGAGTGAGCCGTTGGGGGAAGCTTGTGTCTTTTCGTTCTCTTAGACAGAAGTACAATATACGCGAAGGTACATCGGGCATATGAGAATTTTTAGTGAGCCGTTGGGGGAAGCTTGTGTCTTTTAGTTCTCCTAGACAGTAGTACTATATACACGAAGGAACATCGGGTATATGAGAATTTTGAGTGAGCCGTTACGAGAAGCTTGGGTCTTTTCGTTCTCTTAGACAGAAGTACAGTATACGCGAAGGTACATCGGGCATATGAGAATTTCTAGTGAGCCGTTGGGGGAAGCTTGTGTCTTTTAGTTTTCTTAGACAGAAGTACTGGGGGAAGCTTGTGTCTTTTCGTTCTCTTAGACATAAGTACAATATACGCGGAGGTATATCGGGCATATGAGAATTTTGAGTGAGCCGTTGGGGGAAGCTTGTGTCTTTTCGTTCTCTTAGACAGAAGTACAATATACGCGAAGGTACATCGGGCATATAAGAATTTTTAGTGAGCCGTTGGGGGAAGCTTGTGTCTTTTAGTTCTCCTAGACAGTAGTACTATATACACGAAGGAACATCGGGTATATGAGAATTTTGAGTGAGCCGTTACGAGAAGCTTGTGTCTTTTCGTTCTCTTAGACAGAAGTACAATATACGCGAAGGTACATCGGGCATATGAGAATTTTTAGTGAGCCGTTGGGGGAAGCTTGTGTCTTTTAGTTTTCTTAGACAGAAGTACTATATAGACGAAGGAACTTGGCGCATATGAGAATTTTTAGTGAGCCGTTGGGGGAAGCTTGTGTCCTCTCGTTCTCTTAGATATAAGTACAATATACGCGGAGGTATATCGGGCATATGAGAATTTTGAGTGAGCCGTTGGGGGAAGCTTGTGTCTTTTCGTTCTCTTAGACAGAAGTACAATATACGCGAAGGTACATCGGGCATATGAGAATTTTTAGTGAGCCGTTGGGGGAAGCTTGTGTCTTTTAGTTCTCCTAGACAGTAGTACTATATACACGAAGGAACATCGGGTATATGAGAATTTTGAGTGAGCCGTTACGAGAAGCTTGTGTCTTTTCGTTCTCTTAGACAGAAGTACAATATACGCGAAGGTACATCGGGCATATGAGAATTTTTAGTGAGCCGTTGGGGGAAGCTTGTGTCTTTTAGTTCTCCTAGACAGTAGTACTATATACACGAAGGAACATCGGGTATATGAGAATTTTGAGTAAGCCGTTACGAGAAGCTTGTGTCTTTTCGTTCTCTTAGACAGAAGTACAATATACGCGAAGGTACATCGGGCATATGAGAATTTTTAGTGAGCCGTTGGGGGAAGCTTGTGTCTTTTAGTTTTCTTAGACAGAAGTACTATATAGACGAAGGAACTTGGCGCATATGAGAATTTTTAGTGAGCCGTTAGGGAAGCTTGTGTCTTCTCGTTCTCTTAGATATAAGTACAATATACGCGGAGGCATATGAGAATTTTTAGTGAGCCGTTGGGGAAAGCTTGTGTCTTTTAGTTCTCCTAGACAGTAGTACTATATACATAAGGAACATCGAGCATATAAGAAATTTCAGTGAGCCGTGGGGGGGAAGCTTGTGTCTTTCTGTTCTTTCAGACAGAAGTACAATATATCGCCGAGGTATATTGGGCATATGAGAATTTTTAGTGAGCCATTGGTGAAAGCTTGTGTCTTTTTGTTATTTCAGAGAGTTATACTATACAGTGTCTTTCAAAAGTATCGGAACGATCTCATATTTCAGGAACGACTTGAGAAAAATTCACGAAATTTTCTACAGAGTGATTATTGATGATATCCGATTCAATGGTGGCATCGGCAATGTTGCCAAGTTTACAGTTTTTCAGATATTAGGAGTAACTTTATTTTTCCAAATGAAATACCCCATTTATTTTTATTGCAATTAATTAAGCGCCTCCTATTAACTTGAGTCGCTGAATATCAGATTCGTAATTAACGTGATTTTCAAAAAATATGACAACATAGCATTTTCGTTAAAAAGTTCTGGAACGGTCCCATATTTCAGAAACGGCTCAGAGAAAATTTATGATAACTTTGACAGGATGGTTGTTGATGATGCCTGATTCAATGGTGATATCGGCAATGTTGCCAAATCAACAGTTTTTCAGATATTTAGGGTAACTCAATTTTTTCAAATGGAATACCCTATTTGTTTTCATTGCAATACATTCAGCGACGCCTCATTACTTATGTCTCAAAATATCAGATTTTGAATTGAAGTGGTTTTTGAAACATGACAACATGGCATTTTCGTTCAAAAGTATGAACAATTGTTGATTTGGCAACATTGCTGATATCACCATTGAATCGGTCATCATCAACAACCATCCTGTCGGAGTTTTCATAAATTTTCTCTGAGCCGTTTCTGAAATATGGGACCGTTCCAGAACTTTTTAACGAAAATGCTATGTTGTCATATTTTGAAAATCACGTTAATTTCGCAGTTTTTCAGATATTTAGGGTAACTCAATTTTTTCAAATGGAATACCCTATTTGTTTTCATTGCAATACATTCAGCGACGCCTCATTACTTATGTCTCCAAATATCAGATTTTAAATTGAAGTGGTTTTTGAAACATGACAACATGGCATTTTCGTTCAAAAGTATGAAAAATTGTTGATTTGGCAACATTGCTGATATCACCATTGAATCTGGCATCATCAACAACCATCCTGTCGGAGTTTTCATAAATTTTCTCTGAGCCGTTTCTGAAATATGGGACCGTTCCAGAACTTTTTAACGAAAATGCTATGTTGTCATATTTTGAAAATCACGTTAACTTCGAATCTGATATTCAGGGACTCAAGTGATTAGGAGGCGCTTAATTAATTGCAATAGAAATAAATGGGGTATTCCATTTGAAAATATAAAGTTACTCCTAATATCTGAAAAACTGTAAACTTGGCAACATTGCCGATGCCACCATTGAATCAGACATCATCAATAATCACCCTGTAGAAAATTTCGTGAATTTTTCTCAAGCCGTTCCTGAAATATGAGACCATTCCGATACTTTTGAAAGACACTGTATAGACGAAGGAGCATCGGGCGTATGAGGATTTTCAGTGAGCCGTTGGGAGGAAGCTTGTGTCTTTTCGTTCTCTTAGACAGAAGTTCAATATACGCGGAGGTACATATAGTAGTGTACTAGGTAATTCCTAAATCTATCCCCTCTCGTGAAGATTGCAAAAATCACAAAACTCACCGAGAATTGGATAGTGTGTAGACACCTCTTTGATGTCGAAGAACAGCGGATTGTCAGCCAGCGCCTGCCCCTTGTACCGGTTCATCTTCTCGCTGACCTTGGAGAAGACGGTGGAGGCCTCGCTGTGCGTGGAAGAAGTGGGGAAGGGCCCCAGCGGCCTGTAGGGCGTTGGAAGGAACGGCGGCACGTGCAGCTCCACCGACGGCTCTGCGATCAGCTGCGGTCTGGCACTGTTCCCTGGAGAAGAGGAAGGCTGTCGGGCCTGCTGAGGCTGCTGTGGCTGCTGAGGCTGCGGCTGCTGCGGCTGGTGATAGACGAACGTGTAGGGGTCGGGGTTGTCTGACCATTTTCCTTAAAAACGTCGAGAGAATACTGTCTGTAGGTTAATCGAGGAGGTGGTACATTCATTTTACTTGATTTTTTGGGATTTTTTCTCCAGAGTCCTACTGTTTTAACAGTAGATCTACTGTTTTTGTGCCCGTTCTACTGTTCTCCTGTTTTTTTCCTCAACGTTTAACCAAATAGGCCAATCAAATAATTATATTTTGAGGAATTAATTTAGTTTAATTCAATTAAGCAAGCTGGAAATCATTTAATTACCTTCATTCGGTCCCAAATGCGTGTAATCTAAGTTTGCACCATTCCAGGAGTTGAGCTTAACTTTTGATAGCCAAAAAACCGCCACATTTTTGCACTTTTTTTATTTTTTTGCTTATAGCTGCAAAATGGTTCATCGGTCGAAAAATGTCATTCTATTCAATAATATAGAAGGCAAAATTCTGCGTCGAATGACAACTGAAAACATCAAATTCCGTTTAGTAGTATAGCCGAAATCGAATGTTAAAAAAGAAGAACATTTCGTAGTTCGGTGCAAGCTTACATTTTGCGGCTTTCCAAGACGACATATCGTGAAAACAGATACTCCTATTGAAAAAACCCATGAAATAAAAGTTGTAGAGAATAGAATTTTACGTTATATAGATAGATGTCCAAATGTTTAAGTTTTCTTGATTTGTCCAATTATCCGGATATCTGAATGCCCGGTTCAGCTTCGGTCCCAAATTTTGCATCAATTTATAATTATTTTTCATCTAGTGCGCGAAATGCTACTTTGGTGATCGAGAGCTGATTTTTTTAACGAGGCGCAGCCAAGTTAAAAAATAGTCGAAATCACCAAAGTATTTCGCGCACGAGTTGCAAACAAATTTTTTTTTACAAACGCCAAACAAAATTCATTGTAAATAATAAATAAAATTAGGTAGTGTAAAATTTTGTCACAATTTGAAAAGAGTTTAAAAGCCTTGATTATTGTTACCTAAACATTCAGAAACAAATGATTCCATGGATTTTTTGCATTGAGTACCATAAACCAAAATGTAAGTTTGCACCGAACTACGAAATTTTCTTTTTTTTAACATTCGATTTCGGCTATACCTCTGAACGGAATTTGATGTTTTCAGATGTCATTCGACGCAGAATTTTGTCCTCTGTATTATTGAATGGAATAACATTTTCCGTCCGACGCACCGTTTTGCAGCTATAAGCAAAAAAATAAAAAAAGTGCAAAAATGTGGCGGTTTTTTGGCGATCAAAAGTTAAGCTCACCACCTGACATGGTGCAAACTCAGATTACACGCATTTAGGACCAAATAGAGGTATTAAAACGATTTCCAGTTTGCTGGAAATTAATTCCTCAAAACGGTTTTTTTTTCGATTTAATTTTATTAGCCTAAAAAGCAAAACTGGAAAATGGCAAAATTTCAGACAAGCGGTCGTAGACATTATTGGCTTCAGAGTTGATAAGGTGTGGTTTGCAGTTGAAAAGTATTATTTTGGAGACTATTCAATAGTATTCTTGAACTGAGCCAATTTTGCTCCTAATTTAATATGTTCGCCTCATATTCTTCAAAAACCATAGAGACATAATTTTCTCAAGTAAATTTGCTGAAGTCAAAGCAGCGTCATGAGTTGATTACAGCCAGCATTGTAGGATTTCTCTTTACCAGAAATAATATATCTACAAGGCAATGGTCTGAATGGTCACGTTTTGATATGACATAACTACCTGATGTTCAAGTTCACATCAAATTTGGATAGGTCGCGTGCACGAAGACCGACCCTGGAGGCAAAATATTGAAACACAACCTCATTCTTCTGTGAATTATTGAAACACAACCTCACTTTTTTATTTGGTTACAGGGGAATCAAGGGAATGAAATAGTTTTTCACAATATTTTGGCATACGAATCGTGTTTTTTGCGCTATTCATTAATTCGAGCATGCCTTCGCATTGTGCTGTTGTACAATGCACAAAAAATGCAGCAAGAGACTAAAGTATATGATTTTTCAGGTAAATAGTAATCTCACATAGTTATCATTATGAAATGTGTTGTCATTCCTTATTAAAATTCCTTCTGCCTTCTGTCACTTCTGCAATACAAGCTAATACTGCTAATTGATTGAAAATTTCTACAACACACACGATCGTCAGCATGTCAGACCAGTCCTCCCGATTGATTGCATGAATCGAATCTTCTTGCATTATTTTAGAAATTCCAGGTGTATTTCTATTAGCTCCTATCGCAGAAGGAATTCCGATGAGAAATCAGAGAAATTACCAAATTTCAAAAATGAAAACTATATGTGAGTGACTATAGTAGGTACTTAGTTATAAATCATAATGTACCAACCGGATTACTTCGTCTTCCGCTGCAGTTTTTGTGCATTTCACAACAGCATAATATGATGGCATGAGCGAATTGATGAATAGCGAAAAAAGACGATTCGTATGCCAAAATAATTGTGAAAAACTATTTCCATCACTTGTAAACAAATAAGAAAAGTGACGTTGTGTTTCAATGTTTTGCCTCCAGTGACGGTCATCTGACAGTTCTTGCACGCAACCCATTCAAAAAAGTTATGTTCAAAACTACTCGGTACGAACCGTGTAACTAGCGCCCTCTATGAGAGCCAGATATAAAAACAAATGCATGCGATGTGTCAGATTCCAAGAAACATCCATACCAAATTTCATCACAAAGTTGCCAGTAGTTTCAACATAATCGTAAAAAATGTGTAAAAAAAATATTTTTTCAACACCTTGTATCATGAAAACGGATGCCGTTACGACATTTTTTCACAGAGCAAACCCAACTTATTTTTCAATGTTTTACCTACCCTATAGCACGGGTACACCCTGTGTAAGCCCGAAACATGTACCTCTATGTGATCGATCTCTGATCGTCAAATAAATGTTGTGTAGATAACTTTGAGTTTCTTCATCTATGAAATACTCACTCTACTCTGAGTTACCATGGACTTCTTCCAAAGATTGACTTTAGTGACATCAATATTATTTGAAAAAATAAGATTTCGATTGAATAGCTCAGCCTCCACTGTAAAAACTCACCCTCAGTCACCTCATAGGTCTGCAATTTAGGGAAGTGGCCCTGATTGGTCAGCGAGTGAAAATCGTAGTCAACATATTGCGGCACCTTAGGATTCACCCTGTTGGGCAACGTGTTCTGCCACTCTTTCACCTTTTCTTTGGTCACCTGAAAGAAATCGTCATCTATTTATACTGTCTTTCCGCGCTGGGTACATTTTGTCTCTATTCATCATATGTGAATAATCAAAGGATATATATACACTGAGTGAATAATTTCAGTCCAAATTGAAATTTGAAATGACCCATTATCAGCTTGATAAAAGTCACGTTTCGACATAAATTTTTCCTAAGAGCGTGCGTAAAGTAGTACTTCTCTGCACACATTTGCATGCGCAAAGTCACACTTCTCCGCACGCCGTGCGGGTAAGAAATTTATCCGCACTGAGTGCGAAGATCTCACTAGAATGGAAGATTCGAACTATTTTACGCAATATAGATAGATAGATATATATTTTATTTAAAAAGTCAGATACACTATAAAAACATTGTCTAACAAGATAGTCTTTTAATTCTTCCTTGAACTGTTTGCGAACTGTTGTAGAGCTTTCATGTTAATTGGCAAAAAATTATAAAAGCAGCGAGGTCCTGCGTAGTTTGGCGAGCGAATAAAACTACCTGTTTTGCTGACGGGAACATAAATCAGATTTTTATTTTTCTGTCGAGTATTCACAGGATGGTGATTATCGACTGTAGTGAATAAATGTGAATTTTTGTGAATATATACACATAATTCAAAGATGTATAGACTTGCTAAGGTTGAAATCTTAAATTTATTGAAATATGTCATGCATGACTCAGTGTTTTTCACACCAGTGATACTCCTTATTACGCGCTTTTGGGCCAAAAACACGTCTTCAATGCTCGTAGACCAACCCCAAAAACAGATCCCATAGCGCAATCGAGATTCTACTTCTGCATAATACACCATCAAAAGCTGCTCGGTGGTGAGAATGTTCCGCAAATTTTGAAATTTATAGGCTACTGAGTGAAATTTTGAGACTAGAATCTCACAATGCTGTTTCCAGTTTAAATTTTTATCTATATAGATACCTAAAAATTTTGTACAATCCACCTGATTGCAGGGTTCATCATTAAATTTTAATTCCAAAGAATATAACTTTTTTGCGGATTATGAAATTAGATCAGATACGTTTTTTCCGGTTAAAGTATAATCAGTTCTGTTTGAACCAATCACCTAAGTCACATAGTGTGGTATTACATCGGTTCATCAACAACTCTTCCTGAGATTTTGCTGAAATAACTACCGACTTGGCGTCAGCATATTTCGTCAGAAATGCCTGAGGAATTGCAAGATCAACATTGTTCACATAGAATATGAATAATACAGGGCCCAGCACGGAACCCTGAGGCACGCCGATTGGGACCTCTGTTGTTTGCGAGTTAACATGTCTAAGATTTCCATTCTCTATGCTAATCAAGTCAACATACTGAGTTCGTTCTGTTAACTAAGATTTCATCCAATTTAATGATGTTCCATCGACTCCAATGTTTTCAAATTTTGTAATTAATAAATTATGATCAACACAGAGAAGCCGTTGCAAGTGTATTCTTCTTTACCTTTCATATGTATATCCCGATATTTATATGTATTTCAGCTTGAAACAGAGAAAAAAAATAAGTTCCTTGTATAATGATAAATAATATTGTCAAACAATAATAAGTGTACTTGTCAACTTTGACATAATATCAGGAATTTCCTCGGTTTCTGTCAGCAAAAATATACAAACACCGATACTTTTTCATTCATCGAATCGAAAAAAGGTTTAAAAGCTATCGAAATCAGCAGTTCTGACGACGAGCTTTCAGATTCCATCCTATTGGAGGCAGCAAACTTTGCAAGATTGAAATTACTGCCCGCTAAATCACAAAAAATATATAAAAAACAATAAATAATTTGAATATGGTGCCATAATAAATATACCAATAGCCGGCAGCAAATATCGAACGTCATCTGATGACGAAATGATATACAGTATGTCCCACTTACCATGCTCATCATGGGTATCTTTTTAACGGTGAGAGATACGAGGTCGGTTAAATGACACCAAATGTGGAGTTTGTCAAGGCCAACTATAATGCGAAGAAATATTTTGATATTGTGGATACACCATGTTATTGCTATGAATTATATCATCTCTGCTCAAGCATCAACTTTCAGTTGTTGTTTGATGGCTCACAGTCTATGGCTCAAGAAAGTAAAAGACTTTTTGGCTGACCGAATTATAAGGCACAGATCCGACCTGCCCTGGAATACTGTTCCCACATTTGGAGTGCAGCACCCAAACATACCCTGTAACTGTTGGATTCTGTCCAAAAAAGGGCAATTCGTCTCGTGGGTGATGCCTCGCTCACAAACTCACTCACTTCTCTGGAACACCGTGAAAAACTTGGCGATCTGGCTCTATTTTATATATATTTTCATGGACGATGCTTTTCTGAAACAATTGTTCCTCTCTTGGCAGTCCCAGCGAGATTAACCCGTCGAGTTGAGGCTTCGCATCCCTTCGTGGTCACTTTGGAGACCTGCAGAACATCTATTTCCAATGACTCGTTCATCAAACGAACATCGAGGCTCTTGAACACATTGCCAAGGGAGGTGTTCCTTGAGGCATATAACCTCCAGAAATTCATGAAGAACACCAATTCCTAACTTATTTTCCTCGGTTCTCAGGATATCCCGTTTCGTGGGAACCAGAACATATATAAAAAAAGAATAATTCGTAATTCTCGGCCATTAGTTTATTTGTGAAACTATATCTATTTTTTAATAAACTATCACTTCCGGAAAGCTGGGTACATATTATTGATTTTTGATTGAACTTTCAACTAACTTCTAACTAGTCTACTCTGAGGGTCGATTATGGAACACACCACCGGAAATACCACCAGCACCAGCAACATCAAAAAATAAAAAATAAAAAATTTACCTCAACCTTAAAATAAAAAATGAACTCTTAAAACAAACTGACCAGATAAAATATCTTGGTATTCGGTTTGATGACAGGTTGAAGTGGGACATACATATTGATGTTCTGACAAAAAAAAATCTCCAATTATTGGTGCATTGAGAAGATGTCCCAAACTTGATATTAAAATTGCAAACATGATCCTCTACTCTCATATACCGAGTCGTATCAACTATTTGATAAATGTTTGGGGATCTTGTTCAAAAAATAATTTCAATAAAGTATCAATAACATTATATAGAAAATCGTTGAAAGTATTGTATCGTCTCCGATTTGATACACCAACCAATCAATTTTATGAAATAACAAATACGTATTCTTTAGATGAGATATATAGAATTGAAACTCTCATATCAAATATCATAAATAAAAAATTGAAGTCAAATATTATTTTGATACGGAATTCTGAAATTCATAATCATGAAACTAGACAATATAACTTGTTTCATCTTGACGCCGCTAGCTCCATAATCGGACAAAATAAATTCACTCATTCAGCCTTAAGTGAATTCAATAAACTACCTGACAATATAAAAAATTGCAGGAATATAGGTACATTAAAAAATAAAGTAAAAAAACTGATTATTTCTGAGCGAACTGAATGAAATTAATCATGCCATTTTTTTTTACAAATATTATTCTTTGTTTGTCAATTCACAGTTGTTGATATATTATGAATGATGATATGTTCAGTTTACCTATAGGTATATAATTATGTACTTCCTTATACCAGAGCATATTCTATATACAGTGTGACCCATTTAAGATGGAAGCACCCTTTTAAAACTTACATTTTTCAACCGATTGGAATGATTTTTTTTTGTTAGGTAGAAATTCAAAAAGTCTATTAGGACACCAAATATCATGAATAAATCTCCATTTCCAGGGCCAACTAATCTGATTTTTCAAGGTCAAAAATCTAAAAAAATTACTAGCGATTTTTTTAGAAAAAATCTGACTACACCACTGGATTTGTGACATTTTCAAATGGGTAACATGTGAATCACGTTGAAATGCGTCAATCAATAAAAAAGTTATAAAGGAATGAAATTTGAAAAATATGCCGTTTAATCAACCCATCAATTTTTAGTACTGAACAGATTTCGATGGAACTGTGATCAGTAATATTTCAAGACATCCTGAATCCAGTGGAGTATACAGAATTTTCATAAAATTCCTGAACATGAATTGGTGGGTTGATTAAACGGCATATTTTTCAAATTTCATTCCTTTATAACTTTTTTATTGATTGATGCATTCCAACGTAATTTACATGTTACCCATTTGAAAATGTCACAAATCCAGTGGTGTAGTCAGATTTTTTCTAAAAAAATCGCTAGTAATTTTTTTAGATTTTTGACCTTGAAAAATCAGATTAGTTGGCCCTGTAAATGGAGATTTATTCATGATATTTGGTGTCCTAATAGACTTTTTGAATATCTACCTAACAAAAAAAAAATCATTCCAATCGGTTGAAAAATGTAAGTTTTATAGGGGTGCTTCCATCTTGAATGGGTCACACTGTATATCGTCTGGAAGTTATTTGTTCAATAAATAAATAAATAAATAAATAAATAAATCAGTGGGAGTAGAAATCCATGGGCGTAGACAAGGGGATATAACGCTTGCGTTCACCCACCTGCACGTCGATGGCCGGCTCGTCGGGTCGGTACCGCTGCCGGAACGCCTCCAGCGCCTGCCCGTAGGGCTCCGACACCTGCACCAGGTTCTCCTGGACGGGCGGCTGAGGCTGCACGAAGCCCTGCAAGCCGAGGTCGTGGAACTCGATCACCGGCTCGGACACGGTCGCCACGTTGTCCTTGAAGTGGGCGGGGATCTTGCCGGACTTTAGTTTCTCTTTTTCCGCCAGGTGGCGAAGCGCAGGAGGAGGTACCAGATTCCTAAACAAGAATAAGTTCAACCTGATAGGAGTATCTACTAGAATTATAACACCTCAGACTAAATCACAATAGCTGAACAGGGCGATTCATGAAGTATATGCCAACAGTGCTTAACGCCAAACACGGATGAACGAATGAAATACCGAGTGGTGGGGGATTCAGATTCCTAAAAAAGAATCAGTTCCACCTTATGGCATATCTACTAGAATAATTACACCTCAGACTAAATAACAATAGCTAAACACCACGATTCATGAAGTATATATACGTCAACAGCCCCTTACGCCAAACACGGATGAATGAATGAAATCGTGAATGGTGGGGATAACTATGCGGAATCATTGCTAGTGAATTGATATTTGAAGCAGAGCGTGGGCGGTGGTACCAGATATCTAGGGAGAGGCAGAGTTATTGTCACAAATGAGAGTTTCATTCCATCATCATGATAAAATGATAATGGTTCGAAGTCATTGAACGTGGTGACGTCTTTGTTTATTGATTCCAAACCATTGAACCACTATCACCACAAAGTTTCGATTAGTAATTGAGCATAAAGTAGGCGAGACATTGTCATATCATACAGGGTGTGGAAGGAAAATTCTGAATTGGGAAATCCCTATCAGGAATCTGTGATTTGAGGTCTGTAGAAATAACAACTCTACATCGTTCAAGTTTGAACCCCTTGATAGGGTATGAAAGTTCTTCCGGACGGGCGGCTGAGGATGGACGATGATCTGCACGCCGAGGTCGTGGAACTCGATCATCGGCTCGGACACGGTCGCCACGTTGTCCTTGAAGTGAGGGGGGATCTTGCCAAACTTCTAATCTTCTTGGGACTATATGACCGCTCTCCGTGAACAATCCTAGACTATACGATGAACTACCCTCTTGCTGACGTCAGACTTTGAACGCGTCAGAGCTTCCTGGCCGCGATTTTACTAAATATAAACTATTGCAGCACAAGACACGCGCCCTACTACGGCATTGCAAAATATAATCGAGCCCAGCACAATCCTGCAAAATCTAATCTTTGACAGCACAACGTAGCTGATTCATATAAATAAATCGATTGAAAAAGTAGCACATACCACGTTATATCTCATCTTCAAAGTACTTTACTTAGGCAAAACTCAGAGACTATTTATCCTCAACGAACTAACCTATCCCTGATTGCAATATTTTTGAGGAAGGAAAACCGAATGGAGTGTAGAAACACATTGATTAATAATATATTTCAAAAGTTGAGTTCTTCAACAAAATTGAATAAAATGAGACTGTTTATCCTAAATGCACTAACCTATTTGACTTCAAATATTTTATGAAAAAGGAAAACCAGAATGAAGTAAAAAAACATTAATGAAAAAAAAAAAGTTGCAAAAAAAAGTTCGAGTTCACAGCGATTCGAACCATGAACCTTCAGACTGAGAGTCGACAGCGCTAACCAGTAGACCATTTGGGTGTATGAATTTACTGCGTACAAGAGATTGACAACGAGAAAGCTTCAGTTCTTGCGTTGGAGCACAGTATGAGATATAACGTATTATGGTGGGCGTGTCTTGTGCTGCAATAGTTTATATTTAGTAAAATCGCTTCCTGGCCTAGTTATATCAATAGAGCAATGTCTGCTGACGTCACAACATGGCGCACCCGTCGTTTTCATCAGCTGATCGGGGGACAAACAAAGCTGTGAGAATTTTGATTTTATTATTTCTGATCCATTGGTGATTTTGTTGAACTTGTAGATATTATACAAGAAGAATTTGTACATTTTCTTCCAAAATGAGTATCTATTGAGGTATATTACGAGGTATATTAGGTATATTAGTGCTGAACTCGAGTAAATCCAGTGATTTGAAATTGACAAATAAACGAATTTGAACTCTTCTTTGGGCTCATTCACTTCTATCACAGGATTCATGATGAATGCATTAACAAACATGTCAATAAATAAATGCTCCAGGGATTGTATTTCAGTAGTAGATGTGCAAGAAAGTTACATGAACCCTTATAAGATAAGATAAGATAAGATCTTTATTTTCCAGTAGACAACACAACATTGTATAGGAATAGTCAATAACTTAAATCTAGGTACCTAAATATAAAAACACGAGAAATTTAAAATTTCAGACAAAATCAAAAATCTGAAACCACAGGTTTGAAATCAAAAATGTCAATCCCAATGAGAATTGTCCTAAAAATATTCTAAAACATACATGCCAACATGTCAGAATAAAAGCTTACAGACAAGACGCTACGGTTCTACGACATAAACTCTTCAACGCTATACAGACATTTTTCTAGTAGAAATTCTCGCAATTGTTTTTTGAATAGTTTAATACATTTACTTTTTTTTTATATATTTTGGCAATTTATTAAATACCCTGGGCGCCATAGAGGAAGGAGAGTTGAATGATATGCTAAATTTATTAAAAGGTACATGAAGGTCATTTTTGGTTCGGGTATCAAATTGATGTCTGACTTTATTGGAACTGAATAAAGTTCCTCTGTTCTCAAATGAGTATAGAGGAAGTTCGGAAATAAATAATGAAGGTAGTGTTGAAATTTTATAGTTTTTGAAGACATCCCTGCAACTTGTACGGCTCGATATACCAACGAGAGAACGCAAAACTCGCTTTTGGGAAATAAAAACATCGTGTGAGGATACAGATAAACCCCATAGGCATATACCATATCGCAATCTACTGTCAGCTTGTGCATAATAGAGTGCAAGTAGCTGATTTATTTCCAATACTTTCCTAGTGGTTCTGAATTGATATGATAATGAATTCATTTTTGATATCAGTGATTGACAGTCCATACATGAATCAATTTGAAATCCTAGAAACGTTGTAACGTTACTATTACTTGAGACATAGAGCGTTGAAGCCTCATCTGAGCCGAATGTGATATCCTGACACAATTTTTGACGGTTATGAAACCTTATCGATTGTGTTTTTCCAACATTCAGAAACAGCTGATTTGCAGAATACCATTCGTGCAATCTGGAAAAAACTGTGTTGCATTTATCTGTCAAGGCTAGATCGGTTTTATCTGATATGATCACGGATGTATCATCTGCATATAAAGTTAATGATGCCGGTACTGATAAAATACTCAGATCATTGATGAAAAGGATAGACAATACCGGTCCCAAAACTGAGCCTTGCGGCACACCAAGATCAATATCCTTCATCTCAGAATTTTTATTATTCACGGTGACATATTGTTTTCTATACGTTAAATAATTCGATATCCATTCCAAAGGTAGCCTTCTGATACCATATTTATCCAATTTTTCGAGTTATGGAAAATGTGTATGCTTGTCCCCCCATCACCCAATCAGCCAAAGTACGTCTTAAAGGCGTCTTTAAGACATACATGTCGGGACATAAGTACTTCTTAAAGACGTACATATTACACCCAAGAGACGTCTTTAAGACGTCTTTAAAACGTACATTTTCCACTAATATGTACGTCTTTAAGACGTCTTTTTTAGGTGTTTTTGGTCCATGACCTCAAATTGATCTTTCAAATTACGGAAAAATCACATAGTTTCAGTTGATTTTCACCTGTGCACTGAAGTTAGCAACAAGTGCAGACAAGCAAAAAAAAAGGGAAATAAATGACTTCATCAAACGGTAGACACAAGCTGTCACCCATTCAAGTACTAACCGCGCTCTGTGTTGCTTGACTTCGATGATTATACCATATTCACTTCTTCTGTTACTCTATATATCACATAACAAGCTTTTACTTAGTTTAACATGTCCATGTGTCTGTTTGTAATCAAAACGTGCAAGTTAAATTTGACTCACTTCAAATCGTCCGATTGATTTGAAATTTGGCAAGTAAATATTATTCCGGTGACAATTCGTTGTGATATTATTATTGAATGGGAAAAACAGAATGGCGGATCCAATATGGCGGACGATGTGGCATATGGTTTTCTGATTATGGTCTGATCTGATTCAAAATTGGCATCTGAAGGATTTCGGGATCAGAGATATATAATTCCTTTTGTCGAAAATGAAAAATCCAAGATGTCGGCTTCAAAATGGCGGACGAGTTTTGTGATTATAGTCCGATTTTATTCAAAATTGATTACTATGGGACTTTTGGGGTCGGAGAATATGATTTTTTTGTAAAAATTCGAGAATCTAACACGAACCCAACTAGCATTTTCAGTCACAGGCACCATGGTTCAAGAAACTATTACCTATATTTAGTGATAATAACGTATTTATCACTTATTTCAGAACTTCATAGTATAAATGTCAGTGATAGTTATTTAGTGAGTGAAAATTACGTAGTTTTTACACTAGATAATAACTTCAAAGTGAGAAATTCTCATGGCTTATTACGAAGTAACTATTTCGAAACTGTCACTCCTCAAAACTACTCTTAAGGTTTCGGAACTTTGGATATATTATTACGGTAACGCTTACCACCCCAAGAAGGCTTCACAGTTGCAATTACTCTATGGTCACCAATTAGGTTTCTACGACGTTGTCGTTACTTGATCGATCACCTAATAATTTAGTCAATTCTTGGTGATATTTCAAGTAACATATTGGTAATTCCTACTCAAACAATTCCTTCATAGTTGAAACAACTTTTCAGTAATTATATTCAGTTGAAGTTACCAATACATAGGTTATCATAACTGACGAGTTCCAAAAGTAACTTTCTGATTCATTTTCGATTGGAAGCCATATTGATTGATGTGATAACCATTTGAACAGGAAATAATTTTGGTTTTTCTTGTTGATAAACATCATTTTATGAAGAATAATAGCATTCGTTCGATCACAAATTGCATAATAATGGAAATTAACATGATTTACGATGATTTTTGAAAAATAGCCGAATGAAATAAAACCATATTTTTGGTGAAATGAGCCGTATTTTGTGGGCGCATCTTGAATTTCGAGGCAAAATCATCACATTTATCGAAAAACTGAATGTTGTTCGAATTTTTCAAGTTCGAGTATCAATTATTTCGCGTGTTTGTCCTTGTATTATTTATTGAATGGTTAGGCATATTGGACTTGTTCATTTTTCGTGAATGTGAACTTCATGGTTGAAATGAAGAATAATAAAGAGAGAAAATAATATTTTTATGAAGTGGAAAAGAAATAGAAAGTCAGGTAGGAAAATTTACTACATCTTTACGTAATTTCGACGTCGACGGGTCGTAAGCATTACGTAATTGTGTGAGTTCCCGCTACGTCGGCAAACCGTAATAATTACTCGTGATTTGTTCCCCATTTTGGTCGTAAATACGTAGTAACGACGTAATTATAACGTAACCGCAACTAGTAAATATTACTTAATAGTCGACCCAATAGTCGTAATTACGTAATCGCGACTATAAATGCTAGTTGGGAAGGCTCCAAAATGTCGGACGAAAAAATTCAAAAACATCACTTCTGTTGAAAATAAGAAAAAACTGAACAATTGAAAATAAAAAACGTGAAGAGATGACATTTTGTTTTTCTTCAGAAAATAACTTATATTATTGTTCTATAAGTCGAATTGACGTACTGGAATGTACGTCTTTAAGACGTCTTTTATACGACATGTACGTCTTAAAGACGTAAATTCGTGTACGTCCTTAAGATGTACATGGATTTACGTCTTAAAGACGTACTTTATACGTCCCTGGACGTAAAGACGTAAGTAAGTCGTAAAATGTACGTCTTTAAGATGTCTGGTGCTGATTGGGCAGGTGTTCAATGACCGACATATGACGTCACTGACAATGCTCTATTACTACCACTCATGATACGCAGAGAATCTTCATTAAAATAGTAATCGCGAAAGAAGTCAAATCCAGATGGAACAATAATAAGAAAGGAAGAAAAATCTTCAACAGACACCCAATGAAGTTTATCCAATGTGTTCTCACCTGGTGTATTCGTCCTGCTGGTTTTTCAGCTTGGGGAAGACCAACGTCTGGCTCTTGAATTGCTCGAAGACGTCGTCGTTGGTGGGCGGATGCGGAAACCTGTTGACCTCTACATGCGAGTTGGGCTGGTTGACGGTGAAGTGGTGTTTGTTGGTGAATCGGTTCTTGCCGATGAAGCCCAATCCTTGGGTCTCTCTGGGCTTCACGTTGCTGGGACCCAGTTTCAGGTACGGAATGTTGACTGAAAAACGACGGGGAAGTTTCGTGATATCAAAAAGGATAATAAGATTAGGAACCGCATTGACATGGGCTCATATAAAAAACTTCAATAATAATAATGGTACCTTTATTGTCCAACAGTTGCTCATTTATGGAATGTGATGATCCGCTACGCACCGTCACAACCTGGAGCTAAAATCTACTACTTTTTTCCCTTGTATAATGAAAACCTAAAACGGGGAAACTTGGTCACCCTTTTCAGACAAAATGTCTCCTTTGTATTTTGAATAATTTGGAGATTTTTTTTACAATCTGACAATAACATAATGAAAGAGTCGAAGTTTGTAGTGAGTAATATTTTTGTTACAAATTAGAAAAGAATATATGTGGGATGTCCAAGTTTCCCCGGGTTTGAGGAATAACTTGGTCACCTTTGGGAATTCCAATGAACTGAACGATTCCAATGGTCTGCATGGCAAAGTTGCAGATTCGCTCAGAAAAAAATAAAACGAACCCATAGCTACTTATTTTTGATCAGAAGTTTCATGAATATCCCATAATATATTAGATTTGTAATGGAGAATAACGACAAAAAATATTCGAAATTGTTTTATTCAAAAAAATCCAACTGGTAGATACAGAAACAACGAGTGAGGTACGTAGTTTTTGAAAGGTATCAGATTAGTATAGTATAGTTTTCATTAGGTATTAGATTAGTATAGGGGTCAGATAATTTATACGACGCTATAAAAGCAGATGATATTTTATCATTGCTCATGCAAGATGGAAGTAGAGGCCATGGCACCATATCATGAGCATATTTTTTTATTGAAACTATCATTGGGCACCAAAGATGTGTATACGACGCTATGAAAGTTCAGAGAACTGGAGATTTTTTCCACAAACTACGTACTTAGCCCACTCGACTGTCTTGGTTTTTCCACACAAACTACGTACCTAGCCCACTCGACTGCCAATAGGGACTGAAAAAACAAAAACAAAAGAAATATAAAACTTTGCCGACATATTTCTTCGTTGTGGGAAATCAAGACAGTCGAGTGAGCTAGGTAAGTAGTTTGATGGAAAAAAATCAAGACAGTCGAGTGTGCTAGGTACCTAGTTTATTGGCGAAAAATAAAGACAGTCGAGTGAGCTAGGTAAGTAGTTTGATGGAAAAAAATCAAGACAGTCGAGTGTGCTTTTTTCACTTTATTTTTCGTTTCGTTTTCTATTGGCAAGTGATTATCTAGGAACTTGTGAATTTTTTAGTTTTTTCATCGTATCTCCCGAACTATTGAATTCAGAGAAAAATGTTATGGGGATTTTTTGTAGATTCTATCAAAAGGAATAATTTTGTTTCTATAACATTTCCAGATATTGCCAGTCGTTTTCGAGATATTTGGAATCATCTCAGAATAACATTTTCAACACTTTCGTTCCATCTTCCAATCAACAAAAGGAAAAAATATTCCATGGTTCCGTAGAAGTAGATGATCTTCATCTATCGATAATATCTTTTGTTTTTCAATATATCTTCATGGTACCCTATGGGTCGTTCAAATTTTGTTTTCATATTTTTTACTTTATTTCCTGTACTATTGGGTTTACAGAAAAAAATTTGGATAATAATTTGTAGGAAATGTTCCAGTGGATAACTTTGCACTCCTGATAATTTTCGATTTTTCCATTTGTTTTCGATATATATTGAATTGAAAGGATTTCAAATTTTGATGTTTTGATTTTCATTTGTTTTTACATTTTCCGATGGATGCACGAAAAAATGGTGATATAATAATTTGTTGCGTCATCAAAGAGGCATACGGTGCATTTTTCAAATTTGGATTTAGTCTATTGGTTCAGGAGATATGTCGTTTTAAAGCGAACCGTGTGTTTCGGAAAATCTCCTTGAAAAACCCACTTGGAATTTCCCGACCCTGCTCAATTTCAATAGGCTTCGTCTCTCCCTGATAGAGTTTTTTTTCACGAAAAATGAAATCGATCGGACCACTTTTGCGATTCGTAGAGTGGTCACAAGAAACTTCCGGTGAAAAATCGAAAAAACCCGGAAAAACCACCTTAGAGTTTTCCGATTCCCTTCATATTTTAATGGCATAATATTGTTTTGAGTACAATAAAATGGCAAAATTTCAAGTCGATATGTCAAAGGGTTCCGGAGATTTTATATCGATTTATGATTACCACAGAGTACAGACAGACAGACAGACAGACAGACAGACAGACAGACAGACAGACAGACAGACAGACAGACAGACAGTCCACACACAAAAACCAAAGTTGCTCAAAATTCGATGGGGATCATTTTCTCCAAAGTAACTATACCTCTATCTCGCTTTGTTTCCGAGATAGCATTTTTGGCAAGGCCGTAGTATACTGAATACTCCACTATGTATAGCGTCGTATAACAAGATGCAAATGGAATTATTAACTCTTATTTCTAACTCTCAATTCTAGCGCTAACTCTTGACTCTCAATTCTACCTCTAACTCTTGACTGTCAACTCATAACTTCTGACTCATTCACTGGGCATAAAACCTTTGTGGGCCTCAAAATCGTCTTGATATTCCAACGGCTCTGCCTCTGAATCGTCACAGTTTTCGCCACCAGAGGGGCTGATGGCATATTTCGTTTCATGAGGGCCGCCTTCTGTCCAGTTTCCACATAAATTTCCAGATTTGAATCATCTGCATCGTTCAGAGCTCCATCAATATTAGTGAAACTATTTCAAATGTCTTCACGGTCAACGGATGATCTGGACCTTCCAACGCTCGATGCCAGACGAATGGACAGTCTGTTTCTCTCGAAAAATGCATCCAGAAAATCTTCTCCTGGAATTTTGCTTTTGAAGATCTCAACTGTTTGTCCTTGTTTGTCTAGGTATTTTGCGATGACCGTTCTGACATTCAACCTCGTTAACGAGAAACCCCAATTAGCCACCACCCCAAGTGTCTCAGATCAACGACAAGCGAAAAGGTTTATCAATCATTCGCAGAACCGAGCCAAAGAGCTACTGATCCTCAGCAAACCATAGCTGAAGCTCATCACAGGCTTTCTCATAGAACACTGCTCTCTGAGGTACCACCTCAAAAAGATGGGCTTAGCGGAGACTGACACTTACCGCTTATGCAACAATGCGACCGTAACCGCGAAACACATACTTTGCTCATGTAAAGTATTAGTCAGCCAGAGGCTGAATCACCTAGAACAGGCCTATATCACACCTGCTGAGGTGGGAAATTCAACCACCAGGAAAATTCTAGGCTTCATCTGTAGTCTAGGGTTAGAGGACAAAAAAAAAATAGATCTTCTAGGTCGCAGGGGTAGAGAGGTCTTCCAGCCTATACGACCCATCTACAATCTACAAGGGTCTCAGATATACTGCGTTCTTCTTCGGATGAAAAGACTCTTGGTCAGCCGACTGCTCCATAATTTTTGTCAAGTATCTCACGACACAAAGTTGTCCGAGGTTCTTAATACGTGTGCGCATCAGCTTGTACGGCTTTTTGCATGTTCTCTCCTGAATAGTCTTGGTAGGGCTTCGCTCCGGCAGTTCTCTGGTAGTTTTTCACTTTTCTCAGTTACTATTCACCAGAAACAAAGGATAGTGACAGGGAATCCAATTAAAAAAACGGTAGGAAAAGTATAAACCGGAACAAAAATCAGGTCATAGGTGACCAAGTTTCCCAAGGTGACCGGATTACCCCGGATTATGGTAACTAATAACTATCCATCTTATGGCTTGCTTCCCCAGCTATGTTCTCTGCTAGCTAGTTTTCTCTCAAACAAGTGTCTCCATATAGTAGTCGACGGAGTTTCATCTGCCTCCCTCAACATAGATGCTGGTGTTTCGCAAGGATCAATTCTAGCACCAATAACACTATTTCTACTCTATATCAACGATTTGTTGGAATCAAATTCATGTTCAGTACATAGCTTCGCGAATGATAGTACCCTCCATACCGCCTTCTCTTCCAGAGCTCCAACACCAGCCAGGCGAATCAGAAACAAACGATGAAGAAATGTCGACAACATAAATATGGACTTGGTAACAGTTCTTTAATGGGGATCCAATAATTTGGTAGATTCCAATGCAAACAAAACACAAGCATGCCTTTTCTCTAGAAGAGCCGATCTCACTATGCCCAAAATAAGCTTGTTAGGAGTAACCATACCTTTGAAGACATCCATTTAGATGCTTGGTAATACTATCAGCAATAACCTTTCTTGGGAAAAACACGTGAGATCAATTGCTAAAAGTGCATCCCAAAAACTTGGTTTTCTGTTCAGGAGCTATTTCACTTCTAGTCAGCTTATGATCTATAAGGCACAGATCCGACCTGTCCTGGAATACTGTTCCCATATTTGGAGTGCTGCACCCAAACATACGCTGAAACTGTTGGATTCTCTCCAAAAAAGGACAATTCGTCTCGTGGCTGATGCCTCGCTCACAAACTCAGTCACTTCTCTGGAACATCGTGGAAAAGTTGGCAATCTAGCTCTATTTTACAGATATTTTCATGGACGATACTCGTTCATCCAACGAACAGCGGGGCTCTGGAGCACATTGCCAAGGGAGGCGTTCCCCGAGGCATATAACCTCCAGAAATTTGAGAAGAACTTCAATTCCTACCTTATTTCCCTTGGTTGATTGATTGATTGTCTTTATTACCCCAAGAAACATAGTTGTTTATAATAGGGATACATAAACATTATACATAATGTTATACATACAATTATGAAATTATAATAAGATATAACAAGTTAAAAAAAAATGCAAATAATCATGCAATATCAACCTAGTCTTTTATAAGTAGGTATTCAAATAAGAAATGGAATTATCAAAGTTTCTGAAGCAGATATTTTTTTGAGTTAATTTTGAATCTAGTTGCTTCCTGTATATTCCTCAAATGACTTGGTAATGAGTTGTATAGAACGATTCCTGTGTGAAAAATTGATTGTTTGCCGATATTTGACTTGAACGTATTTGCTATTAGTAACTTTGATTGTCTTGTTCCATGATTATGTAATGAATTGATTTCATTGAAATTTAAATTCGAAATTTTCAATTTATATAGGACAAATTGAATAAAACAACATATTTTAAGTTTATATAGTGATGTCAGATCTAATAAATCTCTAGGTTTGTATAAATTCATGGTTGGTTCGAGAAAATTTAAATTGAAAATACACTTCAATGTTTTATTTTGTAATTTCATTAGTGGACTCAAACGTGAAATATTGGTACTTCCCCATATAGATATTAGGTATTGAAATTTTGAGTAAATAAGAGAGAAATAAATACTCTTCAAGTATCTGGTAGAAATGAAATTTCGTATTTTGAATAAAATGCCTGTAATAGGATTAAGTTTGTTCCTCAAATGATCTATATGTTTATTCCACAATAGTCTTTCATCAATATAAAGACCTAAAAATTTTGTAACATCTGTATATTTGATGAGTTTATTGTTGAAGGATAGTGTTCTATTTGAAAAGTTCAATGTTCTTCTTGCTATGTACATATATGAGGATTTGTTATAATTGAGAGATAGTTTATGAACTTGTAACCAAGAGGATATTTTCTCTAAATCACTTTTCATGTCCATGATAATATTATTTGAATCTTTAGAGAAATAAATCAATGTCGTGTCATCTGCAAATAATTTAAGTTTTCCTCTCAATTCCAAGTTTGATATTGAATTTATGTAGATCAAAAATAAAACTGGTCCCAAGACTGACCCTTGCGGTACACCGCATGAGATGTTCATTAAGGAGCTACAAGTACCACTCAATTCAACATATTGTTTTCTATTTGATAGATAATTTTTGAACCAATCATGAATTCTTCCTCTGACACCAATTGCAAATAATTTATTTAATAAAATGTTATGGTTGACAGTATCGAAAGCTTTGCATAGATCTAATGACAATAAACCGCATTGATCATTTTTATTTGAACATTACAGGATATCCCTTTTTGTGGGAACCAGAACATAAAAAAAATACTTACTGGGCGCGTGTACATAAACCTCCTCCCTGTTGCTGTGAGCGACAGCTTGACCCCGCGCCGGTTTGCGCTTGACGAGAAGGGTCTCCTGCTTTTGGGGCTGCCTCCTGAAGCCGCCCTGGCCGGGCCGCCCCTGGATTGAAGGGCGGTGGGGCGGCGGGGGCGGCAAGGTGTGGTACGACGGGAACTTTGAGTGCGGGGGGATTTTTCCGCCTGTAAATCATCAGAGAATAGTTATTTATACACCAAGGTAGTAAAGAATATCAATTGGTTTTCAAGAGAAAAGTGGTACACAGTCAGCAGTTCTACAAGTAATCAATTTCATACAAGATAGACTTGACAAAGGAAATTATGTAGAAGCTATTTTTATGGACCTAAAAAAAGCATTTGATACAGTCGACCACAATATTCTCCTGAAAAATCTTAATTCAATGAGCATCAGAGGTATTGGAAACAATCTCTTGAAAATATATCTAGAAAAAAGGACTATCAGTACTAAGCTCAATAATTGTGAATCTAAAATACTATATATAAACAAAGGAGTTCCCCAAGGATCAGTGTTGGGCCCAATTCTGTATCTTTTATAGGTACATTCAAAACATTTCAAAAATAAATTTAATATGAAACTATGCCATATATGCAGATAACACTACTTTTATATGATGAACTTCTTGTATCATACTAATAGTATGATACACAGCCTAGTGAATGTCCCTATTTCACATGGGAATTTCAATAAAGAACTCAATATCATAAAACATATTGCAGTCAACAACGGATACAACGATAATTTGTAAGACAGCATTCTTTCAAAAAAGAATCGTAATAAAGCTAAACAAGAAGTTTATCCAACCATCAAAAATATCAATCAAAATTATAGAACTTCAACCTATGCGGATCATCAACTGAAGAATTAGCTTCATTTCTTCATAAACAGCTGTAGATATTGTCCTAAGGTATATATCGGTCAGGCAGGTCGTACGTTTAATCAGCGCATTAATGAACATAAGATGAATTTTTTGAAAAAGAAAACGAATTTAACATACGTCAACAATACATTAGGAGAAACCCATAGTTCTGATGATAATTTGAAAATATCACACGTAGAAAATGGCTCAAAACTCAATCATTTTGAATCATTAAATATCAACAAACCCAAAGATTCTAATATTTCACTTAGCGATCAACTAGACCCCAATAGTGCACCACTGTTGAATTTATTTTCTTATAGTAGGTAATAATATGCATTTGCTATCAATTCTTTGAAGTTAATCCGGTTTGCCTATTTTCCAAAAATGAAGTTTATTCGAACCTTTCCACAGGTAATCCTAATCCTTCAGGTTGGGAAAGTAGGATATATAAAAGTTAGGCAAGCCAAGGTTAGTTTATTTCATTGTACCAGTATTTGACCTGATGAAGCTACTGTGTTAGCGAAACATGTCGTGTGATTGAGAATTTTGTGGAAATCTTATCGTTTGTGAAGTTTTTACATTTGCCATAGATATCCATCAAGTAACGGCCGAGTCAATTAAAAAATACCTCATATGGGTTTATTGAAAAGGAATATCCTCAGATATAATCATGAATATAAAAAATTGATATATACAGGGTGTTTCAGTTTTTTATAGCAGGACTTCAACAGCTTATAGAAGACATTTTTTCTAGATGAAAGTTCTATATAAACATATATGCGTGGGAGCTTAGTTTCCGATTCACAGGGTGTCAAAAGTTTCAGATTTTTTTTGTGTTTTTTTAATTTTCTCCTACAATTTTCGAAATAATTGATTGAAATTTGGTACACGTAATACACTCCAAAAACTCAATATTTCGGGCTATTGAGCGTTCTTGAAAACCTACAGGGTGATAGACTTTTGGGGGTCGTACCCAATTTACCCATGTAGAACGTTTTTTGCGTGGATAGGTCGGATGAGGCCAGTTGAGTGGCCTCCACGATTGACAGACCTGACCCCTTTGAACATTTTAGTTTGGGGATTATTAAAGGGAAAAGTTTATCAATCCCTGGTTCAAACAAGAGAAAAACATCCATCGAATAAGAAATGCGTGTCATGATATAACAGTTCAGCATTTAAATAACGCGAGACGTTCAATTCAGCGCCGATTTTAAATGTGTCTGGGACAAAACGGTTCATACTTTGAGCATTTACTGTAATATTCTATCGAAATTTATTATGTTTATTTTTTTATTTTGTTTGTATCCATCAACTTCGATAACAAAATGTCAAATAAAGTAAATTATTTTTGGTATTTATCTCGAAATCCATACAGTTTTCGAAAAACATACATGAAGGCAAAAAGTTTCCAAATTGAAGAGACAATCTGAATCGATGTCTCATTGAAAGCAGAGGCGGCACGCAAAAAAGTTCTACAGGGTTAAATTCGGTACGACTCCCAAAAGTATATCACCTTGTAGGTATTCAAAAACGCTCAATAGCTTCAAATATTGAGTTTCTGGAGTGTATCACGTCTACCAAATTTGAATCAGTTATTCCGAAAATTATGGGAGAAAATTCTAGAAACACAAAAAAAACCTGAAACTTCACCATCCTGTAAATCGGAAACTAAGCTCCCACGCATATATGTTTACATGAAACTTTCATCTTGAAAAAATATCTCCTACAAGCTGTGAAGTCCTGCTACAAAAAACTGAAACACCCTGTATAAAGAAATACATTGAAAATTCGCATTCTCTATTTGATGAAGATATCAGTTCTTTCTCGGTTTATTCAACAGAAAACAACTACTTTTCTGGCTATATGACACGACGAACATTTAACTACATCTATTGAACATACACGATAAGAATTTGAAAACAAAATCTTATGAAGTAAAACATTTGCATCCTCCTTCATATTAAGATATGCACATAATATCTTCTGAATATTTAACAGAAAACAACTACTTTCCTGGCTATTTGCCACGTCGAACATTGAATCATATCTGTTGAACATCCAAAAAAAGAGCATGAAAAATGTAAATCCTCTGAAATTGAGAATTGACATCATCTCTCAAATCGGATAAAATAATATGATGTATTATGATATATAGTTATTTTTGTATCTAGAGCGCGAAATGCTACTTTTTTTCTCGGCTACGCCTCGTTAAAAAAATTAGATCTCGATCACCAAAGTATTTCGCGCTCGAGTTGCAAACAAAATTTTTTCTACAAACGGTAAAAAATATAGTTCGAAAGTGAAAATATGCTTAGCTTGATATAAAAAAAAGTGTTGAAATGGCTTAAAAAGCCTCCCCCTAACCTCCCTAGGTACGCACGATGTTCCATGAACATATAATAGGAATTTCCTTTCGTCCGCTCCAAGAGATAAAACAAAGTTATTGTTGAACATTCAGAAATAAATGATTTCGTGGATGTTTGCTCGATTGAGGACCATAAAGTTGAAATATAAATATCTCATATATTTTACGTAACAATGCGCGAAGTAGGTACTTCGCGCACTATTTTACTTCGCGCATTGTTTTGTGTAAGGTATCATGGTAACGTAGGAAACTGAAAAAAGTGTCACTTCGCAATTTGTTATCAATGCGCGAACCTTGTCATTTTTTGACGTTTGTAGGAAAAAAAATATAACTTACCAATATGTTCAGTTTGAAATGGAAATTGAAATGTATATGAAAAGTATACTTGTATAAACTCTGATCTTGATGAGCTTGGAACTTCCAATAAAATAATCACATAGAGAATGCGAATTCTCAATGTATTTCTTCATATATATACAGGGTGATCCACGGTGGATGGCCTATTAGAAGTATCTGGAGAACGAAAAGACAAAACATTCTGAAAATTGAGATGCTCTGATAATGATATCCGTCTATGTATCAGAAACAACTAGCAACTTTGTTATTTTAAATGGAGCACCCTGTATTTTATTGCATTTTTAGATTCTTCTTGAAGAGTTGATTTCATCAATGCATCACACTTGGGGTCTAGCAGGTATGATTACAGAGATATAGGATATAGGGTGTTCAGAATCGAGATTTTTCAATTTTAGTATTTTTTTGTGTCGAAACTATTCATTATCGATCAAAACGGCTCACATGTCCCTATCTCAACTTTCGATTTACTATCTACTGACATTTATTTGGAACAGATACAGGGTGATCAGAATTCAGAATCTTGAAGCATCCTGTATTTTTTCCAATTAAATTCATGTTCATGAATGCGCTGATTGAACGTACGACCTGTCTGACCGATATATATCTTAGGACAAGATCCACATTTGAGTTTGTATACCCCTGATTTTTCGAATTTAGAAGTTTTGTCTTTATTATTCTTGGTAAACCGTCCCAACGTGTTATTTGTTCTATATGCCACTTTTAAGTCCTGTTTATGTAGAAATGAAGCTTATTTCTCAGTTGATGATCCGAAATATGGTGAAGTTCTATAATTTTGATTATTATTCACGATGGTAGGATAAACTTCTTGAATAGCTTTATGATGAAGTTTTTTAGAAAGAATACTGTCTATCAAATTAACGTTGTATCCGTTGTTGCCTGCAATCTGTTTTATGATATTGAGTTCTTTATTGAAATTTACTTCCGAAAGAGGGACATTCACTAGCCTCTGTATCATACTATTATATGCTGCAATTTTATGTTGATAAGGGTGTGTTGAATTATTGTGAATAGTGATATCAGTGTGGGAAGGTTTATGGAAAATTGAAAAATCATGTTTATCGTTAATTTTACTTATTGTCAATTCTAAGGAATTGATTGAATTTTCAGTCTCTATTTCTATTGTGAATTTAATGTTTGGATGAATAGTATTTATATATTGATGGAAAGTGTCTAATTGTCTATTGGTTCCTTTAAAGCATACTATAACGTCATCTACGTATCTATACCAATACAAACATTGTTTTATTAATGAATATTTATGTATTATTCGCTCCAAGTTGTCCATGAAGATTTCAGCAAGTAAAGGGCTCAGTCCCATAATGAAACCTTTTGACGCGGAATATATTTTGTTATCAAACTGAAAGTAATTTCGTTTGAGACATATCGACAGAAGGGGTGAGGGGGAAGAAATAGTCTCAATAAGTTCTTAAGACATCTCACATCAGACTAAGATAAATGAAACATGTAATACAACTGACCTATTGAGCTGCACTGAGAATCTTGGTTAATCTCAGTCAAAGTTGGTAAAAAGAAAATTACTAATATCTATGCAATTTCTCACCTTGGAAAGAAGAATGCACCGTCCCTCCATTGACATGGTTGATCGTGTTCGTGGAAGTCTCTCCGAATTTTTGCGGAGACACCGTAGACGAAACTGCGATCGTATTTTCGGACTTGACGATGTCAAATTCGACTTTCTGACTGGGACTCTTGTACTGGGAGATTCTCGTCTCAGAATTCTCAGAATACGTCGGCGGCTGTCTTCCTGTGCCTATTATCGGACGCCACCCGTCTGACGTCATGGAAATGGCATCCTGAAATCCATTATTTTTCAATATGTTTCTGAATTTACGAAATCACAAAATGTGCGGCCTTTGGTGTCGAACTCGAGAATCATTACGAAGGAGGTTGAAATAGTAATTCACGTAACAAGTCCAGAAAATACGGGTTTTTTTGGACGAGTAGACAAAATTCTAGGACGAGCCGTAGGCGAGTCCTGGAAGTCTGCGAGTCCAAAAAAACTGTTTTTGGACGTGTTACGTACACTATTTTTTCGGCAACCATGTAGAATAACATTTCCATATTATATTTCTTTGTAGAATACAATTCCTTCTTTATTAATTCTCATTTGTATCAAATACTGAAATTTGAACAGAATACTTATACCTACTAACTGTTACATTAGAAATTTCGTATGGACATTCTCAAACTCATTATCGCAGCTGCTTTCGATAGTTTATTGGGATACTTGCAACCAAACTTTCAAAAATCAGAATGTCAACTAATTTCATGTCGAATAGCTGTCTGCCATTTCGCTGCTATGGTAATTATCATCTGCATTTATATCTTTATACATATAAAGGAGAATGCAATTTCTCTACCTCAGAAGATTTTGTTTTCAAATTCTCATCGTGTGTTCAATAGATGTACCTAATTCAATATTCGTCGTGGCATATAGTCAGGAAAGTAGTTGTTTTCTGATGAATAAACCGTGAAAGAATTGATATTTTCATCACATGGAGAATGAGAGAAGATATTGTACATTGCAAGGCATTGTGTAGCATTGTGAGGCATTGTTAGGCAATGCAAGGAATTGGAGGGACACTGAAATGGCAATATGTTTCTGTTGTTCGAGGTCCGCCTCCATTTTGATGTAGGATATGTTCGGAGTTGGGAACGAACTCCACAGAAGTCGAAACTTGTGTGGGTTTAGGAAGAGCGGGATCTACAACTTATATAAGATCTCGAACCACTTTTTGTTTCGGTCTTTATTCACTTGCTTAGCCTTGTCAGCTTTTCCAGAAGGTTCTCCACTTCATTTTCTATACCTATTCAAATTCGTTTAACAATTTTTAAATTCTCGAATTTTGAAGGATATCAGAAAAAAAACTGTTACTCTTACAATATTTCTATCGGGATTTCAATCCGATTTTTGAGTTTTTTTGTTCATTTGGTGAGTATTTTCTCCATGAAAATATCCCTTTTCCACAAATGAAATCACTGAAACGTATATGGAAAGAAATGGTTTCATTGACAATAAAATATGTTTAACAAATTTGACTGCTTGGTATGTGTCGATTTTAGAGAAAACCTGAACAACTATTCATTGTTTTTTGTTGAATAAGATAATTCATTATGACGATGAATTGAAAAAGCTTTATACAGTGTGTCCCACTTACCATGCTCACCATGGGTATCTTTTTAACGGTGAGAGATACGAGGTCGGTTAAATGACACCAAATGTGGAGTTTGTGAAGGCCAACTATAATGTGAAAAAATATTTTGATAAAATCTATTCGTTTTTGTTTTATACGCAAAAAACAGATTTTGATCATTTTCATGTCTCCTCCATTACTTCTTTATTTATGAAAATATCCAAATAGGAATTTCACATTCTCATGGCAGTTTTTCAAAGTGATTTCGAAAACCATATGGAATTTATACCAACTCTTCTAGAATTTGAGATATCATCACCAAATTTAATTTTTCAAATGTAGGTCATAGCTCACTATGACTCAGTTACAAATAACTTTTTTTTCTCTTTCAGATGATGTGTCGCAGTAATAGTTTTGTGTTGATAACAACGGAGTTATCGTCATTTATTTATACAAAAACAAAAAATTATTCGGATGCCGCCATCTTGAATTCATGAGTTTTAACAAAGAAATCATGATCTCCGACCTCAAAAACCCCCACTTACCAATTATGAATGGAATCGGACCAAATCTTGTCCGCCATCTTGGAGCAGCCATTTTTTTAAATTTCAACAAAAATTCCATAATGTATTGTCACCGAAATTATGAACACCTGTCAAATTCCAAGTCAATCGGAGTTATGGAATTTTTGTTGAAATTTAAAAAAATGGCTGCTCCAAGATGGCGGACAAGATTTGGTCCGATTCCATTCAAAATTGGTAAGTGGGGGTTTTTGAGGTCGGAGATCATGATTTTTTTGTTAAAATTCATAAATTCAAGATGGCGGCTCCCGAATAATTTTTTGTTTTTGTATAAATGACGATAACTCCGTTGTTATCAACACAAAACTATTACTGCGACACATCATCTGAAAGAGAAAAAAAAGTTATTTGTAACTGAGTCATAGTGCGCTATGACCTACATTTGAAAAACTAAAGTTGGTGATGATATCTCAAATTCTAGAAGAGTTGGTATAAATTCCATATTCTTCTCGAAATCACTTTGAAAAACTGCTATGAGAATGTGAAATTCCTATTTGGATATTTTCATAAATAAAGAAGTTACGGAGGAGACATGAAAATGATCAAAATCTGTTTTTTGCGTATAAAACAAAAACGAATAGATTTTATCAAAATATTTTTCCACATTATAGTTGGCCTCGACAAACTCCACATTTGGTGTCATTTAACCGACCTCGTATCTATCACTGTTAAAAAGATACCCATGGTGAGCAAGTGGGACACACTGTATAGGAGACATAAAGAAGTGTTTTTTCCTTTTCGATATTATTCTTCTCTTCTCAACACATGCAATGAAATGTGTATTGGTATTGAGGGGCAATGTTGGGATTGTTGGGCATTGAAGGGCAATGTTGGGCAATACGGGACATTTTCGGGTATCATCGGGCATTGTTGAGTAAAAAAGTGGCATTGCGGGGCAGTTACTGTAGATTGAGGCATTCATTGCCCCCTGGTGTACAAAAATTGCTAACTACTTACCCCTCGAAAGAAACACTAGTGAAGATACCAAATCAACATTCGAAATCACGAATACAATTAAGGGAAAAGTGTCATGTAGGTATGTTCTTGAAAGAAACCCAAGATTAATCTGCACTCACCTGCATTTCTTGAGCAGTGGTCATCACCCATCCTTGATATAAGAATAATAGCGTAACTGAAAATAAAAAATGAGTCATTCCAATTATTTATTTTCACTTATCATCCTGGCTAAAAGTTATGAATAATTCAATATACGAAGTGGTGAAAACTACAAATTTCACTAATACAGGTTGTTTTCAAAGTATAGTTATCTTTTTCCATCAGGATATACAGGGTGTATCCTAATAACACCGAAAACATTCGAGGGGTGATTCCTTATGATGTTTCAGGAAATAGAGTGCATATGAAGATGTGTCCTAACTTGCTTCGTTTTCGAGATAAAGGGTATTAATATTTCCATGAAAAATCTTTTTTCTATTCATTTCTCGATTGTCTTTTCGTCAATTTCAATAAATTTTTGTGGTTTTGTCAATTGTAATATGGAGCTTCTTCTAGTGCAATTTGATTCGAACTAATATTTCCAGTGGCGTCACAGTAGATAGAATCATCAATATCCATGGTGAATGTCATTGTACACCACCGGTTTTTCTGAGTATCATAATTTTCTTAGATTGAACTATTCAGATAACAACTTCTTTATCCTCTGTGTAATTTTTGTATCTATCTTATTTTATGAGGAAACAATAAAAATTCGATTTGACTCCAAATTTTGATGTATAGGTGTTTTCAAGACTTCCATTGATATTACTCAATGACCCCAATTAAAATCATTTTGAAATCTTGGAGCTCACTCAGTCCCCATCCATACTGAATTTTGGCACCATGAAAGCTTATACAGGGGGTTATAAATAAAAACAATCAATACATCCAACTTCAACATCCTGCATCTCAGAAACGGAGCAAGTTAGGATACATGTATATGACTTCTATTTGCTAGAATATCACTATGAATCACCCCTTGAATTTTTTTGGTCTTATTCAGATACCCATCAGAATTAATTTGTCTATACAGGTCGATTGCGAATCTATGAATATTCTAATACTTGTCTATCAATATTCATTTGAAATTCGAACAATATTGTTTTAAACATTACAAAATTGGTAACATTCCATTTCTCAGTCAGGTATACACAGGGTATGTCAAGTCGAGCTTACACTATCTTGATATCGAAAATCAGTCGCAAGAGATTTATAAAAATATGTTTGCAAGTACTCACTTGATTGTTATATTTTTAAATCGGGAGAGTCCAAAAAAGTAGGTACAAAGAAGTGAGAATCATATTTTGCCTACATTCCAATGTTGAATGTAGGAGAATATTGAATGAAAGAAAAAAATGCACTGTCGTATCTTTTCTGATATTTACTTACGAGCCCCATGGAATTAATTCAAATGCATCGACCTCCACCAAGGCTATATTTTTTACACAAAACTGTTCTACAAATCTATTTTTCTACTATAAAATGTTATACAGGTACGCACAAAAAAGTTATGACTTTTCAAAAGACTCAAAAGACATGTTAGGTGGCGCCACCCCCACGAAAGAGAGAAACTAACATAAAATTTGATATTGATGTCATTGAAAATTACCTCTGGATACCAAATTCCATCCCAATATCACAATTATTTTGAAATTTATTAACAAAAAACAAAAATAAGAATTCCACTTTGACATGCACTCTGTATCTCATAAACGGATAACTTTCGGACACATATTTTTACGAACTTTTCTCTTTGTTTTGAAGTCAGCAATATGCTCCTGAATTTTCTACACCTACTCAAGAAACACCCAGTATAACTATGTTTTTTCTGGACTAGGCCAGAAAATTGCTAGTTGCCCAAAAAAAAGGCGTCCAAGAAATGGGTACTATTGGTACTTGATGGTTGCCGAAATAACATTTACCATTATGCCATGGTCAACAACCTAAGAACCATATTACAATTGTTTTTGAACATTCATACAGAAACCAGTACCACAGGATGTTATTGTGCAATAACGAGCATTTCAGTATTTAAAGGCTCTCATTACTGATGCAATAATAATTAGAAGATAAGAAACTGTTTCAGTGCTTTGCCTTGTAATTGGTACAAGAGAAAGGTGTTGACTGTAATGAAAACTGCAAGCTTATAAGAATATCATATTCCGGTGCAGTGTGCAATATAAAATATTCAACCTAAACTATACCCAACTGAAGTCTGTCAACCACGAAAATATTTTTTAACTAGCTGACCCGGCAAACGATGTTTTGCCATAATCACTATTTCTGGAAAATATTATTTCAGTCAAATATTCATCAACACACTTCTATTATTTTATTTTCTACTTCCTAATAGTTTGATTGTCCATCAAATTGTGTTCCTTCAGTTTTTCTACTTCTTCTTGGTTCGACAATCTATCTCTTCAGTTTTTAAACTATTCTATCAATTTTCTACTTCTTTTCAGTTTGGCCTCGAGTTTGGCTATCTATTGAAACATGCCTACCGAATACGCACAAAAAAATTCATACGAATCGTTCGAGCCGTTTCGAAGGAGTTTGACCACTAACACCGTGATCTGGACAGGAGAATTTTATATATTAGAGTAGTCTCAAACTACCTTTTCTTGATCTACTCATCACAAAAAATATTGATACTTCCAGATTAGACTTCCAAGTTTACAGAAAACCTACTATCACCCATATTTTCATAAATTTGCATATCTTCCAACTGTTTCTTTCATAGAGCTTTCACTTGGCCCCTTTCTGATTCAGCTTTCAATAGTGAAATTAATATAATAATACAAATTGCTATCAATAATCAATTACTGTTTTCAAGTTTCAATTTCAATATTTCATTTAAAACCAACTCCAACCTTGGAACCTTTTAAGTGAACACTAAAGACAAAATCCCTACTTCTGAAAAATCTGGAGTTTATGAACTTGATTGTAATGATTGCAACTCCTCTTATGTCGGTCAAACGGGACGAAGTTTTGAAATTAGAGCCCCTGAACATAACAAATTGATAAATAGGAATTGAAAAATTGATAATTTCAACACAAGCTCCTCTTTCTCAAACCATATAATTTAATCTAATCATGATTTTGATATATCTGACAACATTGAATTCCTCCACATTTGTTATAAAGGCTCTATGTTGAACCTATTGGAAATTCTAGAAATTCAAAAATGTATAAATGATCCCTATTTCACCTTAAAGATCAAACCAATTTTGAACGTGGCTTGATTTTTCGTACTTTAATATTTCATTGATTAGCATCATAACATATTATAACCCATATTGGTCTATTGTTGTTCTTCTAAATATTTGGTTCTTGTTAATGTCTTATGTGAGATGCCTATAAACATCTCAGTCTTATGTCTTATTAGTTATATCATATTTGACATTGTCATGATTCTGTGTCATCACTTAATTTAATTTTTATTTGTATGTCATGTGTTATTGACATTGACTTATGTCACTTGTTCTTTGTCATGTTTCACTTTTCATGTGATTTATGATGTTTCTGGTTCTTCGAATTCGGTTGTAGCTTGTAGCTTCCATTAGCAATTTGCATAACCTGATGAATCTCACGTGAGAGAATTTTTCAAGATTTTTTCATAAGTTGTGCCAATGTTCATCAATAATAAAATGCTGACCTGGTTTTACTGGACTTCCTCCAGATGTAAACCTATTTTGAATTCAGGAATGATTTTGTGAAATTTTGACCTAGGCTGTTGATTTTATATGAATTGTTGCTCTCAATATGTATTGCTAAAAGGTTAGTATCGATTCTATGACTCTTTTTTGATTTCTTAACAATGTCCATAATTATCTTTCAGGTACTTCCGAATACATCATTTTGTGTCTGATGATGGCCTGTGGCCGAAACTAGTTACACTACTTATTAAAAAATATTTTCGTGGTCGACAAACTCTGTGACTTTTATTGCTTTTTCTTGGATATACCTAACTTGATCAAAAATCAACAAAAACATAGATAGATAGATATTTATTCAGTTCGATTCAATAATTAGTACATGAGGAAAAATTAGTGCATTTACATTATGGCGATCTGGAAGATATGCGAATAAATATGTATAGAGAGAGTGGGTTCTGTACAGTTAAATAGATATATAATTTAATCAATTCTTAAGTCTGGAACCTTTACTATGTTGCTTAAGTTTTCAGAAAACCTGTCTACAAAGTAGCAACTTAACTAAATGTGTGATCAGAGCTACATCTTGAAACTAAGACATCGATTTTGAAAATGTATTAATGAAAAATACTGAAGTTACAGATTTATGGATATGGTATGAATAACTGAATCAGGAAGGTATTGAGATTGAGCGATATATGAGAATTGATTGATATTGGTTGTACATTTTTTTATTCTTCAGATGGAATGGATATATTTCTACAAATTACCAAATCTAGTTATCATAAAAAATCACAAGCAAGCTAACAAAAACCAGATATAACTAATGTTATCTTCAAGTTCTTCCAAATTAAGTCGATACTGAGAAGAACATTAATAATTAATATGTAACTATACCTTCATTTTTTCATGAGTTCAATAAGGTGATTCCGAAATGGAGCGTCAATAAAACGGGTTAATGAATGATTCACAATGACATGCTAGAGATAACAACCAATTTTTTCTCAATTTGTTGACAAAATATGCGCTCTCATCGTACCACAACTTTCAACTTTTATTGAACGTCTGGCTACTACGCAGAAATCATTGAAATGTCTGGTGCTTCTGACGTCGCTGAAAGCAAACACTTGGGTTCCGCAATAATTGAGCTCTGATCGATAAGTCAACGTTCAAAGAAATTACAGGCAGACCTTGAAGCTCAGAAATATCTTTCAAAATTATTTTTTCTATTACTCATTGAATTTATCTACCGATTTTCGGAAACACCCTGTATACTTGTAAGAATCAATGAATAACCTTGCGAGTTTATAATCAACATGTTTTCAACACTGTCAACAATTATTGCACCAATTAGGTACCTACTTGATTACTAAATAGAAGAAAATATTTCATTGACACCAAAGTAAAAGTCACGGAGGAATGTTGTTATTAATCTTAAATAATCATTTTCCATTGCTAATACCTACACTATTATGTATATCTTCGACCTGAGATATCTTATTCCCTTACTACTAGTCAATAATAATTATTCAAATAATATTATAAGGTCCCATGGTAATTATTATACATATCATATGTTATGCACCTATAGTCCCTAATTTGAGGATTCTATTTTTACACATAAAATATAGGTTGAAAAAGATGCGTGTCAAAATGAACAACATTAATAAATCCATAGCAGATATTCAATTCGCGTACGGAAGAACAAAATAATTGTTTACATACCGAGGATGGATGGAATAATATCAAAATCATTGAAAAAGAAGATAACAACCAGTAGAGAAAAATCAAGGAATCTGCTTGCATTCTTCTGAACGGAGACAATAGCATTGCTAGTGCGGGAAAAACATTTCTATAATATTCTCGCAAAATATGAGTGGTGGGTGACACAGTATGATTTTTTTTCTTTTTGTTGCAGTATTGGGTAAGTTTGTACAAAATCATCCATCAAATTGCACTATTTATTGTAAACATGAAGAAATATTGAAAAATAATAATTGATTGTTCACTTCGCTTCGTTCGGGTCAACGGCATTCGCGTGCGGGAAAATATCACTTCCCGCACTTGTTAGGAAAATTACAATTTCAACGAGAATGAATATTCTTTTCCTCAATTACTTCTAAGAATAAAAGTGAATTTGTCATACATCACTGGATTCAGATACGAAATAAAATTTCAAAATGTACGTTCCGGTTCAAAGAATGATTGACAGTGGATGCAGATAGATTGAAAAATCACCCTGTATACCTAGTTGATGCAGATACATGGAAACCTGATGAAATGAATACTTACTGCATAGAGATTTCCACCGCACAGGAGGCATTATTTCTGAAAAATAAAAGGAACCAAGTATGAATTGACTGTGAAATCATCAGAAATGAAAAAAGTGATTTAAGAATAAGTAGGTACATGATTTTATCAAACGAATGAATATTGAATATAATATTATAATAAATTTACTTGTGCCAATATTTCGAAGGATAAATCCAATATATTGATAAAAACCCAATGTATCGAAAAGATTTCCAATATACAAGGGGTCCTATTTATAGTATTGTTCAGTCTAAACACCTCGAACAAGTTTATGAAGAAATCGCTTAGTGGGTTCGTGTTCACGCACTCTACACCTATCTGTAGGTCATTCATTGATGGGACAAGAGGTGATTATGTTCATTAATGAAAAAAATATAGATGTGATGATTTTAAATAATGAATATGAGATAGATATGTGACGTAAACTCGACTAGCGTGTACAACCATGTTGTTTATGTTTTTCTGTTATTTATGCATATTCTCTCGATCATAACCTCTGCAGTCGATAAGATGAGATGAAAATGCAGGGGTGGACTGTTAATTTTAGAGGCCCTATAGACTGACAATATTTTGAGGTTCACCCAATCAACTCAAGTTTAGGATAGCTGTAGATCGATTTCATGAGAAACTGGTTATAACATTTACCAAGAGGAAATGAGGAACATTAAAAAGTTCCTCACTTTTTCCTCTCATGAACATGGATAAGTATATGAACTTTCTGATACACAAATGATAAGAGATTTTCTATAAGTACATCAATAACATAGAACATAGCTTGAAGAATAAAATGTCTAACCAAGGCCCACGATATGGTGACTTGTTTGTCCTAAGAAGGTGATTTTTTATTTATGGCTCTCTATAACATGACTTTTATCATGACCTAAACAAAAAGCCATTAAAATATCATCGACACTCCTGTGTTTACCTCAGACCATCATGCCAGATTTTTTTGAATTTTTTCTCCTCGTTTCTATAAAATGAAAATACGAATATTATTTCAATATACGTGTAGTAAGGACAAATCAGATGATTTGCCCCAAAATGTCACTGCGTTTGAAGAATTTTCCTATCAGAGAGCCTGAAAAAAATTCACTAGCTTGTCAGTGACAATTTGTATTGAAAAAAGGTTCGGAGAAGAGAAATAAAGGTATATAGAAAAAATATCAAATGTTCACTTCGTCAAAAAATTGTATTTACAGTATACCTTGTGTTTGGCCCAGACAGCACTGGATATTCATAGAATATTCTCTAAATATGCTAAAAAGGAGGAGTATATTCCGAATATTCATCGATTATTCCTAGAATATATACATGCCTCTGGAACATCTAAAAGGAATATTCCAAAGTGAATAGTCGGACATGTTCAGGGAATATTCAGGTATGAATCTTCCAGGAATAATCCCAACTGAATATTCTCTGCTGTATATTCATGAAATATACCCAACTGAATATTTTGTGGGGTATATTCATGAAATATACCCAACTGAATATTCTGCGCGGTATATTCATGAAATATTCTCAACTGAATATTCTGTGGTGTATATTCATGAAATATTCCATGAATATTCCTATGTTTCTCAACACATAAATACCATTTATTATTTCAGAGATGTGAGTATCGAACATCAATTAGATGTGAGGAGATTTTGAAACAAAAAGTGTTTATTGATCCGATTTTGAACAATGCTCTCACAAGAACTTGATATGTATAAAATTATTCAATTCGATTACTGGCCTAGTGGTCAAGGCGGCGTTGCTCTGATAGTCTTGAGGTCACGAGTTCGATCCCTACTTGGGTCACTTTTTTTTAATTTTCGAATATGTTTATTGGAATATTCCAGGAACATTCAACATAGAATATTCTTTTGGGTATATTCTATGATTATCTGAGGAATTCCCATTCGCATATTTAGAGAATATTCCACAGATATTCCGGAATATTCCAGATTATTTCTAGAATATTTCAATATTCCGAAAGGAATATGATAGGGAGATTCATGGAATATCTGGTGCTGTCTGGGGGGAAAGTTTTATACAGGTGAAACCAAGAGACCTCTTTCAGTAAGGACGAACATAGGTGCAATACTGTAAAGAAAAGATATATCGATAAATCGAAACCAGCTGAACATATCCTTACTGAAGACAGACAACATTTATGGCGGAGTGGAATGATATTGAAATCATTGGAGAAGAAGATAACAACCAGAGTAGATAAATCAAGGAATCTGCTTGCATTCTTCTGAACGGAGATAATATAGACAGAACATGGTATTCACTACTGAAATCTGAAAATGGAAATGGTAAATTCGAGATTGATTAATGAAAACATATAATGTGATATCTCCTCAATACTGAAGGTATGTTCATGCTTGTACGAATTCCGCAAAATTTATGCGAATCGCAAAATACGAAATTCCCAACAGAATTCGACGTTCATACTCATGCGACAAAATATGCAGGAGATAAAAGTTCTGCTGTTATATATAATTTCTTTATTTCTGGTCCCACCATTGATTGAAGTTCATCAAATTGAAGGCACATTGCACGAAAGTAATTGAAATATTCATTAGGGTCATTCAGTCGCATTTATCGAACGAGGCTGTACTAATCATTTTTCGGCATTTAAAAATGGATCAAACAGCTTAGCTCCTTTTTTTGCTTCTGGATACATCATTAGTTCTATAGAGCCGATACAGATGGCACTTCAAAATTTTTAATTCGACCAGAGAATCCATCCAGAGGAGAAAATTCAATCAAATGAAGAAATGATGGAATTTTTTATTATAATTCTGTACTTACCTGTAGTCTAGTCTCGTCTTTTTTCGGCCTCTGCTGTCCGCTCTTTAATTCCCTATTCTGATGTTATCAAAATAACAACACATTTTTTGTGGTTACGATTCCAGCCGAATTCGTAAGAAAGTTTAAATATTTCAACTTCATTGCGTAAATTTTGCGGAATTCGTACAATCATGAACATACCTTGATTCGTCCTTTTTCCTGCCATACAGGGTGTAAATTTGAAAACTTTCAATGCGAATATCTCGCGAAATAAAAAAGAACCACCATATTTCAGTGAAGGGATGAGTCACCCTGTCAGCGCGACACACCCCAACTCTGAAATGTCAAATGGCACTACCTCTTTTGTGATACCTCAAATGAACGGTCTCAGTCAGTAGTATTCACCTGTACAAGACTTTTTTTCCACCCACTACAGGATGTACGAAAAACATAAAGTCGAGGGTCTAAATTTGAAAACTTTCAATGCGAATATCTCGCTAAATAAAAAAGTTGGGAAAACGCCGTTTGGCACAAATGCTACAGAGTTAGGTGGAACTAGAACCACCATATTTCGGTCAAGGGATGAGTCACCCCGTCGGCGCGACTCACTCCATCTTTGAAATGTGAAATGGCACTGCCTCTTTTGTGATATCTCAAATGAACGGTCTCAGTCAGTAGTATTCACCTGTACAAGACTTATTTTCCACCCACTACAGGGTGAACGGAAAACATAAAGTCGAATAAAATAAAATGCAGAATGCCGATATATTCCAAGAGATGTGTTCCAAAATGTTAGAATGGCATTTGAACATCGATAATACTATTGCTTACACAATTCATTTTATATCCTGTATTATATATTTGATTCTCTTCTTGCCGAAGGATGATTGTGTCATCAGCAAATAATGTGATGGTACCGTTTATATTTAGGGAATCCATATCGTTCATGTAGAGAAGAAAGAGGATTGGTCCAAGGACTGAGCCTTGTGGCACCCCATGCTTTATGTTTGAGGCCTTTGAGACGCTGCTAAGATAAGGCTCGAGCCAGAGCAGACTGTTATTCATGTAACGATATCGCTGCAGCCTCCGCAGCCATATTTCGTGATACACGCAGTCAGAAGCTTTGGAGAAATCACAAAATACTGCCGCAGCTGCTGCTCTTTTGTTGAGGCCAGAATACACCTGCTTCATGAAAGGAAACAGGGCATCATTCGTGCTCTCATTTGGCAGGAATCCGAATTGTTGTTCTGTCAATATATTATTTCTTCTCAAGTAGTCCAACACTCTGATTTCAACCAGTTTTTCGCTAACGTTGGTATAAGAGGAATGGGTCGGCAGTTGTTTGGATCTTATGAATCCTCACCCTTATGAATAGGATTCACTAGAGATTGTTCAAGGAAATGCTCCACATCGGAATGATCAATTCATGAACATTACAAGAACCGATAATGCTGAATCAGGAAGGTTTTGGAAAACGTTCGCTGAAATTTCATCGGCTCCTGATGCATTATTGTTCTTTTTCATACTATAAATTACTGATTTCAGTTCAGGAAAGTTGGTATCTCGCAATTGGAATTCATCATTCAATTCAACAGAATGCATATTATCGAAGCAGCCACTTTTTAACTATTCACTGACTCAACTATCCAGACTAGAGATTTCTTGGCTCTTCTGATAACTCATCTGTAGTACACTTCAGTGAATGAAATGAATGATCCATGGTAAAACACTAAACATATTGTTACGTTATTCGGGTGCAGAAGCGAACACGACACCGTATTCTCGAACTGATTTATTTTAACTAAAGAAACATACTAATTCATATCGAACTTCTCGACTGTCTCTCTGATACTCGCTGCTTGACTGACTGACTGCAGTTGTTCGGCCGTCCTTATATATGAGATCCCTTGGTAGGCTTTGTTACTCGAACGTTCCCGAATGATCTTCCGTACCCTTCTTCTTGTTCTAGAAGCTTCTTAGAACAATACCTCCCTCTCTAATTAATTCATAGAATGTTTCCAGAACATTCCAGAATCTCCTGACACGTTATTTGTCACCGCGGCATATATTGAGTGTTCGGAAATATGCTGGTGCATGTAGGAATCATTGGGATGTTGGATAACAATCCGGAATGCGTGTTACTGGATGATAGTTGTACTCCTGTCTTCCTGATGATGTTTCTAGAGCCCCTCTAAGGGAAATATCATCACAATATCCAGCAAGCGTTCGGTTCATGGAACTACTATGCCTGAATTCGCCCCTGTGACCATCGACAGCATAATCAATTCTTGACCTCGACCGCTAGCTCAGTCATACCGTCTTTCAGTTCCACTCGTCGCACTAGCTCGAACATTTCATACACTAAATGATGTTTTCCTTCATTTATCATGTTATGTCATAATCATTCGATAATCGATATACAATGAGTGCAAAATTCCAGTCCAGTGGAAAACGGTATCAGTGATCAATATGCCTCAAGTGAAACCACTCGATATGATCCGCTTGACTTTATTGGCGTCCATTTTCTTCGCACAGCAGCTGCCAACCATCCACAGCACCGAACTAAACAATTGCGAATACCTCAGGAACATCACTGTGAGTGTCGCTTGGGGCCCTTTGAACTTCCGCAAACAATACAACAAGTTGACGGGTTGCCTGGGACCCGAGAAATTCGATGAGGAGATCAACCATTTGATCATCGATGGTTACCCAGACCAAACGATCCAGCGGCTTGGTGTGGATTCGATTAGAAAGCTGGACAAGCTGCAAACGCTCTCGATCACCGGAATAGAGTTGGAGGTGCTGGAGCCGGAAGCTTTTAAGGATCTGCCGGGTCTCAAGAAAGTTGCCATCAGGGATACCCAGCTCAGAGAGATACCGGAAGGTATACCGGGTGACACAGGAGACAAGTAATAGCCTGTAGTTTTTTCATTTGAAGAGATAAACATTTCGAATTCACAAGGGTTACATTATATCGATGATGGCGCTTCCCTCGACAATCTTTTGCAACCACCTCTTTGATTGGAAGTAGAACCATTTTGTTCTTTTCGAATTGCATCCTGAATATTTATACTCGCCTTAAAATTATCTATTCAACTATGTATCACAATTTGATATTCCTTTATCAATTGACTGTTGAATTGCATTTTATTGATATACATGAAGTTGGCTGTGGCCCGAATACAATGACATTTCGATTCTTGATAGGCTTAGAAATCCGAAGATCATTACTCAGACGATATTATCAAAATATTCTCCATACCCTAATCGGTCTCAGAAGATTGCCAATAATTTCATTGAGTTTCTATAATGAAACCCTTTTGAATTTCAAATTTTCATCACTCCAAATGAAACAACTACAAGCTGTTACATGTCTCCTGAATTCGATGAACATCAGGACCATCCAAAAAAGAGAGAAAGAGATCTAAATTACTAATAGTCAGTGATACCTTGTTATTCCTCAGTACAAATACAGGGTGTTTTCTTAGTATGGTATGAAACTTTAGGATGATTCGTTAGTTCGTCACAGATTTTTGGCTTCTAAAACATCACAAAGAGTCATATATATAGAAGACTGGAACCTTTGGCACGATAATACACAACAAACTGTTTACCACTAACCAAACCGATTTTTTACACCTCAACACGTGTTTTGCTAACTATGTTAGCATCTTCAGGAGGAGATTTGAACTAAATACTCTCTCCTAGTGGGCTATACTTATAAACTAAGTATATGTCCACCCAACTGTGAATAGACAATAACCGCCAAGTTGATGTTATTCATGGTTGAGTTCACATGTTATATTACTAAACTCTACACTCTAAGAAAACTGTTGGTGTCTATTTCAATTCCAGGCTATTAGAATTAACACTAACTCTATTCAACACCAAAATTGTACTATCCTATCATGAGTATTGGGGATTTGATATCGTGGGGTTCGACGGTGTAATTCGTGATACATTATGACAAATCTGAATTCGGAATCATACTTTTCATAGTCATTATTTGAATTCAAAAAATAAACATCAAATTATACTATCTATGAATCACAAAGTTGATATATTCTGAAAAATTATCATTAGTAGGTGTTATTTTTCAAAATTTATATCATGAAAGTGATCAACTTTCATATTTTTCATGTGACTATCAATTTTATGAATGACCCATATTCACACAAATAATTTCTCTTCAAGATATTCACCTAGTAATGAGATTGATAATCAAACCACTATTTTATATTACATAAACCTATTTCATATATTACACTTTGAACATCGCGATGTAGAATAATGATTAGAAGTTGATGAAATCAATATCAATAGAGGATGATGCCATCTATAATTAACGACTGCATCGTTCTGTATCATTTTCCGTAATTACTGCAGGAGCTTTCATGAATTTTGGTATACCACTCGTCAGACGTACTCGACAGGCTAAGTCAGCACATCGTTTTGTCCTATATCTAGCTTCGGTATTCTTTGCCAACGGAAGTATTTCCAAGAACTCATAATGATGATTTCAATTGAGTACCTACTGCCTATGTTCACAAAGTTATCATGAAAGTAGGTACATATACTTGGTTATTTCATATCCTGATGCTTCTTTGTGTTCCACACTCCAGAGTTCCACAGCCATTCGTAGTAAACGTTGAGCAGTATTTAGCCGTAGGCCCTGATTTAGCACTGTCTTTCTTCACTGGAACGGATCATTTTGCTCTTTGAGTGTAAAGTGCATGATTGTTTACATCATGAAGTGTATGAAAACATCATTCAAATGCACAGAAAAGTTTATCGTAGCTGAGGAGTCAAAATCAGAAACAATTGTCTCGATGTTTCGACACAACACCAACATTGATGGGACACAGAGCTACCACAGGTAATACAGGTCGAAATGAGTTGATTGGACCCAACTTGTTTATATAAAAAAATGTACCGTTTGTCCGTGAGACGAGTTCAAAGTTTTCATAAATAAACACATTTTCGTTCGCTGTTCAAAAATAAGTGAAACAAATTATAGAGTATAACTCTAACTAAAGAACTTGTAGAAGGTTTGAAACAACCCTCACCACCTAAAATTTTTTTCAGGACATTCTCAGAGGTGGTAAATAGGTTTCTAAATTTTTTCAAGCGAGATGACTGATTATTCAACTTCATTTTGTTACTCTTGTAAAAGTTTCGTAATCCACATAGTTCCGAAGGAAACAATTTTTTTCTTTGTTCCACACATTTTTGAATGGCGAACGAAAATGTGTTTATTTATGAAAACTATATGAACTCGTCTCACGGACAAACGGTACCTACATTTTTCAATATAAAGAAGCTGGGTCTAAGCAACCTATTTTGACCTGTATTACCTGTGGTAGCTCTGTGTCCCAGCAATTTTGGGACACCCTATATATCTCAACAAAAATATTTCACACTATAATGGATTACAAATTGATTGAAGCAATTTTGTTTCATACCTAAATGTGTCAGAATTCTGGAGATTCGTGTCAGATGAAAAACTATCCTCAATTAGAATTGACACAATTCCGGTTAAAACTTCAATGACCTGGTGTAAATAAACACCGTATTCATTGCAGATTTGATCATTCGATGATGATTTTGTAAACTCATTCCGGTGTGACTTTACATATACTGATGTTTTTCATGATCAATAGTATTGTAATTCACACCAGGCCAGTGCGAACTCTATCAGAAAATATTACACATAACACACCAGAGTGGTATTTCTTTACATCGATTTCGAAATCACAAATCTCACGAGGACATGTGCAGAAATAGCACCACACACCGGTGCTCTACAAATTGGTGTGAATTAACACTGAAATATGCAGGACCTTTGAGGAAATCAGTGAGGATGTAATTCAATGTTCTGTGTGGTGCATTAACCAGGAAAGTAGTTGTTTTTATCTCTCATGAACATTTGTGGAAATGAATGAGTTTTGTATTTATATAAAAAGTTTTCAGTTTAACGTTTCGAACGTTTACTTTTACACAAAGTCATGAATATATCATTTTTGATTACCCTCAAGTGTCAAAAGTAGGCTATTTATGAACAGTGCAAACAAATATCAGAAAGCATTTTCATTTTTAAATACAGGGTGTACGATTCTGATATGAATGAGATGTTTTCAATATTTCTCAAGTTTTTTCCTGTAATTTTCAAAATACTTAATCAATTAGAATTTGGTATACCAATCACACATAACAAACTCAATATTTCGGAAATATCATCGTCTTCAACCTGTTGAAGTCCTTCTACAAAAATACCTACTCACCTGTATTATTATTATTATGTGTAAAAATGAATAATAGAAAAAAATCATGTATACAGAGAAGTGCACAAAAAACGGCCAGATTGTAACTTTTCAATGATTCTAGAAAGGGTTATGACAATTGGTGTGTAGCAAGTATACCAAATTGCTCATTAATTGATGAAACAATTTTTCTTCTATCACTTTCAGTTCCACCGGATACGACCTCAACTTTTGATTTCTATATGGGACACTCTGTATTGTATTCCATAATCGGTTAGAAATTAACATGACGAATTCAACGATACCCGGTTTGATAGGGTTATGTCAAACAAGATATTTGCGTTCGAAGTTTCCATATGCTCAATGGGTGTGACTTCGGCGCAATATCAAAACTTCTTTCTCTGTCACACTCATTGACCATATGGAAACTTAGAACGCGAATATCTGCGTAATAGTTTGAAATAACCCTATCAAACAATCTCTAACCGATTATAGATGACAATTCCTAACCGATTATGGAATACAATACAGGGTGTCCCATTTGAAAATCAAAAGTAAAATCAGAAGTGATAGTACAAAAATTGTGTTTCGTCAATTAATAAGCAATTTGGTATACTAGCTGCCACCAATTTTCAAATCCCTATCTCGCATAATTCAAAAGTTACAGTCCTGGCCGTTTTTTGTGCACTTATCTTCAAAACTCGAATATAAAGCACTTGCGAGATTCCAAAACTAGCCACCTATACGGCTAAAAATTTCTCGTGTATGCAAAAAAAAGCCACTTTATATTCTTGTGGTATAAATACCGAAAATCTATGTTGATTAATTTTGATTTTTCAAATTACAGATGTTTTCAACTTGGTCCCCAGCCTCGAAGCACTGGATTTAATGTACAACAAGATAGACACCATCGAAGGTCGAGCATTCTCCAACCTAACATCGATCGTCTCGTTAGCATTGTCCCACAATGCGCTGAGTATATGGAACAGAGAATGGTTCAAAAACAACAAAAAACTAGGATATATCGATGTCAGTTACAACGAAATCCACACTATACCAAGACGAGCCTTCGAATCACTGCCAAGTCTGAAGATCATCAATTTCCAACATAACGAGATCGTCAGAATCCAACCACATGCCTTTCTGAACGTGAAAAGACTTGAGTATTTATTCCTGAACCACAACAAGCTCAAAGTGATCCAGGAAACAGCATTCCCAACCAAGATCCACATCGTGAATTTGTCTATCGAACACAACTACCTCAACTATTTGCCCGCCGAGCTGCTGAAGATGATCACTGTCGGGAACATCTACTTGGAACCCAATCCTTGGAAGTGTTTGTGTTTGAAGAGCATCCACTTCTGGATCTACCTCACCAATGCAGTCGTCAGAAAGAAGTGGTCTGAATGTATTTCCAACTTTTCTCCTATTTGTGCAGTGCCTCAAGATCGTTCGCTGACTTGCCAAGAGAAGGTCGACAATGAGTTAACCCAGAGGTACCTCGAGTATTTGGACAATTTGATCAAACCATTGTCTGAACGTTGCCATTGACCACTTTTTCCGCAGAAGATCGATTTCAGTTGGTGACGTTAGCGTTGAAGAATCTAGTCCTATACAAGTTAAATATGGAGTGTCGCAGGGATCTGAGATGGAAATATTTTTGTTTATAATCTGTACCAGGTGACAACTACCTCAACTATCTGCCGACCAAACTGCTGAAAATGATGACCGGCGAAGACATATTTTGGACTTTAATCCTTTGAAGTGTTTCTCTCTGGAGAAGATTCACTCCTGGATCTAGAATTCCGATGCCGTCATCAGCGAGGCATAGTCCAAATGGTTCAGAAACAAGCAAAAATTTGTATACATACATGTCAGTTACAACGAAATTCACACTACTCCAAGAAGAGCCTTCGAAGCACTGTCAAACCAAGAGATCAATTTCCAACACAACCAGATGGACGCAATCCAACCCGATGCCTTCCTGAACGTGACTAGGCTCGAGTATTGATTCCTGGATCACAACGAGCCCGATGTGATCAAAGAAACAGCATTCCCAACCAAGATCCACATCGTGAATCTGTCAATCTAACAGAACTACCTCAACTATTTGCCGACCGAGCTGCTAAAAATGATGACTGTCGGGAACGTCTACTTGGAACCCAATCCTTGGAAGTGTTTGTGTTTGAAGAGCATCCACTTCTGGATCTACCTTACCAATGCAGTCGTCAGAAAGAAGTGGTCTGAATGCATTTCCGACTTTTCTCCTATTTGTGCAGTGCCTCAAGATCGTTCGCTGACTTGCCAAGAGAAAGTAGGATATTTGGACAGTTTTGATCAAACCATTATCTGAACATTGCCATTGACCACTTTATCCGCAGGAGATAGATATCAGTTGGTGACGTTAGCGTTGAAAAATCTAGTACTATACAATTTAAATATGAAGTGCCGCAGAGATCTGAGATGGAAACATTATTGTTTATAATCTGTACCTGGTGACAACTATCTCAACTATCTGTCGACTCAACTGCTTAAGATGATGACCGGCGAAGTCATCTTTTTGGACTCTAATCCTAGGAAGTGTTTCTGTCTGGAGAATATTCACTCCTGGATCCAGAATTCCGATGCCTTCCTCAGCGCGGCATGGTCCAAATGGTTCATAAACGAACAAGAACTTGTATATTATATCCATGTCAGTTACAACGACATCCACACTACCCCAAGAAGAGCCTTCGAAGCACTGCCAAGCTCCGAGATCATCAATTTCCAACACAACCAGATCGACGCAATCCAACCCGAAGCCTTCCTGAACGTGACTAGACTGAACCCAAAATAGAAGTTGGCATTGTAATTTTTCATCTTCCTCAGTAGTAGAAGATTACAAAAACTTTTGTTTTATCTTTATGCGTGGAATAACTATTTCTGTTCAGCTACAGAATGAGATTTGATTATAGTATCTAATCTACTCAACACCATAAAAATATTTTTACAATTTTCTACTACTGAAAATGATGAAATAGCCCTTTGCAATAATCTTCTATTTTGGGTCGAATATCTCGAAAACTGTTCATTTCAGCTCAGTTGAAGGTGATGAATTGTTTTAACAAAATTGAAAAATAATTGAAATTGTATCAGTGGCGTAGAAAATATGGGAGGAAAAGTTGTCACACCCCCCTGTAGTGCACCACTGGGTAAAATTTTCGGAATGGCTTCCTGGACAAACAATGACCCATTCAAAGATGAAACCATATACCGAAGTTGAATGCATTATAGTAAATTTTTCTTGAGATAGGTATTGCGAAACAACTATTTTTATTTTTCAACTTTAACGCCCTGTATCTCAAGAACTGAACACTTGAAGACCGTATGTCCCTATCTCAGTGATTATGAAATCACGAGGGCCATCACCTGTCAAGCGTTGTCGGTCGAATTGCGCAACACCCTGTATATACATTTTTTATGTTCATGATTATATCTGAGGATATTTCTTTTCAATACATGTTTTCAGTATTTTCGTACCTAGAATCTGTGGTTGAAATCTTTCTATGCGATTTCGGGACACCCTGTACATATACATATAATTGTAAACATAAGAAAAAGATCTTCCACTAGCTTTGAAAATATACAGGGTATTTCATTTACAAAAACTAATTTGAACTCTTTTTTTATATTGAGTTTTTCCATCGAAGAACTGTTTACGTTTATAACGTCAGTGATGATAATTACTGTGTAATTAGTATTTGATTTTGACGGCACAGGATTTCTATATTATCATTTATTGTCTGATTCAATAATAATCATGGAAATATTCTTCGATTAACATCCTCCAGCTTGCTGCTTCAATTCCGCTCATGGCATTCCAGAACTTCTCGCCTACGACTCGAAAGTTTTGATGAACGATGTCATTCGCGAAATTATTGGGCTTTAAGCTGTCCGGCAGAATAGAATCATTTGTGGTATTCCTTACATATTATAAAAAAAACGATGGTTTCAGTACGATCAAAATACATCTTTCCCGATTACATAACAGCAGCAGAAGAGTGGATCAAAACAAAAAATATATGACTCTCCGGCAGAAGAATCAGAACGTGAAAAATGAACGTGCGTTCACGTACGATTTCTCGCTTTACATCCATTGGCGTAACGCACAAAATAATTTCTCCTCATTTGAGAAACCTAACTTTCGAATAACCTGAAGAAGAAAATTCCGGATTCAAAAATATGCCACGAAAATAAATGGCAATCAGTAGCGAGTATCAACAATCAATGACAATCAGTCGTCCCAAAATTATTCCCACCAGAATAATATACAGGGTATTGAAGATCAAATGAATACGAGAAGCTCATACTTGGTCATTTTCACAAATGTTCATGAATGAACAGAATAGGTAGATAACGAGAGAAAAATAACTACTCTCCTGGCTATAAGCCACACAGAATATCGAAAAACATCCTCCCGAAATCTATGCAATAATTCGTATAGATGAATAAAGTCAATGGGCTCATATCACAAAAAAATTTTATTCCATAATTCGATAGAGCTCACCCAAACTAGCTCACCACCGCAAACCGTTTATCGCTGTGAGCACCCTACGTTTTATAAAAAATTATTGAAATCACCGATTTTTCGTACCTCTGAAAACGAGGCGATGATGTGACGTCAAAACCCTAATACTGAAACAGGACTATTCCAGACAGAGTTGAATGATACATGATTTCTGGCAGAGTGAATTAGCGCGAGATCACAGTTGAAAGAATTAATATATCAGTTGCCTCAGTCTCCGTCCGGCGTTTGGTATCTTCTTTTAACTATGGCGAGATGAGGTTTCTACGTCATAAGAGGGTCCGTTTTCAGATGGTACTATTATTAATGTCCAAAAATTGAACATTCCAGTAAATTTTTCGATCGAACTATGTCGTCAATCATCATTTATGTATGAAAGGATCATTATAAACATGGTTTGAGTTAAAAGTTCTACCAAAGTTTACACGCCCATTCCGTTCATTTATGAACATTTGTGGAAATGACTCTGAGATTCTCGTATTTATTCAACATTTCATTCGACTTTGAGAACTTTGTCATTTTCTTAGTTGTATTGAAAATTGTTGAATCTTATGGAAAAAAGTGCATACACACATTTGTCCTAGCTTGCTTCATTTTCTCGATGAAGGATATCGATGTTTTCATGAAAAATTGTTTCAGATTGATTAACCAGAAGTCTTTATGTTCATATTGATGAAACTTGGTGGTTTCGTTGACATCAATATTGACTTTTTTTTTATCTCCAAGGATTCCAAATTTTGATTCCAGTGACGTCGCAATGAGTTAATTCGGCAATATTTATGATGAATTTCATTGCTGTGCGCCACTTGCTTTTCTGACTTTTATATTTTTATAAGAATGAATAATTTAAAATTCAAAATATCATATTTTGTGTTTTTTTTGTGTTATCGTTTTAGATAAAACAATAAATCTCAATCTGACATTTTTTTAATTTGTCAGTCCATAAAATCCCATCGTAAGTACGGGTGATTGACTATGGATTTCTCGACTTCAACAGCTAATATCTCAAAAACGAAAAAAGATATTTTTTATCATTTCATATACAGGGTTCGTGAAAAAAAATTTTTCTTTCAAATGGAACCCCCTGTATATTATCGCATATTTCGAGAGAGCTATCTTTCTTGATTTCAAAGATATATACTTTTCATATATTCTATCGAGGGCTTGACGAAATATCAGCAAAATTAAATATTAATATTTGGTCCAAGTTAGGTATGGTTGAAATAGAATGAGATAATGAATAAGTGAATTGACATTTGAACATTCCAGTGACATAAGTGCGCAAAATTTCGACAATTTTCTTACGATGCCATATCCACTGGAACAAAGAAGAGATATTTTGGAGTGCTATTTTTCAGTTAATAAAAATCTTGCTGAAACACTTACACTTATACTTACTTAAATTTAATCTTTCAGATATGACAGACAAAATTCAATCCGCTTCTCATTATCATCATAATTGAGTTTGTGGCATGGTCTAATTCTGAAATCCCTATATTTATATATCCTTAAGGTATGTTGAACAAAATAATAGCTGAAACCAAACTCTTTCACTGCATTTCTTATTGACCGTGAAGGATCCTCAACAAAATACTGGATTACAAGAAGTTCCTCGTCTTCGTTGTCTTGCCTTCTCACTATTCTGTTGACATTCGACAAACTGGAAGTTCTGTCAAATTTAGCAGCCAAATACTTTACATAATTCTTACTTGGTAATCTCCTGCCTGGATAACTCCTCATAAACTCATGAAGTGTTTCAGCAAGATTTTTATTAATTGAAAAATAGCACTCGAAAATATCTCTTCTTTGTTCCAGTGGATATGGCATCATGAAAAAATTTTCGAAATTTTGCGCACTTATGTCACTGAAATGTTGACCAAATGTCAATTCACTTATTCATCATCTCATTCTATTTCAACCATAGCTAACTTGGACCAAATATTAATATTTAATTTTGCTGATATTTCGTCAAGCACTAGATAGAATA